GCAGATTGGCACGCAGATTGGCACGCAGATTGGCACGCAGATAGGCCCTCAGATAGGGCCCTATTCTCAAGGCACACAGGCCTATTGGGCGTCAAATCAGGCAGGTTTTTATGCCTCCTGAAGGGTCAACCACGAACTAGTTTACTAGGAAAACGCTAATAAACTAGCTCCTTGGCTCCCAGGAACTTTGGAAAGATTACATCTATAATACTGAAATAAACAGGTCAGGAATGTGACGCTGTATTTATGAAATCTATTTTCACAACACTGGTCAGCGCTGTGCCCGTGGGGTGGCGCCATACACGCCTCGGCATCTCCTATTGCATCGCCGCGTCCCGCTAGCAAGTTGTGAGAGGGACCATTGCGAGGAGTGAACTATTCGCACAATTCTATATACCTGTACAAGGATAGAACTGATTTCTTTCGTGGGAGTGGAAAAAAGAGATGCGATTTTGGGAACAGCTTGTTTCACTTGAGACTGTCCACCAGACTACAGTACATGGGCCAGAGCAGTCACGTGACTGCGTGCATCGCGCTAAGACCAATGCGGCTGTCACCAAAACATACGAAAGATTGCCTGCTTCATCGACCTCGTCTCTCACCTCACGATTAGCTCTTGACAGCCCCCTTTTTGCTATGACAACAATGCGCTTCAGCAATTCCCGCGAGACGCTTTCACAGGAGCCTTGATGCCAACGCATTGAACAGTTCGTGGTCTCCATCTGCTCGTTGACATCGCAGAGCACAATGGCATCCAAAGGTGCAGCCGTCGGATCAGTCTCTTGGATCGCCGCCGAGAAGGAGAATGCTTTTAACCTACTACGGAATGAGAAAGAAGAAGTCATATATCCGGCTCAGCACCAGCTCGAATGGCTCAACGAGCATATGGCCGAGATATTCAACAAAAGCCATCTGTATGTCCATTTAAGAAACTGCGGCGTTTACCAGAAATACTAACCTGAGACAGCGACGTTGCCAACGTGTTTAAGACACCCGGAAAGCTTCGAGGGAAAACTCCTCGTACTGCAAGGAGACGAAATGCCCAGGACGCACGAATAGTAAGCTGATTCCCCTATTATGCGACAGCAGCTAATGCTTGTTTCGTAGCCTTTGAGCGACGTCTTCTCATCAAAACCTCTACCACGGCAGAGTCCCCCGAAAAAAGCAGACCAACTCAAGCTCCGCTTTGAAGTTGCAATTCCTACCGATCAAATACAACAGCCCTTCAAGTCACAGACCGATTCAGGCTACCACACCGCAAGCCAGGACGATGTGGATGTCGGCACAGATTATCACTCGAGCAATGTACCAGAAGTAGCGGCTGAAGAATGTTCGAACAATACAGATACTGCTTCAGACCATAACATGGATGATGCAATGGAGGAAGGGCACCGTACTACCGAAGGATCTTTCCATTCGGCAAAAGAAGATCAGACAACAAAGATGACGGGAGTTGAGGTGGCTGTAAAGGAAAATGCGCCTCAAAGTGTATCCCTGGACAATCAGCGGACTGACAATATCGAAGCACCAATGGGGCGGCAAGAAGAGGGACATCCTGAATTGGATGACATTGGTTCTCCTTCCGATGAATCAACTCCTGAAAGACTCTTGGTGAGGAAAAGTAGTCTGACGTTTGCTTCTCTGCCGGCACGGGAGCCGTTGAAATCCAGTATTGGCACCAGAATCTCACGAACAAGTCATATCGACCAGGTACAACGACCGCCATCAAGCGCATATGGGCTACGGCCGACTGCGCTTCCAAGTCAAACTACACAGCACCCGGCACGTGATGACAACAAAGATGTTGAGATGGACGATGCAGATGATGATGAAGGCGACTCAAACATACAAATTTTGGGCCATGATGATTCCGAGAGCGAGAACCAAGTCACCAAAGATCACGCTAAATTCTCGACGCAAAGACTGCATGAGAAAATCGACATGCTTGGAAGAGTACCTCCGCCAAGACCCTCCAAATCAATCCCTTCGGCCATCGTCCTGCCGGACGCAAAGCAACCGGGTGAGCAACGCCAGAAGAACCAGAATGGAAAGCAGACGCAGCTCGTGAATGAAGATGATGACGACTGGATCAAGCCACTGACTAGTCCAGACGCTGCTGGATCATCTCTGAAGACCGCAATGCATATGGAATCGGAGAGTGAAGAGGAATTTGATCTTCGAGCTCCCGAATTGATTGCACACGACGAGCGAATGAAGTCTCCGATTCGCATGTCACCGGGTCCAGGTAAGATGATGCCAGGCTTTGGGCACACCAAGTCTGCATCAACCGCCACCCTGGCCTCGCCTGCAAAGGCATCCATGGCACCTCCGCCCAGCCCTGCGAAATCCATATCAGTATCAAATCCAGCCCAGAGTACGACAACTCCACACGGCTCGCCGAGGCGATATCTCGACCTAAGTGCATCGAAATCCAAGTTGCAATCTATCATGAAGACCGCCAAAGGCTTGTTCACCAGCAGCGCAAGTATTTCAGCTGCGGCCAAGTTGGAAACTTTGTCTCCTCATACTCTGAAGGTAGCTTCGAACGCGATGCCTGGAATGTATCCGAACCTTAACGCCTTGATCGAAGATAAGCCTTTACCTGCAAATCCCCCAAAAGAGGCAAGAAAGACCCGCAGTTCCACAGAGAGAGAGAGAGAAGAAAAACGAAAAGAAAGAGAAGCCCATCTGAAGCAGCGAATGGATGAGCAGTTAGAGAAAGCGCGAGAGGAAGAGAGGAAGAAAGTTGCGGAACAAAAGCTCGTGCGTGAACAGATGACTAGAAAGGAGTTCGAGCAGGTAAAGCCTTCAAGCCCAAAGCGTCAGACTGCTGAACAACAAGAACCGATCGAATCAGCAGCAAGACCAACTCGGCCAATAAGAGTGGGAAAAGAGCACCCGATCAACAAAGCTAAGCCTGCACCAGTATCGATACGTGTCGGGACACTCTCTCAACGAATGCCGGCGAGTGCCTCGCAAGCGGCTCCGAGTACCCAGGAAACCCTGGCTGCAGAGCCCAAGCGCCCAAGGTTGAATAAGAAGGCTAGCACTGCCTCATTGCAGTCCTCGACATCGACAACCTTGAAATCCTCAGTCCATGCGCCTCCAAAGCCGAGAGCTTTGCTTGCAGCAGAACGCAAGAAGGAACAAGACGAACGAGAAGCACAGAGAAAGCTCGACCAGAAGCGGGAACTGGAGCGCAAGCGAGCGGCTCAACAGGAAGAGGCGCGAAAGCAAGAACAGAGGCAGCGTGCGGAGGCAGAGAAGCGTGAACGAGAGCGAGTGGCAGCGGAACAAGCGAAGCGACAGGCTCAGCAGCAAGCCATTGAACGCAAACGTCAAGAGACGGCTAGAAAAGCAGAGCAGCAACGGTTGGAGCGTGCTGCCAATGAAGCCGCCCAGATTAGACCCTCCTCGCGTCTTGGTGGTCAACCTACGGGCCGTTCAATCCTCAACCATCCCTTGCCCACCAATCCCGCGAAGCCTGCGAAGCGACCACTGGAGGAAGAACAGGGCACTACGCGTCCCCAAAACTCAAAGTATGGCGTTCTGGCGTCTCAAGGCGATACGAAGAGACGGAAGACTGAAGAAGAAACCGTGACTGAAGCCTTTCCACGTCCCGTTGTTTCTGGTGCCCCTATCCGGCAGTCACAACTTGGGAAGAAGACATCGATCTTCAACCATGGTACATACACCCAAGCACAATCCTCGACATATGCGGCCCAATTTCCCCAGCCTCCCAGCCGAGCCGCACCCCCACAGATGCAACAATATGCCACAGGCGGTAAGATCCCCTTTGCAGATGCCCCTAACCCGCCGGCACATACGAAAACTCCCGTGTCAATCATGCAACAGAAGACGATCCAGACGGTCAAGTCTTCACCACAGTATCCGAACGGGGAAGCCATTCATCTACCCGAGATTCCAACCGACTCGGAGGATGAGGATTCAGACGATGACGGCAATGCATTCCCTATTCCTGACTGGGCTTCACCGGGCCACCTTACGGAACAACTCATCCGGCAGGAGGGCATGGATGGGGATGTGGTTTTCGGGCCCATCGCACCACTGAAAATAGAAGAGATATTCTCCAAGGGGAACAAAGACAGATTGAAAAGACTTCGAGACCGGACTAGCAGCGCCAATTGGGCACTTAGCGGCGACGGGCTGACGCTCGAAGAGGTCAGGGCCGATCGAGAACAGCGAGAACGAATGAGACTGGAGGGTGGTTGGAGATACGGCAATTAAGAGGAACACCCAAGCGCAGAGCAACTTTGCCTTGGTAGGGATCTGATGTTTTACGAAATCGCGGCTTTTGGGGCCATAGGCATCTTGGAGGTAGCATACTGCACTTTGGTCGGCGTCCTTGTGTGCGAGCGGATGAAAAGCCAAAAGAACCTATAGGGAGTGATGCATTGACAGTATGGGTTGGGGCATCTGCCGCCATAGAGTCTTCACCTGGGTACAGGCAGTCAATACATTTTCAATTCTTGTGGCTTGAGATCTAATTCACGTTTTCAACCCGGAAGGAGGATGAGGTTTGGCTCTGTATTTCGGGGCCAAATCTCATTTCGCGATATAATATTCCCTACAGCGTGAGCCTGACATGAGGCCACCCTCCTCTATTTCTTGCTATTCTGAAATGATTTGCATTCTTTTGCAATGCTTGTGTATATGGATGATCGGATTACTTCATCTGAACTATCCCGAGGTTTACTAGACATTCAAAGGACGCAAGAATACTCGAATAGGATGGTATAGACCTGCTTTGGGACTAGCGTGCACCCGACAATGCAATGACGCCATGTTTACTGCATCCTAGACGTGCTAGAGTAGGTACGTAGCGAGGTAGGTATCTATTTAGCAATGATCCAATATTGCTCACCTTGGGGTAGAAATCTCATGATCCTTTGCTCTTCTCTTCGAAGTACTCTTTTTTGTGCCGAAGCTGGTTGAAAATTCACTGTGCTGTGCTCCAAGATGGCCTCGTACGTATCGCGGTCATTCGTGCGTTCATTGCCACCTTCCCTTCGAGCCCGAGGCCGTCATTAACAAGTCCAAAACCATTATCATCGGCGAAAGGCACCCTGGCATATGCTACGTCTACTGCACTACAGCCTCAGCTTCGTCTGGGAAGCGTAGCACCAAACTTCCAGGCTAAAGTCACACGTGGCGACCTTGGATTCCATCCACAAACTCATTGATAACACATGGGCTATATTATTCAGTCACACGGTCGACTTCACACCAGTTTGTACCACGGAACTGGGAGCATTTGCCATGTTGAAGGATGAGTTCGAGAAGCGAGGGGTCAGAATGATCGGCCTGAGCGCAAACGATCTCCAAAGGCACGACGAGTGGATCAAAGACATCAATGAGATTTCCAAGACCAACTGCAATTTCCTATCATCGCAGATGCGGATCGCAAAGTAGCATTTTTGTACGACATGGTGGATCAACAAGATCTAGACAATATTGACGAAAAAGATATTGCATATACCATTCGGTCTGTCTTCAACATTGACCCGGCCAATAAGATCCGGCTGATCATGGTCTACCCGGTTTCCACTGGCCGGAACACGGCTGAAGTCCTTCGGGTCATCGACGCACTCCAGCTTGGTGGCGAAAGAGGAGTGACGGATCCCATCAACTGGGAGATGCGGCAAGATGTGATTGTGCCTCCCTCATTTTCCACTGGGGACGCGAAGGAGAAGTTTGTTGATGTAAAGGTCGCCCATATCAGAGGTTCGCGACGGGCAATTTGAAGAAGCCTAGGTAGAATTCAGTTTGAGGGGATAGTTGAAACGACTTTTATCTTTATAGAACGTCATCAAGATAAATGCGAGATTCGGATACATCCTCATTGTCGTAGAGGGTATTAATAACGAAAGTTGACCAGACCTTCTGCTCTGCACCTCATACAACTTACTTATACTATGAGTAGCTAGACTCGGTCGAAGCGAGGGCCAGCGCTGATCCCGAATTTGATCGGCTGTAGCGGGCAAATCGGAGCAATATCACCACTATTCGCCTGGTCACATCCCACGCCTTAAACAAACGAGAATCCCCTCGAGCCGCTCCTTGTTCCGCAAGTAAAAGAGAAGTAAACCTTCTCGACAACACGTCGCCGCCTCTGCCAGTTCCCAGTCCCTCCTCCGCAACCGACTCTTGTTCGATCTCGAAGTCCTTTATAACTCCCTCGAAGCGGCTCCGATCACACCGGGAACCCTTTACCTCCTTTGACCAGACTGCGCGGACCAAAACCACAGCGCCAGCCATTACTTCCTGCCAGTATGGCTTCTACATCAGCGGCTGCTGTGTTGCTCGGCAGACAGTTGAAACAAATGCAGTCAGACAAAGATATACCAGGCATCAGCTGCGGGCTCGTGGATAACAACGTTTTCGAATGGGAAGTCATGCTCATGATCAATGACGACTGTAAATACTACGGCGGTATGTGTCTGCAATTCCCATCGGTCTCGATACTAGCTGACGAGGGCGCAGGAGGATTCTTTCGTGCCCGCTTGTCCTTCCCTCTAGAATACCCTCTGATGCCTCCCAAAATGAAGTTCGAAACTCCAATATTCCACCCTAATGTCTACCCGACTGGAGAGGTTTGTATATCCATCCTTCACCCTCCAGTAAGTGCTCCTTCTCTTCCGACAACTCTTCTTACCTGGTGGGACTGATGTCATCCCACTTCCACGGTGTCGGCGCAGGCTAACGGACTTTCCAAGGAGGATGACCAATATGGATACGAGTCTGCAGCAGAGCGATGGAGTCCCGTACAAAGTCCCGAGACAATCCTGATATCTGTCATCAGTATGTTGAGTTCCCCGAACGACGAGTCTCCCGCGAATGTGGATGCAGCCAAGATGTGGAGGGAAGATCCCAAAGGTTTCCGCAGAAAGTGTCAGCGACTCGTGAGGGAAAGCTTAGGGGACGAATAAGTGCTGAACGCGGGGGGAGAAAGTGGAATCTTCTGGAGCAGTATGGGATTGCATAGCGTAACGGGATGGTAACACCTGGAACTGTTGTATCAGTATCCAAATTATTGCAATACGGGCTATCGATTTGCTGCGGGAGTTCTGCGCCTGGTGTCGGCGGCGTCGACTTGTGCCCTTGAGGATGAGGATATGATTTGCATTGCAACAAACATGAAGGAGCGATATCGTGTCCAAACGAATGACCTGCTTTGGGGTTCGTGGAGGAGCTGCTCTATGCCGTTCAGTCGTGGCAAGCGACGGGAACGTCAAACACTCCCATCTCCTAAACACAGAGATTGATATGGTGTGTGCTCGCACTTCTCCATAGCGAAATGACCGTGCAGCACAGGAGGAACCCAGGACTGTCAGCACCTTGTTTCATTTCATGTGGGTTTCACCCTCACTGGTGCAGCATGTCATGACAGGCCCAAACTGAGGCAGGAGGGAGAACAAAGCGTCCACACCAGAGGCAAATGAATACCTGGGTACATTGCCATCCACATACAGGAAGGACTCGGCGAGTTGTCACGCCGGTTGTGCAGAGAACATCTCGTACATAAGAATACCTGTAGCTCAAGAAGTGTACCCATGAACAACAACAATGCCCCTGTGGCAGTGCTTGTGAGGAGTGTAGGAAACGCGGCAGCCTGAGTGACGCTGATTTGCTGCCTTCGGCGTCGGCGGAATGTCTTGCTCCATCCACTTGTTTCACCCTCGACAGTCGCCCGAATCCCAAATAAAGGCCATTAAGCATCTCACCAGCCCTGCTTCTCTCTTTCTCTCTCTATCCCTCATCCTTTCTTCCTCAACTATTGTCGCTTGAATTTGCTTTCGTCTCATCCTCCCTCATCATGAGTCTGTCTACGCACCTAGTTCGTCGTGGCATGGAAGCTGCCCACCGTGGTATGGTGGCAGCCACAGCTGGGTCGGACCAACCAGCAGGAGGCGACGCTCCTCGAGTTTCACCTCTGGCTGGCATGGTCTTTATCCTTTCCAGTCTGATTTTCCTTGTCCTTCTGTTTTCTGTGAGTGTCTCTACTCTACAGCCTGAGCAAACCACTGACGAATTTGCAGGTTGGTTATACCTACGGCCACTTGCTGCCCATCTTGTGCATGGTTGAGAGCCCGGAAACCGAAGCCTACGTTCCTGTTGGCACTATAGAACCAACAGACCCTCCGGCTTACTCGGCGACCCCTGCTCCCAAGCCCGCACACGGACAACCTGACGGCCCGGAAGACGATACGGATGGCGATGCAGAAGTTCTCCTCGTCCGCAACAAGCCCTTCACGGCCTCGATCCGCCAAACAATCCTGCACCTCCGAGCTCGAGCCGGCTACTGGTCTCGATTCCGCGGCTTGTCCATGTTCCTTGCCTGGAATATGGTCGGTGGTTTCCTGATCTCCATCATTGCAAACATCTTTCCCAACCGCCTAGGGATTGCCGTTGCCGCCATTATTGCCGAAACTGCCCTTGCCACCTGGCATATGGCTTGGGTACACATTGTCATTTCGGAGCCCAGCGAGAAGAGATGGTACAAGCGTATTCCTACTCTGCGAACCTGGCCCAAAATAGCCCCGGCTGTTGCATTATGGGCGACTACCCACCAGGTCGTAGCCATCTTGCCCATGTTGGTCTGTGGTTCATTTGGATCGCTGAAGCATATGGACAATCCGGACTACAAGCCAGGCCGCAAAGATCTTTATGCCGTGGGCGGCCAGGGAATTCTAGGATTCTCGCTCATGGTTGCTCTATTCGTGCTCCTCCAGATCCCCGCCACCGTCACCTTGGTCCGAGTTGCAGCGTCCATGCTCCCAGAGGAGGACGAAACCATTGTCCCATTTGACCGCACATTTGGCGGGAAGACAACCCCCGCAATCATCGGTGGACAAGGCAAGATCGGCTTAGTCGAGGCGTGGAGAAGCTTCTCCTGGGAGAGTCGAATGCGGTTGCTGAGGTTGATGGCCAAGGTGACACTCATCTTCCTTGCTTGCTGGCTCCTCTTCACCATTGTTTTGGTCGCCGAGGCTCACATCTTGTTCGGGGACAAGTTGGGTGAGATGATGAAGACGGTACACGGCATCGCGCGTGCTCATCAGTGAGAAAGGAGCATTACGTGGAAGCAGGACTTGCTGCACGGGATTCAGACTTGGTTATCGGTTCGTCATTGCATGAGGCATTTGTATACTACAGGAAAGGAGGCGCTGCAATTAGGCTCGGGAAAGTTGGTATATCATGGTATCAATTGTATATTCGGAAAGCTGCACAAACCCAACCGTGCCTACGGAAGCCATTTTGAGAATGTGGACGCATTGCATCCGGACACCGAGATTTGTCCAGACCATAATCCTGGAGAACGAAAACATCTCGGGGCATCCGAGGGGCCTCCAAAGCCATTCCCCACGGCTGGAAGGGCAACGCGAGGCAAACGAAACAAGGCCGAACCTCGGCTGATGGCCTCTGGTGAATTTGTGGCTCCTTGCACCCTTCGCAAGCTTGTGAAATTCGGCGACTCTAAGAGGCATGCGACGTTTCCCGCGTCCCAAACAATTTTATTCATTGCATGCAATTCTCCTGCCCGTGAATTTATATCTGAAGCTTCACTGAGCAGCCCTTGGACCTTGAGTGCAGACATCCTACAATGATATCACATAGCTAAATCGAGTCCCTCCGCCCTGACGCGACTGCACCTGCCCCTCCGACAAGCCTCTAGGCTCGCCGTTGATCCCTTCGTCGCTCCGTCCGCCCGTCGCCCTCGGCCGCGTCACAACAAGAATAAGACACAGGCGCGCAGACTCGAGCTTTGAGTCTCCGACACTACCTCGCTGACATCCTGCGACCAGCCTACGTGGACCTCTTCTTCATCTCCATACCTTCCTAATCTCCTCAATGGCCCCAGCCACGATGCCGACGTCAATAGATCAACTCCCCTCTACTGAGGAAGTCAAAGAGCAGGTCAAAGAGACCGCCAAGGGCGCCGTCTCCGGTCTCCGGTCTCTCGTTGCTGGCGGAGTAGGTGGTGTGTGTGCTGTCGTAGTCGGGCACCCTTTCGATTTGGTGAAAGTCCGTCTACAGACCGCTGAGAAGGGAGTCTATTCAGGCGCCATCGATGTTGTGAAGAAGACCGTCGCGCGTGAGGGACTGGCGAGAGGTCTCTATGCAGGTGTTTCTGCACCCCTCGTGGGTGTGACGCCCATGTTCGCCGTCAGCTTCTGGGGGTACGACATGGGGAAAAGGCTCGTGGATACCTTCACTACGGTACCCGTCAAGAACAATACGCCTCAATATTCCATCGGGCAAATCTCAGCTGCAGGGTTCTTTTCAGCTATACCCATGACACTCATCACCGCGCCGTTTGAGCGTGTTAAAATCCTCCTGCAGATTCAAGGTCAGAAACACCTCGCGCCGGGAGAGAAACCGAAATATTCTGGTGGACTGGACGTCGTGAGACAGCTGTACAAAGAAGGAGGTATAAGATCTGTGTTCAGGGGCAGCGCGATGACTCTTGCCCGCGATGGACCTGGCTCAGCCGCGTACTTTGCTGTCTATGAGTACGTTAAACGCAACCTGTCGCCCAAGGATGCCGAGGGCAACGCGACCGGCGAATTAAGTCTGACGGCTGTCATGACTGCAGGGGCTTGTGCAGGTGTGGCTATGTGGATTCCTGTATTCCCTGTCGACACGGTCAAAAGCAGGATACAGACCGCCGAGGGGAGGCCGACCATCGGCGGTGTTGTCTCACAGGTGTACAGAAGTGGTGGCATCAAAGCTTTCTTCCCAGGTTTCGGGCCAGCATTGGCAAGAGCCATACCAGCGAATGCAGCCACTTTTGTTGGGGTCGAACTGGCGCACAAGGCCATGAATCAAATGTTTGGATAGAAGGAAAGAAGAAGAGGGATACAGTTTTACTATGGACAGTTCCAAGTATTGCCGGATTTGGCCTTTGAGCGCTAGGTGCGAGATCATACGTCCCGGCGTTGGAGGGGTTCTCTTTTCCTGCATACGTCGAATGAGGATCACAGGCAGATGCAAATGTACAACCACACGGGGTTATATGCACCTAGGTATGCAGTTGTCCTTTTGCCCGGCGTCCTATTGCCCCTATGGTGCTTTCAGAATACAAGTTTTGTTCGGAAAAGTTGAATGCTTCTGAGAGAGAAACAGTCAGCGACGCCACAAGCAATAAGTAGATTCAAAAGGCCCGTGTCGGTCCTTCGCTCGCTAGATTCAAGAGACGGCTGAAAAGCAGCCGGCGGCCCTCCGCAGATTTTGAAATCATGCCCTTTGCAAGCCATACGGCTCGTCAACCCATTTACCAATACCCATGTGCTTCACATCACAACGCAGCATCTGCACCACCCATCGGACCTCTCCCAACCTTCTCTCGTGGCTCCTCCTCGCAAATGCACGACAGATTCATTCTTCACTGTGTCGGGAGCTCGTGGGAGGGGATTGAGTCCACCGTGCGGTCCAGCAGACCCAGCATCGACGGGACTAGCCCCAGAACGTTCACGAGGTGCGTTGTCTTCGCCAACCCCAAGCATTTCGTGCATAACTGACTGGAGTGATTTGAACATGTTTGAGGTAAATGCTGCGCTCGTCTATGGATTCAGATTCGTCGGGGGTTGAGTTTGGAGTTGGTGCTGAATGCGATGGGTAGTTGGCAGGGCTGTCTGATCGTAGATTGATATTTCGTATAGGACTGGTCATGCAAACCCAAGGGACCGCAGGAGAAAAAGGGAAGGAGGAATATATACTCACGCAGGTATGTGACCCCGTTTGTTTGTTCGTATTTCACACGGTCAAGTTCTGGTAGCAAACGAAATGAATGCATCGCAATGACACTTCGCTCATGGCTTTCTGCCTGTCCGCCATAATCTACGCTCACTGGAAGTATGTGATCCAGCCAGCGGTGATGAAAAAAGGTTTATAGACCGGATACCCGTCATTGAAGACATGTTGACGGTAAGCGTACGCCAGGGCGGGTGCTTGCAATCATTCACTCGAGTCTTGATGGTCGGTCATGACCCGAAGATGACTGCGAGTGTTGGCTCTCACTAAAAAGGGAAAGTCCAATCTCACGCGCGGACTCTGCCAGCCAAGTCGGGGACATGGCGAGGTGAACAACGCCCCATGTGTGGCTTCATTCATTGATCTTCCAACGTTGTTTGCCGAACTTGTTTGCGTCTGCCAACATGGTTCTCTCCTTCATTCTTGTCCAGAATCGTCAGGGCAAAACGAGACTAGCCAAGTGGTACGCCCCCTACACAGATGAGGAAAAAGTGAAACTGAAGGGCGAGGTAAGAGGATGGTCAATCCACGACTCATCAACTACACTGGCTTCCGCTTTTCAAGGGCTTTCTTGTTGACTATTCAAACATCTCACAGGTCCATCGACTCATTGCTCCTCGTGATCAGAAATACCAGTCCAACTTCGTCGAGTTCCGATCTGCGCCCTCTTCATCCGCCTCCACATCCCACGCCCAACCTCTGGTCCGTCAGAACCTGTCCTCTACAAAGATTGTGTACCGTCGGTATGCAGGCCTGTTCTTCTGCGTCTGCGTCGACGCCAACGACAACGAGCTCGCCTACCTCGAAGCCATCCACTTCTTCGTCGAGGTGCTTGACCAATTTTTCGGCAATGTCTGCGAATTGGATCTCGTATTCAACTTCTACAAGGTCTATGCTATTCTCGACGAGGTGTTCTTAGCCGGTGAGATCGAGGAAACGAGCAAACAAGTCGTCTTGACGAGACTGGAGCATTTGGACAAACTCGAGTGAGTGGTGATGGTCCAGAAGCAAAAGCACGAGGCGCAAGGAACATATCAGAGTACCGCAAAGCACTTCGCAATCGGTCCCTCGAATCTGACCTAATGGTACACCGGTGTCTCTCGCGTACGTCCCTGAAGGCGCATTGTCAATCACATGCGGTGGAAGCTTCAGCATTCATATGCTATGTCGACTTTCAGGGGCTGGAATGTCGCCTGTCACATATCAGCAATGCCTGATAACGTCCTATAATCGGAGGAATACTGCAGCTTCCGGAGTCATGCATCTACCAGGCGTTATCTTTGGGCACACATCCATACAAGACACGAAGGCGTAGATCATCCGATAACCTGGTTGCAAAGGTTCACCAAGCAACAGAGCGGAGTCGCAGAGCTCAAGCCTTGGTGGCGGAAGAGGAAGACCATCAACGTATACGGCAGAGAGATTGTATGCCCAAAGCCCAAAGGGAAGATTATATGGTCTTGTCAAACAAATCTCCAATCAAATGAAGGGAAGGGAGATCGTACAGATCTGGTGGGCGGATGCTTGCCGAAGGCGAAGAAGATGGCCCAGCAGTCGCTCGATCTGCGACGACTCGGCGGTGGATGGAAGAAATCGTCAATGCATCAGATTCTCAACTGCTCTGCTTAGCAGATGTTCGATCTGCATGTTCGTGTCTCGCTGATGATTCATGTTCATCGCTTGAGCGCCTGAAACCTCTTTGCCAGATCGTCCACCGTCGGAACAGTTCCAGGCACCGCTCCGGCACCTCCGCCTGCAACTGCACTCTTTCCTTTTGCCGTCCCGGCGGATGGTGGGGGTTTCGCATTATTAACGCCCTTTCTGATCTCCCCTCCGCCAGGCAATTTGACCTTTGGGCTGAGATTTTCAGAAGTCGCGCCAGGGGGAGCTATCGAGACAGGACTTTTTGCGCCCCCAGGCTCCAAGCTTGATGGCGGTGTCGCATTCTGTAAAGATCCAATGTCGATCTTGTTTGGCCGTGATGGTGTCGCTGGGTTCGGTGATGCCCCGTCTGCAAGCAAAGGTGGCTCCTTCATACCGCCGCCCACACCATCGTCATCTCCCGTATCCTCACCATCAACTTCCCTACTCAATGCCTCGACCTGCTCCCCTTCACTTTGCGGTGGCCAGTCCACCCCGTAAGTCCTTGCAATCTCCTCCAAATATGCCTGCACCAATTTCGCACTCGGTGGATCGACTTTTAACTTATCCACCACTCGAGCGGGCACGCAATTGTCTTCATTCTCGTTCGCGCGAATCGCGAAGTCCTTGCCGAACCGCTCGATCAGCATGCTGCGCACGATGCCTAGCTCCCGCACATCCCGGGGCAACCGCGGGGCAGAGTATATAATGCTCGCTGCCGCCTCTTCCAAGCCGGTATCATCACCCGCCTGCGCTGTGCCTTCTTTGATGTTCTTGTCCCTGACATCTAACAGGCCTGCCCTGGCGAGGAGGAGTTCGGCGTAGAGTTCCAGGATCTCCATCAGCTCCACGGTGATGTCGGTGTGGATGATATTTTCAACGCGTATGCGGGCGGACGCTTCGCGAGATTGAGCGAGCAGCTCAGCCATTTCGCGGCGCGCCGACACGGAGATAGCGGTGTCTTTCTTCTGTGCATTGCGGAGGCGAGGGATGAGGAGTCGAAGGGTCGATTTCAGTTTTACCTGGGTGGAATGGATTAGTGAGACTTAGGGTTGAGAGGAGAGAGGAAACGCAGTTGGAGCCCAAAAAGCAAATCAAATCCTGCACATGGTCGAGGCGATAGTGACATTTTAGATCTGTGTCCTGGAATTGATGCCGCCAGGGTCTGGATAGAGAGACTCACTGTTTGAGGTGATGCCGCTGGCATCGTGAGGTAGCCGCAACGGCCTGGCTCTCACTGGCAAGCTGGTTTGGGCCGAAAGAGCTGGCCGCTGGCGCCCGGATAGGAAGGGCTAGAAGGTTACCGCAGTAAAAATGACACACAGTACGGTATAATATCTTTCTGAGCCAGTGAACTGTAGCAAGGGTGATCGGTAGAGATTGTTGTTCGCAAGTGAGAGTGGTGGGTGAGTGGTCACTTGTGCCGTGAAGGGTTGAAAGTGGGGGATAGACGGAAGATCACCAGGGACAAGGAGGGGGAGCCTCACTAGCCCCAGCTGGGGATTGTTCAACACTACAATGGAAATGCTGATAGACGTCACCCCGAACTGGCGTGAGGGTCGCACCACTGCCCCTATCGCGACGAAGACGACCTCGGTGTAAGTTTTCACTTGCTCGACCGCAAGAAAGCACGCATGTCAGAACGCCAGAGCACCCGGGCTAACAATCGATGTTGTTTCTGATTGTAAAAGTCATCTTCTCATACGTCATTGTTATGGTCGTCCGAGCGCGTCGTCAAAATAAATGAGCTCGTCAGCAAGGGCAGTAAAGATAGGTTCCTAGGTACACAAGTATTGAACCCACTCCTCAGCCTTTGATGTTCTCGTCGCTAGGATCGAGCGGCCAAGTGTCAAGAATCTTCAGCCTGTCCCCCCTTGTACACAGAAACAAAGGTAATGCTCCTACATCCTCCAGCCCGACAAGGCCGTTCAACTCCTCGTTTCTAGTCGTCTTCATGACCGAGGAAAAGGATGTGACCAAATAGCATGTTGATCATGGGTGTCTACATGCCGACGACGTCCTGGAGGGAAATCGGCTGGCTTTGAAGGTAGTCGTTGTTGGGGACGGTGTGGCTGCCTCTGCCTTCCCTGCCTTCCGAAGAGATCCGGAAGGTCGAGAAGGGGTCATTCTTGTGCGGAATATTGGTTTGCAATCCGTCATTATAGTTCCCTTGCATTGTGTATGAACGCCCCAATCCAGTGTCGGTGCAATGCAGCTTTCCACAGTCGTGTTGACCACGGAGGTTCCCACAGTGAGCGCTGTCGAGGCCACAAGTGCTGTAAGAGGCATAAGCCAGATACAGGCTGCCATGAGGTCTGTGCCCATGGCTGATCACCATAGCGAGAGAGACAGGAAACTTAACAGTGAGCTTCCGGCGAGGAACATTGCATCGATTACCAACACAATCACGCATGTTGGGCCAGAGCAACAGAGATGCTGGCCGCCAGGGATGCTTTAAACACGAAAGCTAGAGCGAGAGAGTATCGAACAGTCCAGGTCTGGTTTCCGACCGACTTCTCATTGATCTGGCTGAAGAAAACACAATGGCCTATAGCAGCGGCCAAATCTACGAAGAATAGCAGCGTCGCTATGCATGGTGTAACCCTGTAGATGTGTCTTTCGATTTCGTATCGATTACTTTCTCCTTGTGTAAGTGGTGTTTCTGTGCCTCCGTCTGATTCTTGACACTTTGAATAGTTGGTGCCTCTAATGCACAAATAGATGCGGGTATAAAACCCTTCCTCTGACCGAGAAGTTTGTTGTTCTTGTCCTGCAGGTGGCATGTGTCAGAAGAGGATATCAAATTTGCCGCATCATATCAGATCCTGTGCTGCTTTGCCACTCTGCAATTCTGCCACAATCTTTCATAGGTCAGGACCTGGTGCGGGCGGTGCCGACTACCCCTTTCCCCTGCACGCATTCTTCAGAGGTGTGTGTGGCTGAAGCTGAACTGCAACCGAAGGCGGGTACGCGAGTATTAGTAGGGAGTTGGCGGTACTTCTGGTTCGCATGCTGCAGGATGGAGGCGCTAAACAAACCGCCGAGAGACATATCACGTGTGGGGCTTTTCCTCGCCTCGGCTGGAGAGCGCCAAGAAAGCCCAGAGTGATCTGGTCACGTGGTTATCCCTTTTCCGACCTCAGGAGGTTTTATCGATCTACTCACTCACTTGTGCTGGGTCCCTCTCCATCGTTCGAAGCTCTCTTCAGCCGCGCTCATGACAGAGGTTGTGCCAAGTGCCATCAGACAGTGCGGCTGATCATCTCCAGTGAGGCCATTGCCACGAAAATGACCTTGGGCAACACCGGCAGCGTGAGATCTGTCTCATGTGATGACCCACTCCATCCGCGGTCTCGAGTCTCGACTCACCTAGAGAACCCAGGAGGTCCAGACAGAGACAGATTGGACTCACGAGGAACCGACCATTGGCCACGGCTGGTGCGCGAGGCTGTCCATCAATCTCCTTTTCGCTAGTCCTGCCTCCATCCACTATCCTCCTACAGTGCTACCCGTTGTGTCAGGCACATACCCTAGAGCTTCCACTTCTGGAAGGCCTACCAACCTTCGACCGTCCACAACGTCCATCCGGGATGTTGTTTTTATTCAATGACTGAATCTATTGGCTCGCTGGGTTATTACCCACAGCCAGACAGGAGCACTCGGTGACGCCGAAAGCGAGGCCCCTCGCCGCCACGTGCAGACAAGCGAATGCCATGCACAATCTCGGCGAAAGCTTTGCCTGTCGCTTATTTGCATCTCGACTCTCGATATGGGGTAGAATATGGTGTTTGCGGCTTCATCGACTTCACCTGAGCCCAAGCTTGGCGTCCGAATCCGGCATTGAAGGAGTCAAATTGAGATTCTCCCAGGAGTAGTCGACTGCATGAGATGGGGAGGAGAAACATGACCCTCCAAACTCAAATTCTGTTCGACCTGGAGTCTTGTATATAAAATGCATCTCCCCCATGATGGTAGGCAATATTGGTGAGCACTCCTAACCGGTCCAGTCCTTCGTTCGTGCTATTTCTTTCCATCTTTTGCAGTTTCCAGTCACTCATTACTGACCCGTTCGGGTCGTCCACTCCTTTTTCTTTGTTGTTTACGTCTAATCCTTTTCTGAAATCAATATGGCTGCACATCTTCTCGTTTCCGCTCTCACCCTCACCGTGGCCGCTGCTTCACCGGCTGGTTGGGATGAATGGACAACGCCAGGCACCACGACGACCACTTCTGCTATAACATCAACTTCTGCTAAGACCGAACCTTCGTGGGGAGACTGGACTGCTTCTACCAAAAAGACCACCTCCACAATCACTACTACCTCTGTTTCTACCACCAGCACAACTTCATTGAGCAAGACTTATTCGCACACTACATCAGTCGGACAGTGGGAAGACTGGCTCACTCATGGAGATGGCTCTTCCTCAAGCCACTCCGGTGGCAATGCAGGATCAGACGGCTGGAGCGACTGGGGAAGCAACGGGCATTTTGGTTCGGGTGGCTCCTCCTCAGGAACCTCATTGGGAGGTTCTTCGCCGGGTGGCTCAGCAAGTGGAGGCTCTTCATCTGCTGGTGCCTCGTACGGTGGTGGCTACTCCTCTGGGGGTTGGTCGTATTCCTCTGGAAATTCTGGCGGGAATGCAGCAATCGTCTCGGCTCCGGCGCCGATCCACACTCTGACCCCCGGCTTTCTCCCTTCACACAATGACCAAGATCTCTCGCACTTGAAGCCGGGTAGCGCAAAGGATTTGTTCTTTGCCCAGGGGGCTCCCAACTCCGGTATCTCGTCCGGATCTCTCTACGTCTCGGCCGGGACGACTTTCCAATATCCCACCGTCGTGCTCGATCATTCTGCCTTTGTGACAGCCACCGTGTCCGGCTCCTCATTGACTGTTGTCTTTTCCTCTCAACAAGCCTACAACTATGCAACCAAGTCGTGGCCTGCTGATGGTACTTGGTTTGTTCTGGCCACTACCGAGGGATCCGATGATGGCCACTATGTGTATTATCTGACTTCGTCGGTGAGCTTCGACTCTACCACATCCACCGCCACTTGCAACGTGAAGGCCGTGGATCTCAACTACGTCGCCGAAAGTTTCGACCTCGAGTGGGGTACCTATCAACAATCCTCCTCGACTAGAGCGACCGGAAGTGCGTCCATGACAGTGTCCTACGCGGGTTCGGGTGGAAGCTATTCAACAACCAGCAAGGGATATCCCGGTTCAGGTGCAACCTCGACCACGAGTGCTGCGGCAACATCCTTACCCACAGGCACCGACGACAGCGATACGTTCGACCAACAACTCGATGATGCTTTGGGATACATCGTGTGGGAGCAATCAGACTTTCAGCAAGACCTCAGTGAGTTTGCTGGCGGTCTCGACGACTATAACTGGGACGATTATGACGACGATGACGACTACAACGACGACGACGACGGTATCTTCGATGACGATGGCGATGATGACAACAGCGACGCTGACGTCGACATTGACACGGATGACGGAGGGTATTTTGAACAAGACTCCAAGAAGAGATCCCTTAGAAAACGTGCCACGACTACTCGGAGTCGAAGCAACGCTGTCGTTTCAGACATCCGCAAGAAGGGCGCAGCGGTAAGTTCAGAATCCGGAAACTCTGGGACAAGCACATTCCGCAGACTGACAATTGAGACAGGCATCCAAAGACCAAGCCGCCCAAAAGAAGCCATCTCTCAAAGACAAACTTCTTGGTTTCGCTAAAAAAGTTGTCTCCAAGGCATCTGACATCAAATCGTGGGTTGATGGTAGCCCTCACGAATACCAAATGAACAAGACCTTCACGATCCCCAACGCGACTCAAGTAAAATACGTGCAGCAGGACTTCTTCAAGGATGACAACGACAAACCACTCAATGCCATCAAGATCTGGGAGAACGATAATTTCCATGTCTACTGTGTCTCCTGCGGTGTCACGGGAACTTTGAAGGTGGCGGGCCGAGCAGCCTTCCACATTACCAAGGGCCTGACCATGGGCCAACTAGAGATGCTGGGAAACCTAGAGGCAGGCGTCAATTTGGGTGTGGCGGCTGAGGTCAATTATGGTGACAAGAAGAGCGTGAGACTTTTCACTCAGGGTATCCCAGGTCTCTCAGTCCCTAACATCATCACGATTGGACCATACATCACTCTCGACGCTGAAGCCGGTTTCACCTTCAACGCCACGGGCCAAATCCTTGTGGGTGGGACAGTCAAGGTCGCCAACGCTCGTGCCGTCATAGATCTTGTAAATTCGGGCAACTCACAAACCCCAACCTGGCAGCCACAATTTGAACCGACCTTCAAAGCCAAGGGCGAGATCATCATGGACACCTACGTCGCGCTCCCGATCGGTCTGGCCTTCGGTTTGGACATTGCCAACTCGAAGTTCACTGCCGAGGTAGCCGTCACCAGTGTCCCTTCGCTGCACGCCGGTGCCACCTTTCAAGCCGAAGTCAGTCTCTCGAATGGTACGCTGTCTGGTGGTGTCAACTCCACCGCCAACGGAGTCACTAACGGCGCGTCGACTAACAAGACCTGCAATGGCATCAACTTCTATATCAACCTGCAACACGACCTCAAGGCGAATGCAGTTGCCAAACTCTTTGGCAAGGAGAAGTACAAAACCAAGGACAAACAGTTGCTCAGCCCGTACAAGCTCAACTTGGCCTCCAAATGCTTGACTCTATCGGGAATCAAGAAGCGCCAATCCGACAACACAACTACTACCGACGACAGCTACGATTACGACAGTGACTCGCTGCTGACGCTATCGCAGTACGCAGACGGCACTGATCCGTTCCCGGATATCGATGTTGACGTGGATGGAGATGGCGACGGCGTGGACGACGAAGACGAATACGATTTCCCCTCCTTGGTCTCAGCATACTTGAATGACACATCGTCCAATTTCACTACTCCGCTAGACCTCGACGATTCAGTGCAATCCGGCCCGGAATACAACTACACTATCATCTCCGATACGGGACTTCTGTACAACCTTGCGGCCGATGACGAAGGCAACGTCCGCATCCAGGACATCGACTCCGAAACCTTTGGTAGTGCATTGTTCCAGGTGTTTGACGAAGTCGTTGTCGGCGACAGTGAGGGTCGCACACTGTTTTACTACTCCCCGGAGATGAGCAACTACGGCGTCTCACGTCTCCGCCTAGGCGACTCAGAGCACATCCCCATCTCCTCCGAGATTGTTGGATTGGTACCTTTCCTCGTCGATGACGAGACCAACGATGGAGCGCTCGACAGCGTCTTTGTCGCCATGGATACCCAAGGCAACGAGTACTGGACGGTGCTGTGCAATTACGCCGACGGCAATACCGCGAGTAAAGTCTTCCTTGTCCAGGACTTCGATGCAGGACTAGACACGTTGAAGAACGCGACGCTCGAGCAGTCAGTCACCGGAGGGGCGATCAGCGAGTGTGTGGACCTGCCTTTGACGAATGGCCTCGCTGGTCTCTAGTCATAAGGAGGTCTTTTTAGTTTTTAAAATACCTACATATAACCCGGCCCAAGCGTATGATAGAGGCTGATAGAGGCTGATAGGTTTTTCAAAACATAGCATCTCATTTTCCTGGGACTTACAGCATTGGGTATTAGCAATGGAGACTAGGCATGTGGACACAGTGACCATCTATTTAATTTCTCTCCTCCTTTCCTTTTCCTTTTTTTCCATCTCAGAGGGAAAAGAAGGGGCTGGGAGCTCTATGCCAGACTTCAAAAAACAATGCAGCATTCCTCTTTTCGGTGGCCATATTCGGGCTTTATTATGATCTCTCTGCCTTCAAGGAGAACGTGGCTGAACGAGTCCAGCATTGACTGCATAATCGTCTTGGACGAAGCTCGCACTATTATCGCAGACTGTAGTAACGGCTCTCTCCTCTGGCTGGCTAGGATGCTTCTCTGATCCCCGCTCCTAGTCTCAGCCTGGCGAGACAGCAACGACGGGTTTGCCTGATTCCGTCGAAGCTATTTCGTCCCCGAGGCTCGGGACGAGGTTGCTTGCGTAGTCGCCTACTGCTGTCTACCGTGTAATCTGAGCGATGATGACCCTCCCCAAGAGAGCGCAGCAATTCCCCTGCTCCCTTCAATGCCGCCAACATGAACACCATTGCTTCTTAGCGAAACCGGCGTCGTAAATATCAGGTCGGGCTTGCTCCCTCACCCATAGGCACCGAATTGTCCGCTCTGCGAAGTCCCCATCTCACATTCCTTTCTAGGGGCCTGCATGGCGATCCCTAGCTCTAACTTAATCCCATAGCCCCAGGGATAACGGCTTCTAGTTCATTCCTATTACCTTTGACTGTAGATGGAACTAGGGGTTTGGCTCACGGGTAACATGGGTTATCAACAGATCCGATTAAAAGCAACTATATACTCTCGGGCCAAACACAGCCAAACGTCACACGTTTGATATTCCCAACCGCGAAGTGCCAATCTCGAACGATCAACTCTCTTCAAAGCCCACCTCGATACTTGTGTCCCGACATGAACTTCCAACAAACAGACGTGGGCATCGTTAGAACAGGGTCTCCAAACCGTAGATATTCTGAGTTTGCGGTGCTATCAACAAAAATCTCCCGGGCGAGCAGGTGGTGATCCGAATGCGAACACGTGGTTGACGTAACCCTAACCCCTTGCCGGCATTACCAGAATGATACGGACATGAAAGTATGTTCTCCTTGTGCAAAAAAAAGGCGGTAAAGTTTCAATCCAAAATGTCCATCCAGAAGTGAAAAGGTGTGGTCAAATCGTCCAGCCGAGTCAATGGTCGGAATCAGGTCTGCGAGACCAGCTGCACTATTTTTCAAGTCCCATACGATAACCCGGAGCTCTTCTGCTTTGCGATACCATACCACAGAATATTGGAGAGCATGTAGGTGTCATATTGCGACGGCCACGTAAATGGCCAAGGCAGAGAGGATGCTGGCAAGAGAGAGTTGGGCCGTCGAGGAGCCACCAGTGGCAGGTAAGAGTGGAGCAATCGTAGACGAGGCTGGCCCGGACGGCGTTGCTGTGGCTTCGGCTGTTGTTTCAGCGGCTCCTTCGGTAACCCCCGTGGGAGGCGTATACGTGGTGTGATTGAACAAGGAGTAATATGGCGAGTGAGTTGGCAGTCCGTAGGAGTAACCGGTTGCCGTGGTAGACCCCGTCCAAGCCGAAACCGCAGGAACAGAGCTTGTCGTTATGGCCGACGAAGTCCAGGACTCTGTAGAAGACTCGATTGAGCTGGTCGATGCTTCGCTGGACGAGGATGACTGAGAAGCCGTGGGTGATTGCCAGGAGCTGGTGGATTGAAAAAACTGTCCGCCATTATTGCCACCCCACGAGGATGTTGATGAGCTGGAGCCACCATGACCGCCACTATCGCTGGTGTCACCACCGGCATTGAAGACCACGAAGTTGGCGGTCGAGCCTTTGGCAACTGTCACCACGCAGAAGGCGCCACCTCCCGCTCCAATACTCGAATCGCCAACCATTTCATTAACACTGTTTTGAGATGGATCGATTGAGCATGGTAGGCCTTGGCATCCACCGTTGGGACAATCAATTTTGACACCCCAATCTGGCATTTGATTGCGGAAAGGTGTGGCGGGCTCAAGATAGATAGGATTCCAACCGAGCTTGATGAATGTATTCCCGGAGGAATCGGCATTGGCTCCGGCCACGTAGGGAGACCAATTGCCGTAAGGGTTAGCACTCGTACCCCATACACAAGCTTGATCAGTGCTGATTCCGGGAGGATTGATGTAATAATGCGCTGCAGTTTCACACCAGTAGCTCGGATCTGGTACTGCGAGAGTCGCGTAACCGTTGACAGACGTGGGAATCAACATGGCTTCATTTCCCGGAAGCACAGTCTGGCAAAATGCCACAACGCTACCGGCATTGTTTTGGACGCCGATATTGGTACTGGTGGACTGGCAGTATGGCTTACTGGGAAATGGTTTCTGTATGTTGCCGTTCTGATCACAGTAAAGTCCACCGTTCTGAATATGGTCAGCACGATATGCGGTCAACTTGATACGCAGCAACTAACCATTGACTGGGGGTATGAGTAAGATGTCGCACTGGGGTCCCATTGCATAGACACTTGTCCAGCTGGACAAGCGTATGGGCAGTAGGTTCCTGGTGTACACTGCTGGTTGGGGCTCATGGCCCAACCGCCGTTCTCATCTCCTGGGGTGACCGCGACCAAACCAGCATCTGTGGGAAACGCACATTGCGATTGCCGCTTCTCCAAACTGGTCGCAGATATCGGACTTTCTGGAATCGATCTTACTTCTACTCCTTGCTGTCCGTCTTCAGCCGTTGACCTGGCGGCCACTTCGCGATTTGCGCGATGTCGTTTGTGAAGGGTTTCGAGGTGCTCGTGGATCCCGTTGTGTTTTGCGCTGACGAGAGAAGCGATGAGGAGTAGGAGAGCGCTTGCGCTCGAAGTAATTGTCCGTTTGCGCATGGTGCTTCGCGTGCGGCGAGATTTTCTGCTATAATTGTTGACGCATGAGCATCGCCTCGCGATACTCTGGAATTTTTGCCAACGCCGAGGAGGACTCGCAAATGAGTGACTAGGGTGAGTTGTTTGGTAAGGAACGTGGGTGCTCGCAGAGCGCGCAAAGCGAAAGACGACGAACAACAACCCCGACGACGACGAGCGCAGAAAACAGAAGCAGAGCGAAAGACACAACACACAATAATCAAAGAGAAGAAATTCAAGCTATGGCGAAGCGGTAAATGAGATGTAGATCAAGCTCCGAAAGGGCAAATTGCCCGTGACGGTGGACCAGGCCGGGGCAGAGCCACTCTGAAGCCACGCAAGGCTGGCGCATTGCTGGTCCACTGGGCAGGCCCAGATGGTTTGGAGACGGCCCACATTTAACACTGTTTGTTTTGTGAATGGGGGAAGGTCAGGGCGCCAACCCTGCCCTCGCGTCCCCCCAGTCCACTTTGGAGCATTGTCAATCTCACGGCGCGAATCAGAAATCCTCCGACTCAAGGTGAATGCCCGTGTGTGATCTACCTTATCGAATCGTCACGGGGAAATCAACCAGAGGCACATTTCGCGTATGGCTCGTTGCTGTGTGATGCGACCTCGTCTTGCCTGGAATGTTGGCTGGCAATCTCGTTGGTTCCTCGCCAATTCCAGTCTTGAATACCCTCTCCTCGGTCCAGGTCTTGAGAGAAAGTCTTTGCTCAGGGACGAGACCGGTCGAGGAAATCTTGCGTCATTTCTTGTAGCATGGAAGTTCGTTGGGACTAGCTAACAGTTGAAACCTGTGAACTAGGCACCGTTTGACTTTGCTGCCATGGTTCTGCAGAGATTCGTTGACCCACAGCGTGATAAGTTCCCCAGCGCAGAAACACTGATTGTTTTGGTTGCTGGTTGCTGGGGCGGGGGGTAAAATTGGGGCGAGTTGCGCCACGGCTGTCGGTGCAGCCACTAGCAAAGGGGTGAGCGTGAACGGATGGAGGTCTCATAGCTCTCGAGGCGCTGCAGGCTGTCCATCCGTGGAATGGGGCTATCGGGCCTTACGAGATGATATGTCGATCTCGAGAAGATGGAGGAACTTTGCGCTGTTGAGTTGGTGGACAAAGCGAAAATACAAGTTGAAAGCACAGGACGCTGCCAAGGTCGCGCAGCCTGGAGGTGGAAGCTGGGGAGCAGAGCACGTGACACTTCCCGCGGCTCTCCACATAATAACAATGGGGGAAACTCTACGAGGGATGGAGTATCGATTCCTCTCCTTCGGACACTGGAAGTCGATATTATGATATCAGTCCGTCACCAAGATTGAGCGACCTCGACCGGATGATGTCAACAGAATCACTCAGGATCTCGATCCAGGTAAATCGTTCCAAGGTGAATCGTCTCCAAACCCTTTCCAGCCCCAGCAGATACAATAGTGTTTGGCAAGGAGAACGAATTCCTCCACCTCGTCCATCCACTCCAACCCTTCAACGCGTTCCTTCTCCTCCGGTGCTATCCATCTTTGCCAGACGAAGTCTATGTCGGCCGCCTCTGCACCTCCGCGAGAACTTGCTTCATCGTCCCCAAACCCATGTGTTCTCAACCGCGTTCTCTGCTCCTCCAGACCTGCATACTTCTCCAGAGTCTGCAGCTGTATCCCTCGGCCCATCAGATTGCTTACCATGGTCTTTCCGAATGAGTCGTGGGGACGGATAGGCTCATAGATGGCAATAGCTAGAGGTGTCGTTTTGGGAAATAGCTTCGAGAAGTAATGCAATACCGCGTCAGCGCCGTCAGGTGGAAGGTACACGAGACAGCACTCCGAAATTATCAGCGTAGGGAGAGTCATGTCCATGCCGGTCAGCAAGTCTTCCTTTTGTGGGAGGTGACGGAGGTCCTGAGGATGGACAACGTAATCGGAGGACATCAACCCAGCCGCGTCGTGGGAAACCTGAACGTCTGCTCCCCGCAAGTCTACCTCAGCAAATTGCTTTGCGGCTGCTTCGAAGCTAGGGCTGCGCAGTTGGCTGATCTTTCGCCGTGTGTTGGCTTCGAAGTCGAGTTCGTGGTAAATCACGTCAGGTTTCCGGCGTTTCTGCCTCAAGCGAAAATATCGGGTGTCGCTACCGGCGCCCAAGGAGATGATTTGCTTGCGCCCCTCCCCTGCAGAAGACAGGAAAGTATCGACGATGCGGTCAATGCAAGTCGTCCTGACGTAAGTACCTGCGGCCGGTAAATTGAGGACTCGGGCCATGTTCACAGCCAGAAACCTACCTCTGTTCATGAGCGGCAACCGTCTTGTCACCGGACCTCCAGTGTGCAGCAGCGCAGAGAACGGGTCCTCAAGGTAACCAGCATCTACAGCACTTTGTCGAGAAGTTGCAGCGTCGTTATCCGTGCTTTGCACAATTTCATCGTGATGAAGCTGGTTGCGACTTGATCCGTGCCCGGCACCGACATGTGCAGCGTGATCCGCTCGACTCCTCCCTCGTCCGCGCTGGCCTCCTCTGCGAAGAGAGTTTAGGTTTGGGATAGCAGGCGCGGACATGTTCGCGAAACAAAGTAGGGGTTTTCACAGCCAGCGAGACCACAACCGCCGGTTCTGATGGAGGTAAAAGTATCTATGAAGATGTCAGGCAATCGACATGGACTGCACACCCAGAGTAACACGTGCGACTGGTTCAACGCTAGTACTAGCTCGCTAGGTACCTAGCGCTAGGTAGGTACTTGCCTGTTTAACGAGTTTGTACTGTAACTGGTAGTTTTGCCGAAGCATTCAAGTCTGACGCCATTCGCATGTGGGAACTTTGAGACCACAGGTGCAGAACAGCACTGGAGACCACTATCTATCAAACCCGTCCGATTTATGCATTTGCACTGCATTAGGTGTTTCGAGCTATTGTGGAAGCATCTGTCTGCTATGTGGTAACACACTGAGCTACCTAGGTAATACACTCTTTACATATGGGAATGACCCAATCTAGAGGCCGGTCAGAGTATCAAGTCCCTGCGGCGAGCCATCCACATAGACACCATTCACGGTGAAAGTTTCTCTAATGTTACGCTTCAGGCTGATTAAAAATGTATTCTGAACCGGAGCAAGAGACAAAGCTGCGTATCCTGGTGCATAGCGGACTTCTCTATGTCACGTAACAGATGGGTCGTTAAAGCCGTGTCATTCACGATATAGGACTTATGCAATTGTTCTGGCACAGCCCAGGAAGCTGCGCATAAAAATTTGGCGCATTGGAACTTGGTGGTCAAGGCAGCAAGTCAACTCCGTCCACTGGCGGCTCCCAGGCTTCCAAAAATCCCCCACAACTTTCCCTCAGGCGTAATTGAAGTTGTTTCGACACAGAGGACAACTTGAACTATTGGAGCTTTTGAACCATCGGAAGAGACAAGCCCCATGGAAGGTGTTGCGGCAGGTTCCGCATCGCTTGTTAGGGGTTTGCATGTCCGTCCCAATGATTGAGTAACAGATGGCACACTCACTCTGGCCCTTCAGCGCGCCCTGGACATTGCGCCGGAAGGCAATGAGGCCCTCGATAATGCTGCCAGTGCTGAATATGATGATTTGGAAGGTTCGTAACCACGATTGCCAGTTCTTCTCCGAGACACCTACTCTAGTGCGGGAGGACACGGTTGGGGAGTCCAGAGGGTAGGTTTTCGGCAGAGATATCGCTAAAGATATGGGCGGCGACTCGGGATCTACCGCAATCGACGCTACCACTTCGGAACCACTCAGTGATGTTTTAACCGTCAATGGAGCATCAGTTTCCTCTTGGGATTGACTTCGTATCCAGTCACTGACTGCTGCAGCTGCGGCGGATATCAAGGCTGGAGCGAAGTATTTCTGGGTCCAGCTCTCCAACGGTGACTTGATACGGTTCTTTTGTTCAATGAACCAACTTCGTGTGAGTCCAGGAAGATACAATAGACAGCAATAATAAAGGTGCATAGCGAGATGCAGCTGCTCTTGTTCATCTGTTTCGTTGGTATCAAGTTCAAAGGATTTGATGTCGACCTTCGACGCATCAATTGGGCGGCCACTCGGGATCCGGCAAATATCGCAAATCAAGTCAAGGAGACTCCCGAGAGTAGCGTTGTCTTTGATGTTGGTGGCATAGAAGCCCCGGAGAGCGTACGACGCCGTCGGAAAGTGATCAAAGACTAAATGCCAGGAAAGCAGATAACTCTGCCGCGACGCCGCGGCCCCTGACGCGGAAGGGTTTGCCGTATCCAATAGTACACTCAAAAGTTCGGATGGGAGACGAGCAACTTTTGACTCAAGCGCAACGTCCAGCGAGGTCTGCTCCTGCTCGGAGGGGATTGACCGATGCAGAAGGTCATAAGCAGCCCTCCGTACCGGAGCTTCCGGCGACGATAAGAAGGAATACAAGTCTGCATCTGGTCGCACGTTGATATGCGAAAGATGTCTTCGAAGCAGTTCAGCCGTAATCTGGCGGGGTTGGTTCACCTCGTTGCTCGGTTTATTGAAGCTGTTGAGACAGTGTAGCAGTCCCTCTTCCAGAGACGGTCTTGAGGCTTCCCAGGCTTCAACCAAGTCTTCATTTGCATCTTCAGCGCTGGCAAGTTCTCTTAAACGCTCGTATACACGAAGTGAGGCATGTAGGAGAGGGAGATCGTTGTTCAGGTCACTGCCATTCCGCCAAATGGTCGCCAAGGTTTGAAGGATGCGTTCCCAATGGTCCCCGTAGATGTCTTTGGTAGCCGTAACAACTGGTTCGAGAAGTTTCATGGCCATTGTTTGACAAGCCAAACTAGCAGAGGCATCGCCAGCCACGCGCTCTAGAGTTTGCATCAGGAAGATCTGTCGTGGACTAGAAATGGTCTCTAAGGGTTTAGACTGTCCACCTAGGAGAAGGTCTAGTAGTACCAGTGCCGGTAAGCCCTTTTCGACTGTCGAAGGAATCTTCAAGTCGGTTCCTGCGGTAATCAATTCGTTGAGTAGTTTATGGCCTTGTGGTGAGCCGATGAGATAGTCCCGACACGTGCAAATCAGACTTGCCGACCGCGCAACCTCTTCCAATCGGTACATGCTATTTATTTCCTCCTTCATTGGGGACGTGATTGATGCATGCCCATGTTCGTCGATGGAACGCAACCCTATGTCGGTAAACGTCAAGCTGTAGTAGAAAGCCTGCGGGTCTAAAAGCTTGGTCGAACGAATCTTTTCGATCCAAATTTCAAGCATCTTATCATCTTGAGCCCATTTCTGAACGAAAGAATTTCCTTGCGCAAGTGATTCAGCAGCCTCTTCCGTGACCTCATCGCTCGTGCTTTGCCAGAGATCACTTGCAATCTCCAGGGTCAACTTCTGATTGACGAATTGTAGAGCAAGGGGATAGTAAGTGTAGAGCGTTTGTAGTTGCTCTTCTGATGCGAGGGCCATTAACTCGGTGTCTGATAGCATCTTCGTCATGTAAAGAACCAGCCGAAATAGGAGAGAGCATCCATCGGGGTCTTTGAATCGCTTCTTGTTTGTGACAGGGTCCACCGGCCGAATCATGAAGACAAGTCCGTGAAGTGGGTTTGTGATTGAAAGTGACAGAGGTGGTGGAGTGTGCATATGAGCTTCGAGAGCAGCATTCCACTGAGTAGCAGATGGCATAAGGGCGGTGGTCACGCCAGGTTCGGGTGACGGCGAAGTTTTGAGTGTGTCTTTGGCGAGGTCAATCAATAAGAAGATGGAAAGAGGGATGCCGCTCCCGGAAAGTTGATCTGCAATGACAGCAGTAGAAGAAGCTACTGTAGACGATGCTCCAGCAGGCAATGTTTTGATTTTGGCTATAAGCGAGGTTGCCAATTCGGCTGTTTCCACGTTGTCAGAGTCGGAGAGAACGAGCAGCTTCGAGAGGATCATGCTTCCTATATCGTCAGTGAAGAGAAATGACGACCGAGGGTCGCTGGATGTATTGAGGAGGAAGCGAAGAACTGCGAGCTGTGACGCAGAGTCGGCCCCCGGCGATAACTGAACTAGAATCGTTTGGCAACAATTCGTGTGCAGACTGGACCGAACAAGTTTGGAATTCATCAATATACTTCTCACGATATCTTGTGCAAAGCCGTCGTCGAGTCGTGATGATATCTGGCGCATGATAAAGAGCTGGATTGCAGGATTCTGTGAGAGATCATCTTCGGAAGCTTGACCTAAAAGACGTGCAAGTGCATTGGCCGCGGCATTCTTTTCTGTATCCATCAACTTTGTGAATGCTTGCGCCAGATTACGATGGAAATGTAGCAGGATCAAGGATAGATACTCTGCAGACGGACTAGTAAGGAGGTCGATGGCATCTGAGTCTAGGAATTCTCCCAATAAACTGGACGTTACTGTCTCCATAGGGGCAGTGACTGCCTCGAGAACAGCGGCTGCTCCATATGGCTTGCCGTTACGCGCTTTCAAAAGCTGCAAAGCAGCATTCAGCAGCAGGCGATCTGATTCTTGAAAGACGTCCGCTGCATGCGACTTGCCGGCCGGCGATAGAGACTCGGCCCCAACAACAAGGGGCTTAAGGCGGAAAATCCGTTGGACTTGCGCAATCACGGCGTCCTGTGATTTCGTAAAATCTTGCGAGTTTTCAGGCAGAGATAGCTTCATGCTAGTAATGAGTTGCTCACAGTAACGAACCCATGCATTCTCGAATGAGGAGTAGCAATCGCCACGGATTAGACTTATGAGTATCGATGCCGCAATCTTGACGTTGCATGTAATCGGAATGTCCCAGGCGCTTTGCTTAGGATCTTGAACAACGTATTGGTTGGCCAAGGGCAGGACATCCTTTTCCAGTAGCGATTCTCTGGACCGGTCATCTCCTAACAAGTGGAGTGCCCAGAAAGAGACGTCGACGTAAGCGGACCACGCAGCTTCGAGGTTTGGACGGGGTTCTTCACTGCTGGTTATGCCCGCGCGCAATGACTCAAGTAATGTTGTGGCGTCATTGACGTGGACTTTTCCATCCTCGGGGAGGGCGGTCCAGGCTTCGACTGGAATCTTCTTGAGGAGCAAGGCGATGTCAAACCAGAAATCCGCCGGACCTCGCTGTGAGCCTTTCCGAAAGTACTGGAACAGTCTTTTTGACGCCAGTGTTTTCGACGAATAATCCGTGGTCCATACCTCCGGCCGGACTGAGGTGAGAGTCAGAAGCGCTTCTGACAGTTGGCGAGACGAACCTAACTGGCTGCTATGCAAAGCTCTGCCAATAAAACAAGCACTCATGATTTTCCAATCCAGTTGTCCAGGAATCACACTTGCACATATGCTGGCTAGGTTACAGACAGCTCTTCGAAGAATGGGGTCGTCGTGAGACGAATATTCCCAAAGTCTCCTGTCCGCTGCAATCCTTCGAAAACTCTCAGGAACGTCAGGCTTGCCGGCTCCCGATTCTCGGACGAAATTGATTTTGATAGCTTGACTGAGCATCTGCATAGCATTTCCAGCTACTCGAACAAACTTCGCCTCTGAATCATCTGGCGTGGTCGACCGTTCATCGCTCAAGGTTTGGGGTGTCTGGACCAAGATGGCATCATCGGCGTAGTCAAGGAGGGCGTTCCTGTAAACTTTCCACAGCGCCCGTCTCTTATCATCTGTGGCAAACGCAGCTGCCACCGATTCTTGTGACGTCCGAGCCACCAACTTGTCATTATCATAGCAGCCAGAAAGCCACGCTCCGATCACCTTTGGTAGGTGAGGTGCCATCCGTTTGCCGGCGAGAGCAGTGAGGGAGCCTTGCAAGGCATGGGCGAGTTGGCGGACTCTGCGTGCATTGTCCATGGAAGTCCGTGGATATAAATTGACCTTCGCGGACTGTTAGCACGCAGTCAATTATGGAAGAGAGAACCACCAACCCATGCTTCCAGGAGGCCCGAATCAATGTCGTCGCCCGAGGTCAACGAGTTGACATAATCCTGTACCTCCTCAAGCGCTTTGGCTTTTGTAGTGCTGTCCTTCTTGCCAAGATTTCGAAGGGAGACAACTAGGTTCGGATTCGAGACAATGCTGAGATCTGGTTGTTCAGCGACGTAGGATAGCGAAGAGGGCGCAGTTTGGAATCCCGGGGACGGCGCGCCAAAGCCGAAGGCGGGGGACGAGGACGATCCAAAGGCAGCAGAAGCAGCACGAGCGCTCGAGGCGGAGGCCTGTGACTTGAACTTCTTGCTCATGCTGCCGCGGTCGTCCTCCTGAACTTGCGGTGCTTGACGAGATGAACTACGCGATGTCTGGACTGAGCGTGCAGCCTCGTGGGGTGACTGGCCAAAAATTCTGACTGAAGGTTATTTGTGAATGACGTCGCTTGCAAGATCGCACAACTGGGGATCTCCCGCTCTGCTGCCTGCCTTTGCCTACCCGTAGACGCGTGCCACCGTGGCGGGCGTGCACCAACGGTGAAAAAGCAGACCAACATCTCGACCGCCGCCACATTGTCGCTGCCCTCATAATAGAACGCTTCCTTCAACGTTATCGAGGGTTTGACATGTTGCTATTCGGCTGACCGCAACAGAATCGCTCGACTGAAACGGACGCCAGGGGGCAGTGGCCGATCCAGGCCACGCTCTCAACATGAAGTTCTTTATTGAGTGCTGCCGTCTCCTTCCGTTTCCCTTAATACAGCTTATCTAACGATTGATAGCGACTTGCCTGTTCTCTTTCCCTACCCTCGAATTTATCCCGAACAATATGCGTACATGTGCGACCTTAAAAGGACCCTCGATGCTGGGGGTCACTGCGTCCTTGAAATGCCTTCAGGAACCGGCAAGACCGTTTCGTTACTGTCCCTCATCGTGGCGTACCAACAACACTACCCCGAGCATCGCAAGCTCATCTACTGCTCCCGTACCATGTCAGAAATCGAGAAGGCTCTGGCTGAGTTGAGAGCTCTTATGAAATACCGGGCTAAGGAGCTTGGTTTCATCGAGGACTTTCGGGGCTTGGGCTTGACCAGCAGAAAGAATCTGTGCCTACACCCTTCCGTCAAGCGGGAGAAGAGCGGCGCGGTCGTCGACGCAAGGTGTCGAAGTTTGACGGCTGGCTTCGTAAGAGAGAAAAAAGAGCGAGGAGAAGATGTCGAGGTCTGTGTCTATCATGATAATTTGGATCTCCTCGAGCCGCACAACCTGGTCCCTCCTGGGGTGTTTACTCTGGATGAACTCATAAGGTATGGTGAAGATCATAAGCAGTGCCCCTACTTCTCAGCCCGGCGTATGATGCCGTTCTGCAACGTCATCATCTATTCCTACCACTATCTCCTCGACCCCAAAATTGCGGAACGTGTCTCAAAAGAGCTGTCCAAGGATTGTATAGTTGTCTTCGACGAAGCCCACAATATTGACAACGTCTGTATCGAGTCATTGTCCATTGATTTGACCGAAGACTCACTGAGGAAGGCTACTCGCGGGGCAAACAACTTGGAAAGGAAGATTGAGGAGATGAAGGCGTCCGACGAGGAAAAGCTTCAGAATGAATACCAGAAGCTCGTGGAAGGCTTGAGAGAAGCAGACGAAGCTCGAGCGGAGGATGCCTTCATGGCCAATCCTACTTTACCCGACGATCTTTTGAAGGAAGCTGTCCCTGGCAATATCCGTCGAGCCGAGCATTTTGTGGCATTTCTCAAACGCTTTATCGAGTATCTCAAGACGCGAATGAAAGTTCTGTATGTCATTCAGGAAACTGCTCCCTCGTTCCTCGCACATCTCAAAGAGTTGACGTTCATTGAACGCAAGCCACTGCGGTTCTGTGCTGAACGATTGACATCACTTGTCCGCACCTTGGAATTGACGAACATCGAAGACTACCAGCCGTTACAAGAGGTCGCGACCTTTGCCACGCTTGTTGCAACATACGAAACCGGATTCCTTCTGATTCTGGAGCCCTTCGAGACGGAGCAAGCGACAGTCCCCAACCCGATCTTGCACTTCGCATGCCTCGATGCCTCGATTGCGATCAAGCCTGTTTTCGAACGATTTTCGTCTGTCATCATCACTTCGGGGACCATTTCGCCCTTGGAGATGTACCCAAGGATGCTCAATTTCAGCACCGTCACACAAGAGTCATACCCAATGTCACTTGCAAGACGATCTTTCCTGCCGATGATCGTTACCCGTGGCTCTGATCAACAATCTATAACATCCGGCTTTCAATCCCGGTCCGATCCAGGTGTGGTACGGAATTATGGCGCTTTACTGTACGAATTTGCAAAGATCACCCCGGACGGCATCGTCGTCTTCTTTCCCTCCTATCTTTACATGGAAATGATCATCAGCATGTGGCAGGGGATGGGTATCCTGGACCAAATCTGGACATACAAGTTGATTCTGGTAGAAACGCCGGATGCCCAAGAGACTAGTCTGGCATTGGAGACGTACCGCACTGCGTGTGAAAATGGCAAAGGCGCGATTTTGCTCTGTGTCGCTCGCGGCAAGGTGTCTGAAGGGATCGACTTTGATCATCATTATGGACGTACTGTGCTTTGCATGGGAGCACCTTTCCAGTACACGGAATCGAGGATCTTGAAGGCACGTCTGGAGTTTCTGCGAGAGAATTACAGAATTAAGGAGCAAGACTTCTTATCCTTCGACGCTATGCGACATGCGGCCCAATGCCTAGGGCGAGTCCTGCGCGGGAAAGACGATTATGGTATAATGGTGTTGGCAGACCGTCGATTTCAGAAGAAACGGACCCAATTACCTCGATGGATCGCGGAAGAAATTACTGATGCTCAGACCGGGTTGAGCACCGATGCCGCTGTGGGGATGGCAAAGAAGTTCTTAAGAAGCATAGCTCAGCCGCTAGGACCTGGGCAGAAATTAACTGACGGCTCGACCAAAGGTAAAGACAGTTGGGACCTGAAGGAGCTGGAAAACTTCCAGAAAGAGCAACAGGCGAGACGAGGCGAAGGCGATGTGGGAAGAGAAGATGCAACAATGCACGATTACATGCACAGTGAGGTGAATGGGGCTCCAGTGCAGAACGGTACCAATGGTCATGTCGGTGGCCTAGACGAGTTTGATGAGGTTATTGCTGACGAGGAACTGCTGATGGCAGAAGCAATGGTCGTGGAATGAAGGAAACGATATGATTCCTGGTCCACATTGCAGGTTGGCAGAGTCATTTCTCGGCTTCTCCAGCCCAGCTGTGCTTCAGCTTCTTGATTATGGCTTGAACAGGCCACCCGGTTCTCTTTTGACTGTCAAGAAGGTGGTTTACCAATTCCCGTCTAGCATCATCTCTCGACAGCCACTGTGCGCCTACAGTTTCACAAATCAGCTCCGTCCTCTTAGCCACCAGAAAAACTCACTGTAGCATATTGGTCCATATGAGTTTACAACAACAGGGTCGCTATTGGCAGAAAAAGCCATTCCACATATGGCCCGGGCGTGGGCTTCAAAGTCCACGGGACTTCCGGTGTGCAGATCTAGGAGGATCTGCGCGACATGCCAGTATTGCATGGCCGCGACTGGAGTTGGTCAGGTCACGAACGGAAACGCAGCGGACAAACTTACCGTGGCAATCCTCAACCATCTGGATCTTTGGCAGTACACCTTCGTGGGACTCATGGTAAGGCTGGAATGGTACAGACAAATTCCAAGCACTGATGGCTGACTGTAAGTCGACGAGAAGTTCCGAACCATCCGCAAAGGCGGCGTTTATGACGCGGGCCAACAGGATCGTGATTTGGTTTGCGTAGTCATCATCGCGACACAGCTCGATGTCTATTGCTCCGACTTCGATCTTCAAGGGACACCGATTGATGAGCGAGAAGGTGATATCTTCGCGGAGGTAATTCCATAAGCCGGCCCTCAGCAGTGGTTCGTCCGGAAGGCTACAAGACAACGACGGTATCAATGAGAATGCCCCAAAAAGATGTCGATTGGGATCTTCCTCCTCTGACCAAGATCAGCCAATATTAACTCCAAAATTCTTCCTCTCACCTGCTAGAATTTCATACGACCGCAAGAGACAAGTCGCGGCCAAGGCTGTCCCGTCCTTGATTTCTGGGGATGTCTCGGTGATTCCGATCAACAGCCGCAAGCAGTGGGCATGATGCCTTTCTGCCAAAGACTTGGGAACGGCGTGACACGTTCGGCTTTTGTGTATAGCTGCAAATGCGATGACAGCGCTGAGAAGCAAGGAGCTCTGTTGAGCTCTGCTTCCCACAATTCCTTTGAAGGCTTGCCTGAGGTCGTTAAGGTCATACCACGGAGCCAGCGTCTTGAGGTAGTGTGCAAAGTAGTGGGCGATCTCCTCGTTCTGCAGTCTCACACGGGGTTCGTCAAATCGCTCAACAGAATTCTGTTCTATACTGTCTGTGCCCTTTGCGCCATTCGTTCGCTTGCGCACATTCTTCTGGCCTTGGATCTTCAACGGCGCTGTCCGGTCACACCAGCGACCGCTTCTTTCGCAGCGGGAACATGTCGGCAGCTTTTCGTCGCCTTGCACCAAATTAGATGCTAGATATCGACAGAGGTTGTCTCTTACATTTCAATTTCCGGAGTCGGCACGTTCTACTACGCCAAGTTCATGAGTGCCCGTCGCAGGTCAAACTATATCGGGCTTACCATGCTTTGAGCAAAAATCAGCCATGAGCGTGCACGAACACAGCAGTGCAATGGGTCCACTTACAGTTCTTGCTCGCTATCTTGGCCATGTCTCTCACTTCATGAACAAATGAACGAAGAACCGAGCGGCGCAATCATTTTCGGTGTCCCGGGTTGATGTGAACATCGGGGGGGGGGGGGGGGGAGGAACGTGTTTGCGGGATGAGGAGCACTGGGGACCTCCACGTTTTTTGTATCAAGAGAGCCACTAATCTTACTCTGGGGTCTCGCTTAGGCCAAGCATTGGGACACTATGTGCCTCGCCTGCGGACCTTAACACGGAATAACACAGCTCGCTGGGTAAAACATCGTGGAAGCTAGCCAAAACACCGCAACCATCACAGTCTCATCACAGTCTCTTGCCAGCCGCCCTCCGCAAAAACCGTCTTTGGCGGGAATTATGAGGTGTTCTTTAATGACATATCGACAGTGGATGCGCGCGTTTATTATTGTACAAGCAGGCGGCATCAACCCTGGGTACAAGATCAACAAGGATGCATGAAAAATGTCTAGGCCTCCTAACATGGCTCTGAGTTCTCAAGAACAGCCTCGCCGACCTATGCCTATGGGCTTTGCCCAAAGTCGTAGCTGTTCCCAAATCCTCGATTGAGGTATCTTTTCAACGCCTCTTCTTCGCTTACATAGTCGGCCCTGATGTCCAGATCCGGTACGCTGTCCACGATCGGTTTTAGCTCTTCGGCGAGCTCCAGCCTCATGTGATTGCGATACCAAGGAGCAAAATGGACTATCAAAGATTAGTTGAAGCGCTTGTGAAGGGAAAAGACGTTGCATACTCATCGCCAGCATGATTCTCACGTCTGACGTTGTGTTTGGCATACCAGCGTGCCAGAGTCTCAGATCGCGGATGATGACACTGCCGCTGGGAATATATGGCTGAATGGGAGGATTCGTTTTGGACCTGTCTACTAACAAAGGTGCACGGATTCTCCCCGAGGCTCGCTCGCCGTGTGCCCCTTCTTGTGCCTCAATCCCAAAGTTGTTATGTGTACCCAGCCAAACTTCGGTGGACCCGTTCTCGGGTTTCATATCAATCAGCGGGACGTTGACCACCAATGCGAAGGGGTGATCAGGGTGTGCGAAATCTGCGTCCGAGTGTACTGGTTGTCTCTCGGGAGGGGAGCCTGCACTGGGGGGCATAGCTGAGTTACCAGAGCAAAAGGTCAATTTGGGACGGGGGCCGAGCACGGCGGATGTTATCTGGGTGGCAATTGGATCTGAGATGCCGCATGTCAACCTGAAGTCGACGAAGACAGGGTGCACGACTCACTCAGGAAGATGTCTGGATGGAAGTATTCCCTCACGGGAGGCGCATCCTGTTGCAGATTTCCTTGGTTATAATTGAACGGACTGTTCTGCCCACGCGACCGCAGTTCCAATGCATCCTTGACCATTTTCTCGTTCAACTTGCGGAGAACATCAGTGTCAATGGCATTTTGGACGACGACAAGCCCGTCATGGCGGACTTGTCGGACTGCCCTCTCGAGATTCTGTTCGCTGAGTCTGCCCTGAGATCTTTCTGCCAAGGTGGCCTGTATAGATACAGGCTGTGCCAGGAGGGGCCTTGCTGTTGCGAATGTTCGTGGGCTGTTCATTCTTGTAAGGTGGGATGTTTGACGAGCTAGGCCGACAAGGAGGGTCATGCTGTCCAGGAGGCAATATGGGTCAGCCAACACCGGATGGTCCAGGTTGAAGAGGAAGAAGCTGAACCATGGCTACGGGTGGCTGCCGACAAAATTTAATTGTTTTCAGTGTCCTGCGAATAGATCCCTCATGGTAGGCAAGGAATTCCCGAGCTTCGGCCAAAGTTGTCTTTCTGGGGCAAAATGTCTTCGCCTCTGTCGTCTGCCCCGCATCATGTGGCATGAGACACAGGCTTGGCGCTTTCTTCAGCCTGGTGCGCCTGTGCAATCTCAGCCTTGCCGAGAGTTGCCTCGATGTCAACCCGTCACCTCTCCCCAGGCTCTGCGCTACATGACTGCATTTACTTGCTCACTTCCTCCACCTGCTCATGCACAATATTCCCGCTCTTTGCTTCGTTTGCTGTCGCTGGGTCGATGCCCCTCCTAGCCGCGAACTTGTCTTCAAGTCCAAAAAGTCGGCTCATTTCCTCCAAGGTGCGCGCTCGCGTTTCAACCATGGCGTACCGGACGAACAAGAAGGCCAGCACACAGATCCCGGAGTAGATGATATACAAGCCCCAGCCGATGGCATCTCCGATGGGAGGACTGGCCTGCGCAACGATATAACATCCTGCCCACAAACTCATGGTGCTCAACGCGTTACCCTTTGCCCGCAACGCAACAGGCCATATCTCGCTGGCATAGGTCCAACTGCCGACTCCCCAGCTGATGTTGAAAAAGACGTAAAACAAGTACGGGAACACGACGATCGCATAATTGCCACCCGCGCCCGGATATTTCTCCGCGTGCCACTGGAGGACTTGTCTTCATCAGCGTCGCGCAGTTCCGGAAGCGTCTCGAGCACCTTACCTGTAATCCCAATCATCGCACCCATCATCCCGATCACACCGATTTGAAGCCAGGTCTTCCGTCCGAGTCTGTCGAAGACAAAAATGGGGATCCAAGCGAAGACGAACAAGACTATCCCAACGCCCCCTGTCGCCAAGTTGCGTGTATGTGCAGAGGTGATCCCGCCACGCTCGTACAAGCTCGGTGTGTAGTATAGCTGCAGTGCCCATACGGTCAGTTTTCTCTCTCCCCTTGAAACTTGACGCGGAAGAGCAGTGATTCTCACAATGGAATTGGTGCCTGTTATCTGCTGGAAGAACTGCACTCCCGTTCCAATCAGCGTGACCCGCAAGGTCGGCCATGTGAACATATCTTTCCAGGTAGTGACCGCTACCGTCTTCTCGAAGGCTACCCTTTCGGCAATCTCTTGCATTTCAATTTCCGCAGCTTGGTCTCCGTGTAGTCTCGCGAGCACCTCTCGTGCGCACGAGTGTCGATCTTGTTGCACAAGCCAACGTGGGCTTGGGGGAACCCAGAGCCAGCACCCAACAGCAAGGACAGCGGCAGGAATGATCTGAATGGCCAAGGGAATACGCCACCAATCGGGAGTATCCAGGTATGCAAAGCCATAGTCGAGCCAGAAGGCGATCAGCTCTCCCAGGCACAGGATCATCTGCTCGATACCAATGATCCGGCCACGCAAGCCTGCTGGGGCAATCTCTGAGACATATAGCGGCACTCCAGCTGCACATGCTCCTACTCCATATCCAAGAATGACACGTCCAACAGTAATGGTCGGAACATCGTATGACGCAGCTTGAATAACAGCTCCAATGATGAACACAATGCTGGCAATGGACAAGGTTCGTTCTCGACCACAATGGTCTGCCAGATATCCGATGCTCATCGCGCCCATAAAGCAGCCCACATCATACAGCGATACCACAGCCCCTGTGACCCAGGAATTGGCTGGCTTCATGAGGTGGATCCAGCGATCGTCAGCCACTATGATTCCCATCACACCTTGGTCATATCCGAAGAGGAGGGCTCCCAAGGACACGAAAGCAGTCACAAGGTAGACATATGGGAGGTTTGCGGGACGAGGACTGCTAGCATCATAGTTGTGCGGACGCTCAATGACTTTGGTCTGCTTCATCGAAAACATCTTGCAAGATGCACCGAGGCTCATGAAAGTGATGGGAGATTGCCAGCATTGAGAAGATTTCGAGGGCCTTACCAGCAAGCAAAGAGTTCTTATACTGCTGATACGAGTCACAGCCGAGAATTCTTGTGGTACCTCTCGTTGTGGAGTTGTCCAGGCATGCTGTACTCGCTTTGGACATATCAAGGTCGATCATCGGAATCGCTAACCGGAAATGATTTCAAAATAGTTAGCCTCCGACTCGACAACGGGTCTTCACGCACAACTCGGCGCCAATGCGCGAGAGCCCAAAATTCTCCTCTCCATGACAAACCAGACGAGTCAATTTGGACGGTGCGGGGTGTTCCCCGTCCAATTCCACGTCCGCTCGAGCTGCTCTCGTGCCATGCTGGTTGGCCACCCCGTGCGGAGCTCTGTCTGCACCAGGAGATCTCTCAGAAGTCCCTGCTCCGACCTCGAATTGAAGCGATCTCCGACTGCAAGATGTCAGCAGTCCAGTACACGTTGCTATGGGGAGAAAACTTGCACAATGCAACAGCCATGCATGCCACTAGGCTTGCCGGAGGGGTTTGTGGATTCGATTGAGCTATTCCGCACAGCGTCCTCACGTCCTTTTGGACGGCCTGTTCCATCTCCATCATTGTTCGCTTATGGGATGGACCAACACGGGGTAACGGACGGTGGACGCTGAGTAGCAGATGCGCCATTGTTATGTATTGCCAGCCCATCACTGCAACAGGGTCATCAATGTTGTGTCCAGGGGTGTGGTCGCAGTGGCACTTACCATGACAATCCATCTGGATTCGAATATCTGGAAAAGAGTTCTCTAGCCTACTAGTGTTCTGGTATACCGGGTCAAAGGACGTCGGACACTCTCTTTGCCATGTCTCGATCTCATCCAATAATTGAAGATACCTCGACATGGTCGTAGATTCCTCACCAAAGACGAAGGCTTGTACTTTGCCACACTGATACGTCGCTTGGAGTGTCCATGAGCAATCATCAGAAGGGCTTGAGGACGGCGTCATCTCGGGCAAAATAAGATTAAATGGTCTTTGCGTCGTGAGAGACATGAATATTTCCTGACGAAAAGCCGCCCAATAACACGCTTTTCTCAATTCTGTGACTGGTAATTGAGAGCGAGCCTGGGATGCCGTGATAATGGCTTGAGTTCCGAAGAGGTGTTTCTGAGGATCTGATCCCACTATCGGTACTGTTTTAAGAGTCAACAAGGCAGATGAACGGTGTCCTAACACACTAACCATCCATCTCTTCCAATAGTCGTAGAATTACTATGGCCGCAAGAAGCTCATCATCTTGGATTGCGGAATTATCTCCAAGCCTTGGAATCATCGTGTGAAGACAGGTGTCGTAATATCGATCGGCCGCGAAAGGTTCAAACCCGCCCGTACGACTTCGGTGCCGGGCAGCTAGTGCCAGCAGAGCGTTGGCCAATGTTGCATTTTGGCGAGCTCTAAGTGGAACTTCGTACGCAAAATGTCTATCGGCGTCGCTGAAGTCGAAGAAACAAGCACAATTGTCGATGAAGTATCTCACCAACTCGGCGGATTCTTTGGTGGAAAATGGTGAGTCGTCCTCTCGAGGTCCTCGTGTGAGACGCAGTGATGACTGAATATATTCGCTGGACAAGGACTGCCCAGTAAGCAACGATGATGCATCATTCAATGCCACATCACTCGACTGCTGTTGAAGCTGTGGCTCTTCGACGGATTCCTGCTGAATAGCAATCTCGTGTGACCGATTACGCGCGGCTTTGCCATGTCGCACCAAAGGAGTTTCATCTACGAAATCAACTGCAAATATCACTATCCATTAAATACCTCTGAAGGCTTATCATCTACCTTTCGGGGGGACAGGCACCCAAATTTGTTGTGTATCGAAATTTCGTGGCCTGGAATGTCGTTGATATCGCGTTGGATTGCGGGTGCACTCCCGGCCAGCCTTAAAGCAGTGCCCGCATCGCGGATGCTGGCCGTCACCTGAAGGAAGTCAGAAACATGACGGGGTACTGCGGGGCCACAAGCGAGGGAGAGTCGCACATCTGATATGTTTCTTGCGACAGAAATCGCAGGGCATGTCGGTCGAGTTGCAAGAAGGTGCACAAGGGAGAGACGCGGAGAAATCTTGATTTGTGGAGTAGATTTCTGTGGGGAAGTTGCACCTTCGGGATTCTTTGCCTTTTCTGTCATTCTGGCTCTACTTTGAGAGATCTCGGACCGAGACTTCCTTTCTTGGACTTCGCCTTCCTCTCTCACCCCAATTGGGAGTTTCCCGGTGTCGATCCTGCATGTCAATCAGACCAGGGTGGCGCGTGGATCAATCATGGGCGACTAGTGGCATCAATCAGCTATGTCTCCACGTTGAGATTTATATTGTGGCTGCTGGTGTCGATATCCCTCGACCTTTTCATTCTTTTCCAAAGCTAGTTGGCGTCATCCTACCAAGCTGTCTACGATATAGCAGAACCAGAACCTCCCGCTTTCTTAAAAATGCCCCATGCAGAACACCCCGAGTCTCAACTGACATCAGGAGAACAATTCTTCGTCAACGACGGACCCTTGGCTCCTGGTCAGTATGCTGACTTGCGATCGACAACGCTGGATACTCCTATTGAAGAGGCTCGCAGACGGTATAAAGAGGACGGATATCTTTTTGTAAAAAGCCTGCTGCCGAGAAAGGATGTTCTCAAAGCCAGAGAGGAGTATTTCAGGCTTCTGTCCCCGAGCGGCGTTCTCAAGCCCGGTACCAAACCTGTCGACGGCATCTTTGACGAAACTAAGGATAAGCTCGATTTCCCCGGGATTGGAGCTGGCTTCGCAGATTCCAATGGTCGCCCTACAGGGCCGCATCCCGAAGTGGCTTCGTTGTTTGTTGATCTAGCTCTTCAAGCGCACACCGAGGATTGGTACAAGGAAGATTTCTGCAAACATCCAGCCTTGCGGGATTACATTGCAAAACTTACGGGCTGGGGTGATGATACGTTGGGAATTAGGAGAACGCTCCTGCGGAACAACACCCCTGGAAACAAAGCAATCGGAGTACACTATGACCAGATTTTCCTGAGACATGGCGAGGACACTGCAGTGACCGCTTGGGTTCCCATGGGAGATATCTCAAGGCAGGGTGGCGGCCTGATTTACCTCGACAAAGGCCACACCCTCGGTGCAGAGATTGAGCATGATTTTACGACCAAGGCGAAGGCTTCGGGATTGACGGATGAGGAGGCAAAAAGTGCCTTCAACCAGAATATGATGAGTGGAGGGTTGCTGGCAGACGGCCCTGCAGAATTTGGGAAGCAGTGGAGCCGTCGCTGGCTGTTGACGCCATACGAGGCTGGCGATGTTGTACTTCACAGCGCATATGCTGTAAGGGCGAGATCCTTTACGTGGTTATCGTTATTGACTTCAAATGCAGATCCATGCCTCGACAATCAATCACGACCCGGACAACAGGATACGATTAGGAACAGACCTAAGGTTCGTCAATAAGTCGCGTCCATGGGACACCCGTTGGGCCAACGATTACGCTTTCGGAGATGGTGTTTGATGCCATCCTCGGGCAGCTATTGCGGCAGGGGGCTATTTTACAAGATATCAAACAGCTGTCCCTCTCAGAATCAGAAGTCGTCAACAATCAAGCCCATGCTTTTCTCCCTAGCCATGCCAAGCAGGCTACCTGCCATGACCAAGTCCATGATGCCCATGCCCACACATTTAAATATGAGATTTCCTCCGGTCTGCAGGGGCCTCATGTCCTGTAGTTCCCCAATCTCGATCAGTTTATCTGCCTGGACATTGGCCTTGATTAGTTCTCCCGCCTCAACAAGGCATCCTTCCTTCGTATCCACATAGATGTGTTCGCCGGACAAGAGAGTTTCGGAGTCGACCTCCTGCATTGACGGCTTGTAGGAGCCTATCAGGGAGATGAAGCGAGACCTTTTATCGAGATAGCTGAATGGGAAATGCGGTGTTGTTGATGGGGTGCAGCAGCATATTATATCTGAAGACAGAAGACATTCTCGTAGCTGCGAATCAAAATCCTCGGCCGTCTTCAGCAGCACCCGACAAACAAGGTCGGGATTCCTCTGCTGCAGATCCGAGAAGAGCCACTCCATCCTTCGAGGACTGCTCCTGTTCACGACGGTGACGTGCTTCACGTCGCCAAGCAAGAGAGCAAGTTTCAAGTGCCACTCTGCCTGTCGACCAGCCCCGAAGATCACAAGGTTTCTCTTGGTATTCGGCCATCGGATGTACGGGATCATGACAGCGAGGGAGGTCCGGAATGCAGTGACTTCCTCGGCATTCAAGACGCCCAGCAGTTCTCCATCCGGCGCGAAGACATTGATACAGCCTTTGAGTCCTTTCGGACTGATGGTGACGGTCTTAATTGCCGTCGAGGTAGTGATAGAAGAGGGCATGAAAAGGGAGGTGTTACCGGTCCTCGTCACGATTGATTCCCTCTCCGGTTGGTGGATCGTTTGCTCCGACGATGGAGCATTTTTGGTGGCAGAGTATGCGCGGAGAATACCGTGGAAGTCGGCAAGTAGACGATGGCATTCTGAGACGGAGATGTGGGAGAGCAAAGAGTGCACATCACTCTCTTTCAGGACGATCATTGTTTGGGACTGGGAAGGAGTCAGAAATTACTCCTCGACTTGAGACCACTCTAATAGGCGCTACCTGGCAAGATAATGACAGATGGTCAGTCTGAAAAAGTCGACCGAGGACTAGATATCTAGGTACCCATTGGATACTTAGGTATTTAGCTCTGTCTAGCGATCACTGGGTGCGAGGGGCTTGTCAGCTCGGAAGAAAAATTATTACACTCCGAAAGTCGCCAATTTGGTGCCATTAGGCTATGAAACAGAGGCACCCCTCAACCTTCTCGATTGAATTTGTGTGTGTGCCCTTAGATGCCTCCGGTCAGACTGCAGGCACAATGTGATTTTGGAGATAGGACTGTTGTTCTCTCATATCAATTCTCACATGATTATCTTGACTCCAGTTAAACTAGCTGATACTCCTTGCAGGACTAGAGACTTCATGAGTTATTCCCAAAATACCCCGCTCTGCATCACACCATGTAAAGGTGATGCCAGACATGAGAACACCTTCTCTAAGCCTGAAAGGAGCCCTGGTTCTTGCGGACACTGTTCCACTGTCATAGTCTTTGCCAAAGACATCTCGTAGTTGGCTCCAACCCGAGAAGCGCTCACTTTCACCATGCCAACCACGTCCAAAACATACAGTCTTCTTCTCCTCGGTGACGTAATGATTGGCCGTCTCATCGATGCCCTGCTGCCCACCAGTATAGCCCGCCAGTCGCCGCAGTCCGACCCTGAGTCAGCCGCATGGACAGTTGACAAACACATTCTGCCACGTTACCCCCAACTCAAATCATACAACTACCTCTCACCGTGGGGCAACAGTGTTGACTTGATTCGCAAGTCAGATCTTGTGCTTGCAAATCTCGAAACAGCTGTGACGACAAGCGAGAAGAAGTGGCCGAGCAAGGTGTTCAACTACCGTTCCCACCCGGGGAACATCCAGTGTTTGACAGAGGTCGGTATAGGTGGTGGGGCGAGACGGGGCTATGTGAGCTTGGCGAACAACCATACGCTCGATTGGGACATTGAGGGTCTGCAAGAAACAGTCAAAGTGTTGGCTGAGAATGGTGTAGAGTTTGCAGGGGCTGGCAGAACAAAGGAGGAGGCGCACAAACCCGCCACACTGTGGGTTGGAGGTGCAGATGGGTGGGATATCAAGTGCTGGAGTTTCGCAGATCACCCGAATGAGTGGGCGGGAGTGGACGCCTTCAACTACATCGAGTACACGGGGAAGGGGAGGGACACGGTCAAACAACAGCTCCTGGCGAAAGATCACAGCGAGGGACAGAGAAAGTTGGGTTTGAAAGTTGTGTCGATGCACTGGGGTCCAAACTATCGCTGGCGTCCCGCAAAGGAAATTGTCGACCTCGCGCATTGGATGATTGACGAGTGCGGGGTGGACATAATCCATGGGCATAGCAGCCACCACGTTCAGGGCGTGGAGATATACAACGGGAAGCTGGTGATCTATGGGTGTGGAGACTTTGTGGATGATTATGCGGTCGACGGCAATTACAGAAACGATTTGAGTGCGGCGTGGAAAGTTTCCGTTGGTGAGAAGACGGTAAAGAAGGCGGGAGAAAGCGAGCTCGAGGTGAGGAGGCTGGAGGTCTTTCCCAACAGGATCCAGCGGTTCCAGGCACACCTATTGAAAGGAGACGACCCAGATCATGAATGGGTGGAGCGTACCTTCAGGAGATTGTGTCACCGGTTCGGAACTGAGGTTGAGAAAAACTTGGGAGATGAAGCGCAGATCGTTGTCGAAGTCAAGACCTAACCGTTCAATTCTGTTGAGGCAGAGCGCATGGATGGTCATCTGTCGTTAGCATGGTGATCAACAACGTCTTTCATTGACCCGCTGGATTAATTGGGGCCTTGTCCGAACAAGCCACCCGCGCAGCGATCGGCAAGTTCATATGATGACAGGCTATGTACGGAGTGCTCGGTAATGTATGAGTCTCGTGATTGGACTGTCTTGCTTCACATCTTAATTCTACAAGTGCTACCACGGTGCGTTGAACACGGCCTCCTGCTTGGACTGCGGGAACGATTTGGAATGCTGAGAGATTGGTCGAATCCTATCTACCGAGTGATCTAAGTTGCAAATCATATCCCAGTCCAGGAGTTACGCACACGAAGTCGGACATCAGTTCGTGATTCCGGGATCCCTTCCGTCCAACTCCTGTCGGATACGTGGTGCATCCTCTAGAGCGTTTTCATGAAGGATAACAGGACCAGATGCCGGTGCACAAGGGTAGGTCTATTGAGTCTGTTGTGGAGAATAGTATATGATTTGCGAAGAAATAGATTTCTACTTCGGCACAACCCAAATTGGCATGAGCGGTGGCAGATCCTAGCTGGCGCGTAGCCGACATACCAATAGCACCCAGAAGAACCTTAGAAACACGTTCATATCATGGTGAAAAGACAGCCGTGACCTTCATCAAGAAGAGACTCTGGCCTCAGACCCAGCACACTTCCCTCACCTGTGCTCTACGCCAAAGGAAGTTTGGTGCCATTGCGGCTGTAGACCGTGAAGCCAGTGTCGATGCCCCAGCCAATGTTGTTGAATTCGACGAACATGTCGGCAATCTGTTTCTGAGGAGTGATCTCAAAGAGGTTGAATCCGTTGACTGGGATCTGCTTGCTTCCAATGCCTGCCATGTTCCAGTACCATAGAACGTTTGTGCACCCAGCGACCATGGTCTTGTACGTCGTGATGTTCGTAATAGATGGAGCGAGGAGAACGCCTTGAATGTATTGAGTCTTGCCAGAGAATGTGACAGCGCCAATCTAGACTGCATTAGTAATAGTAGCTAGCCATTGGTAAGAATGTATCCATACTGGGTGACCAGCAAGCATATTGATGGAGTCAGACTTCTCGAAAAAGCTGTCCCCCAACAAGGCTTGGGCAGTGGCATTCGATGCGGCGACGTCCGGATGATCGAGAATGCTGATGAATTTGGCAACGATGTCATCAGCGTCGGCTTGAGTCAGGCAAGTACTTTCAGGGCATTGCGGACCCGGACCGTGCCAGTCTCTCCAGCTGGGAACAGCGGCGACAGTGGAAGCCAAGAGGAGAGGCGCAACAATGCTTGTGAACTTCATGGTGATTGATATTGTTGAGGATTGATGTTATGAAAAGCTGGAAAGGTAAACCCGGTAGAACGACAATCAATTAAAAAGAGTGACTGGAGCGAGTTGAAACGAGCGACTTGTGGAGGGAGCAGTTTTGCAAGGAGTGATTTGAAGCCTGAGTACTTGTAGCACTCCGGTCAGAGGCAGACGGAGGCTTTTGTATCTCCCGCCACCACGACAAGACATGGTCTCTCGTATGTCGGGAAAGGAAGATTGCCGTAATTTCTTCTTACTCTCGCAACTGAAGCAACATCCTGCCTTGTCCCGTAGCCTTGTCCAAGCCACGTCTGGGAACAGCTTGTTGAACACTTGCATGAGGTTCGCCCGCCACCGTCTGAGGGCAGGGGTATAAAGTTTTGGCCAAGTCCGGGTATCGGTGAGCCGACTATGGGTGTCGGTGAATTCTGATGCTCAACTGCCGCAATCTGCTAGGATCGTCGCGTTAATCATGCCTGGATTTGGTGATTAGCTGAAGCGTTTGCAAGGTTGTAGCGTTTGCTCAAGGCAACCCGCCCCCGCGATTTGCAATTTCCCAAACCCGTTGTTGTCCTACGTAGAAATCCAGATATCGGCGCAGCTCAGACCCTTCTCGAGTGTCTGGACAGTTGAGATGAAGATTCATTCGACAGACCCCTTACAGTGGGTCTGTACTGCTGGAACAGGAAGGAAATGTGCTGGCGGGGGAAGAGGCTCAGTCAGCGATGTCTGAGGTCAGCCAGGAGGTGTAGCCTCTGCTGAATGCGCAATTCACAGCCTCGAAAGAACGTATAAAGGAAATCTGAGATTAAAGGGGCAGATACACTTGGCACGTTACCAGTGCGATTAGATTCCCGACCAATAATAATGGGAAATACGACAAACTCCTTTTTTAAGGCGTTCCTTAAACCTCCGTTCGACTGGCCTAGCCCGTCTTTGGATATAGACATAACTCTTGGCGATGCAGGGAATGGCCTACAAAGTTTCATGAAAACAGCAGACAAGTGATACATCCTTCTCTCCTAGTCTTCGTATTCCAACACGACTATGGAAGGACCCCTGTCACATTGGCCCCAAAAGGCAGAATAGGATTTGATGAGCATCTTGCCGTCTGGTAGAGAGAATCCAACGGCGTTCATTTCACTTTCGGAAGGATGGGATCCCCACGCTGACAGGTTGAAAATTCCAGGTTGATGTTGCCAACAGGTGCCTCGGGCACGCTCTGGGTCCAGATCGACAACAACACCATTGGTCAAATCGTCACCGGTTCCTCTGCGCCTCTCTTGGCCAACTCTTCTTTGTCCAGGAGAACGCACGTACCGGTCTCCTGTGAGTCAACAATTTGCCTTGCAGCAGACAGATCTTTGCTCCGGGGGCAAAGAGCGATGTGATGCGAAAGCCTCGCAGACATCTGTGGCCTTCACAAGATTGAAGCAGAGACTTCTGACATGGGGCCGAATCTCAAATCGAACTGGCTGTATCTCTTGGCTGGCTGTACATCAGTCAGGCTAGAAAGTCACCCAAAGATGAGGAAATCGAGATTCTGGATTTTAGGGTTGTCGCGCAGAGGTACGTTCGTGGTGTTAGCGTGATCATGTCTGCGTACCAGAAATGCTATTCTAGACACGTAAAAGGCTGCCACCGGTGCGTTTGTATCAGCAATAGCCTTCGCTGATTCAGTATCACTGTAGAGGGTGCCGTAGTGGCATATCATTCGGTCCTTCATGGCACGCTGTTTGACCGAGGCCATCGAAACGCATTCGAACCCATGTGTTCATATTCCAACCCACATTTGACTGGGCACGAGATTGGATGGGTGTGATCAGGCGCTTCTCATGTTCGTATTCGAAAGGTCAGCTGCAAAATAATTGCTCTTAACTCACTCCCTTCCTTTGAAATATCGGATAAAAGGAAAATTTCTTGTCAGATGAAGCATCGTTGCATCGTGATCAACGGTCGTCAAGGTCTAGGCAAACAAGATCATCCGGTGTTGGTGGCGTTTTGCAAGGCGTGGAGGCAATTCAGCATCTGCTTTGTGTGGCGAACTCTGCACCCCTGCGCAGAGAATATCTTTGACGTTGCGGTGCGCTGAGCCAAGCGTTTGGAAAGCTTGGTGCTAGATCAGGTAGACGCCATGGTCGGGCGCTGCGAGGCCTAGGGGTAATTTCGTAGATCTTGGCCGCTGGTAAACGTGGTATCACAGCATAGGGTTCGTGCAACTGCTTCCCAAGATTAGACTTCATAACCATGTCAAAGCCGGCATAGTAATGCAAATTTGATCAATGACGCTTTGAAACTTTGCGCGAAACAAATCCGGTTCTTTGATACGGTTCAGCCCATATAACGTTGATGGAGACTCTGAGGCAGGGGGTGTAAAGCGAGCAGAAGAAGAATGAGCGTAATGAGAGGAATTGACCAATTCTGGTAGCTGCAGGATTTTGGCCACATTCGCGAGCATTTCTCTTAACATCTGAGAATGGTCTCAACTTTCACCAACAATATTCCTAGCTACTGCATGAAGCTGGTCGCGATAGTGATGATGGCCGTGTAGATCATACAAACAATACCCAGTATCATCAACACGACATCTCCAGCCTTCGCCCATGTCGACGTTGCCACGCCTTTGTAGTGCAGGAGTGGCGGATAGATGTACACAAGCGGAACGCAGCAGATCGAACCAATGAGCGCCACGAACGTGTCAAGGTTGCTCGATCCCAAAATTGCCACCAAAGCACAGAGAACAATGAGGACTGTCCTGAACCCGTTCTTCTTCCACTTGATGGACGTGTCCCGTTTGCCAGAACGATGACCAAATATCTTGCCTTCAAGAATTCGAAGGGCTGGAAACAGCTGAACGGGTGTACCGGCCATAACGGCAAGTGCGTACAGGAGTTGGACGGCGTTGACGAGTCTGCTCCCTTGTGGAAAATTGGAAATGACCTCGATCTTGGTCGCCGAGCCAAATGTTGCGTAGCAGAGGGCCCCTATGGAGGTGAAGATAACAGTGATGATGAGCATGATAACCCAGAGAAGTGGCTCGAATTTTTCGGGCTCGCGCATCGACGATTGAATGGGAAGGATGAGGCCGATGCCCTCGAAAGTGAAAATGGCCGAGCCAATAGTAAGGGTGTAGTGCTGAGGGTTGAACAACTGGACGGTCGAATTGAGTCCCTGGTCGACTAGGCTGGAAATGTCATAGTAGTAAATGTAAGCCAGACCTAGCAATATGAAAATGTCGGCCACCAACGCCGCGGGACCAAGCTTCGAGATATTGCGAATGAATGCAAGTGGGATCAAGGCGATCAGCTGGAGGGCAATCAAAATGTTGGTCGACACGGGAGCTAGACCTTTGGCGACTGCGACTTCGAACGAATACAGATTTTGCGCGACGAATACTGTCCCGGCACAGACGAACCCGAGTTGCGAGATTGTGACTGACCCTAGGATTATAGCCCTCATTCTGGGACCGCCAATTACCTCACCGAGCTCACCATAGCCGCTCCTTTTGTGGATTTGTCGACATTGCAACAACAGATGAAACGCCCATGTTGTGACAAGGGAGACTGTCAACAGTGTCATTGACGAGAAAAGGATGCCCCCGTTGTTGAAGGCCTTGGGCAAGAACATGATGCCAGTACCGATGAATGCTTTGAGCAAGGTGAAGAAGGTCTTCGTCGTACCCGCGTCTCCCTTCTTGGCCATGGTGGTCCGTGGCCGAAGCAGTGGTCTTGTCTCTGAAGGCGCTCCTTCTTCATCTTCAAGAGCCGATTCGTCTTCCGAGTCTTCTAAATCTTCGCCAGCAAAGGCTCCGTAGAGAGAAAGAAATTCGACGAAATTCCTGGTGACCGGAATGACTGCAGGATTGAAACGGCCGTACTTCTTGCGGACGAACTCTCGCCGGAAGCCACCTGGGGCAAGTTGCTCAGAAACCGATGTCTCGTTCTCCATTGTGGTGGAGGAGTCATTTGGATGGGAAAAGGTAGCAGCTCGCTGTAGTCTGTTCCGATTTTGGATTTTGTACAGATCACGGTGTATGTCACCACCTTGCAATTTGAGAGATGACTCCGGCTCAGGCTCCCCGGACATTTTTGGTGCATCATCGTCAGCATGTACACCGTCATAATCAGCAGTATACCCCGAAGGCAGATGCCCAGCAACGACTCGAGCCGCACGGTTGTCATCGGTGGAGTTTGGAGTGTCCGACATGGTTGCAGAAAGGCCAGAGTATGACGCCACAACACAGAAGGAAGCGAGTGTCTATTCGGTCGGGAGTTGAGTGAAGATTGGCCCCATGAAATGGAGATTCTTCGATGCTATATTAACGAGCTTACGATATGTGCGGACTTGATATTAGTGTAAGATGCTCAGCTGTCTTTTGCAAAGAATGTTGAATGGAGGTGAAGCTCGAAACGTCATTTCCACAACTGCAGTGCTTTCAAGGCTGCACATCCGATTGGCTAGATCCCGCACGCTTGGCGGGTAAACGACGACAAAAGTTCTGGATGTTTCCAAAACATCGACCGTGTTTGTGGCATGCGGTGCAACGAACCATCTTTTCTGGGGATCTTTTTGAAGACTCCTTTCTCCCCATCACTCGCTCTACATCATGGCTATTCTTTGCAGAAGCGTATCTGAATAGATGAACGATCATGATCCTGCCTCGGGTGGGAGAAGCTAAACGACCGCATGTCCAGTACTATATTTGAGCCCTGCTAATGTTATGAGCCTGGGTAGGATCTAGGGATACTATCGAGAACTTGAGACCTCCTCATGTCGCTGCTCCACTGTCCTCTCCTACCGCACCCTGTGACAGCATCGATATTACGAGTGTTCGCGTCCGAAAGCGGCTGCTTTGCGAGGGACTTTCCCATTCTAAACCGCTCCTCAACATATCGCATGTTCAGTCGTGAACTCAATATGCGCTTCCTGTTTCCACACGCCACGGCCTCATTTGATGGTGCCCTCGCCAGCACCGAACAGGTCACGCGCTCGGCGGTTCCCACACCTGCTGTAATCGGGACGAAGTTGAAATACAAAGAGGTTGCAAAGCGGAACAGCGATCTTTGGCGCACAAAAGCTGGATGGGTCTGATGTGATACACGCTTACCATCTCCCTGTGGAGTGTTAAAAGATCACCGTAGGTTATCTGGCCCTGATTGTGCGACAACTCCAAAGCAATTCCTTCCTCTATTTTGTCTATGTCCATCTACCCGTCCAAGCCGAACTTCCGATTAGACGCCAACAATTTTTGATTCAGACTCCAGCCCCGTCAGTCGGGCCGTGGTAAAGGACACGACCAGCTGAAAGCACAACGCAAGAATCGGCATTTTCCACTGCTGTTGCCCGATGAGCGATGGTGATGATTGTACTTTCCTGCAACTCCTCCCTCAATACACGCTGTATTTCAGCAGATGTGTCCAAGTCGATACTGGCTGTGGCTTCGTCCATGATGACGATTGCGCTTCTCCGCAGTATTGCTCGAGCAAGACCAACCAATTGTCGCTGCCCCTGACTCAGATTTCTTCCTCCAGTGTCGATCTGCGTCTCAAGAGTCCATCCATACTTTCCGCAAACTCTTGATAGCACGGATTGACAGGCAAATTTGGAGTGTTCCTCCAATGGATCGAGGTTGTGACGCAAAGATCCAGGGAAGAGGATAGGCTCTTGTGCCAGGAAGGTTATTCTGCTTCTCAACGGCTGTTTATCAACTTTGGCGACGTCGACGCCATCAATCAAGATACGACCGCCCTCTGGAGTGATGGTTGCTAGCAACGCCATGGCCAGAGTTGACTTTCCGGACCCTGTTCTACCCGTGATGGCAGTGGTTGATCCCCCCTTGAACCGAAGCGAAACATTTGTCAATGCCGGTTCCAGATGAGGCTGATATCGAATGGTGACATCCTCAAAGACGATATCGCTCCCATATGTAGGCCATGCAGCGGGCGGTTGAACCGAACTCGGGGCTTCTTGTTCGATATGGACCAATTCAACCACCCGTTCAACAGACACAAAGTTGAGTTGAAGTTGCCCGTATGATTTGCAAATGGCATGGGTGGACTGGACAAACTTATTAGCTGAGATCAAGACAAACGCGGTCAAGCCGGCCGAGAGGTTGGAGAAAATTGCAAGCATAGTCAAGAGAAACGTGGAGACTGCCGACAGGGTGTCGAATCGGTACATAAGCCAGGCCTGCAAACTCCAATAAAAATGGTCCATCTTCTGGAATGCGTCTGTGACCTGAATGTTTCTTTCCTGAAATTGTGACTGTGCACAGAAAGCCCTGACGGTCATCAGCCCGTTCAGCAATGCGCCGAAATTTGACATCAATGGGGTCAAAGAGACCATTTCAAGCCGTCGCAAGCTTTGCGAGGTCGGTAGAAATTGAAGGAAGATCAGCACAAAAGCCAGGGTTAGCGAAATGGCGAATGCCAGAAAGATCGGCGTAATGCTGGCAATGACGACCATGGAGGAGATCCAAGCGACGGCATACCATATGACTATCAGGAACAGCTCGGCGATATTGCCATCGACGGTTCCCATATCAGAGGTCAATCGATTCATCAATCGCCCAACCGGCGTCACGTCATAAAATTGGAAGCTGGTGTTGCTTATACGATCCATGACGACCTTGAACATTCGACGCGCAGCAGAGTATGTGACGACCAACATGGACATCTGGGAAAGCATAAGTCCCAGGGTCTCGCAGACCACGATGATCAGAAAGCCGAGAAGCCAAGGTCGGACGTTGACAGCAGGGTCCGGAAACCTGTCGAACAGACCTGAGATTGGACTTTCAAGGAGATGCACCTCGAAGTCAAACCCCTCCAGGGCCAGAAACCAGAGTTTGGCTTTGTTGTATGCTTCTCCCCATTCTTTTAGAAACCAACTTTCACTCACGTATGTGACGCGACAAACGACAGCCGTCAAGACAACCATGAGCCACCATCTCAGTGTCCCAGCTTTGATATATTCCCAGTAGACTTGAAGCTGCACTCCACCATGGGCTCGGTGTTCGTCTTCAACGAATTTTTCCGGTATCGCGGCGGATTCATCGATTGTTTCGACATTGCTCACGGCCTCATCCGGTTCTGCCTCTGGTGCTGTTGCCGACGTGGTTTTGGACAGTTCCTCATCGTTCCGATGCAGCAATGCTGTTCCGTCAACGATTTCGATCAGCTGCGATGCGACGTGTTGACAAAGGTCGGTCCGGTGAGTTACGAGAATGACGGTACGACCCTCCATTATACTGCCGCATAAGCATCTTTTGACAATCCATTCGGCCGTTTGTTGGTCCAGGGCGCTGAGGGGGTCATCAAGCAATAGAATTTGCGCTCGACTGTACACTGCTCTCGCAAGAGCAACTCTAGCTTTTTGGCCGCCAGATAAACCAATGCCGTTCTCTCCAATGTTGGAAAGATCACCGTACTTGAAATTGGCAAGGTCTGGAAGAAGGGCACACGCTTCTAAGGTCTTCTTGTACCGGCCATCGTCATATTCCGAATTGAACAGGATATTTTCCCGGATGCTCATGCTTTGCAGCCACGGTGTTTGTGCACAATAACCGACTGGTGCTTGTGGCTTCATCAGTCTCCCCTGACGCAGATCAAGCTCCCCGAGAAGAGCCTGTAGTAAGGCAGTTTTGCCTGCTGCCACGGGGCCGAAAATAACAGTCAGCCCCCGGGAAAATGAGAGATTGAGATCATGGATCACTTTACCCGTAAGACCGGGCCATGAAAAGGAGGCATCGTGCAGCTCTAATCGATCATCCATATACTCTTGAGTGTCCACTTCGTCAATTTTGTCGGGTTCAGCGATGAACTCTGAGATCCGTCCTACTGCCACCGAGGCATTCAGCAAGACGGTGATCAGCGTTGGTATCTCTCGAATGTTGCTCTGCAGAAGGGAAAAAAGCTGCAGTGCCGGGAAAGCAATGTCGACACGCAGCTCTTGTCCTGCGGCGATTGTGTAGGCATAAAATGTGGCTACCGGGAGCATGCCGCTGGCGAATGAGTTCAGAAATTTGATGGCAGAATTCAACAGGAAGGTGATGATTCTCAAGTTGAGCTCTTTCTGCCGGGCGGTCATGACGCCATCAAGCCATGTGAGGTGCCACCCGTACCATCGCAGATGCCTTATGGCCTCGACATACTGACTGATTTTCTGTAGTTTAATGTCGGTAACTTTGCGCCGTTCCCTTTCCCAGCCGATGAGGATGCGGGCGAGGACATAGTTGAAAATCTGTGCAATAATAACTACTGCCACACCGACGAAGCAGGACCACCCAAGGAGTTGCCATATGAGAAAGACGGAGAGCAGGAGACCGAGCGGCTTGTTGATCAGAGTTTGAAATTCCCAGAAGCGTTGCGCAACTTCGTATACATCATTTCGCATCAGATTGAGGATCTTCCCCATTGATGCCGGTGGTTTCGTCTCACTGCCTGCATGCTTTCTGGAAATGAAGGATTTTCCCTTTTGAATCGCCTCTCGGGCGCGGTGAGCGAAGCTTCTTGGTCGCTCGACTTGCCCGCTGACGACTCCTGTGGATTCGGGCAATGGACTAGCTTCTCCAACATCGGGAGTGTCTGGCGCGACTTCGACGGCGGACTCCAGCTGGGTCTCAGCTTGCTGAGGCAAACCACCAAGAATTTTCCGATTCAACGTCTTTTCGTATAACATGGTGATCATCTCGCCACGAGACCTTTCGTAACAACGTCTCCCAAACCACAGGCTAAAGACTGCACTCTGAGCGGCCATGGCTCTCACCACAAGCATGAGCATCGCGTACATGACTGCGAGTCGTTTGTCAACAGCTATCGTTTCCATGACCTGCAGAAGCTTTTGGAGGATCATGGGAGTGGAGTAGTTGGCAGCCAGTTCGACGATTGCGAGGATTGTGAGAAGGACCAGGTCAATCCAGTTTGCTTTCAGGAGCCTTTTGACAACGGTGCCCTTAAGCTCGCGGAAAGCGTCATGCAGATGTCGGTGTTGAAACTCATAGGGGAGGACCCAGACATCTTCGTCATGAAGTTGTCTCCTATTCCCGATCTTAATCAGAGGTGACAACCAAGATACTGTCATCCACTGCAGCAGCGTTAAGCTGTCTTCAGGAGATCGGAATGCATGGGAAGGTGTGGTGAAGGGACGACCAATCTCGTTGCAACCTAGGACTGGGTCACGTAGCGGCATATTGACCACGACGGTAGTGGCAGTGGCCGCGAGTCCCGCACTGCAGTATGTAAGTACCGCATTCCTGCTCCCCAGATTTTCGTAGAAGTGAGTGGCAATTAAGCCTATTCCCAAGGTCAAGATGGCCACAAAGTCGAGAAAGAGAAATATCGAGCCAATCCTGGGGCGCCATACTGCAATATAGAGCCCTGCGGCAACCCAAAGCACTGTAGTGACTATGGACCACGGCGTATTGGTTGCGACGACAAGTTGGGTCGCGGATCCGACCACTGAGAGTACGAAGAGGCAGAATGTAACCCATGGTGTTGCCGAACTCTTTGCTTCAATATCGGGGACCGCGAAGGGCTCTTCGATGAATGGTCTCGGCCATATTTTGATAAGTTTCGACATTGCATAGTTCGATTTTGAGCCCATAGTGGTTGAGTATGCCACGCCGACACCAAGGGCGCACAAGTCCGATTTCTAGGCAGCAGGTGTGTTGAATGAGCTTTTGTCGAAACCGCGGGCCGTTACTGCTGGCACTTCATTTTGCCGGCGCGATGTCGAGGGCGAATCCTGTCGCCAATGGGAGTTCCACGTGCATTCATCTATTCACAAGCTTTGAACTGGAAGATCCAAGAAGACGGTGTAAGATGCAGCGAAGAAGAATGCAAATGACCAGCCAAGACACTAACCAGATCAAGATACTAGGTACCTGTTCGGTGCCTATCGACCCGAATCGACCCTTGATCCTGAGTCTGACCTTCCCTCAAGACATAGAGGGTTTGATGAGTAGAAGAAGCTTCCACGAAAGGCACACACTTGACTAATGTTCAAGTGAGTGCAACATTCTATCTAATAACAAAATGTGTCCGAGGTCTTAACAGCGATGATGTGCTGTCAGACGTTGCCATTTCTCGCCCAAGTAAACTCCGGGAATTGTTCATGAGTACTAGGACTCGCGCGCTCCACTGCGCACAAATGAAATCATTATCCTACCCTATAGCGACATCTCAGTTGTGTGGCAGATCAACGTGTGAGTAGTACCGGTGCTGAGTAAGTCTATAGTCCGACCTCACCCGTCTTGAAGGCGCTTAAAATCCCCCGAAAAGAAATCAAGAGCTGGGCGAAACCAAGGACTGGAACATTTTTAGGAATCTTCCACGTCCCTGCAAGCCAATTTCCGATGCAGCACAAAGCCTTGTATGTCCCAGGCACTATTCAACCAGAAGACTCCGCTAATTGAATACAAGGGTAGAATCGCATAGAGCATGATGGCACGTGAAGTTTGTCAAGGGCATTCTCCTTGGTTTACCTTTGAGCTCTAAAACCCAGGCTGTGGGAGAGCGTCAAAGAATAGACGAACCTATAGAGAGGACCACTGTCATCAGATACCTCAATTTAATACGGGGCAACGGTATATCATCGAAACATCATTCCTCCATCAACAACTATACTTGTCCCAGTGACGAAATCGGACGCCGGGCTACTCAAGAACACAGCTGTACCACGGAGGTCTGAAGGATTACCCCATCTTCCAGCTGGCGTGCGATTGACAATGTACTTCTCCATATCGGGAAACTGATCCAGCAGCGCTTGCGACAGGGGAGTTTTGATGTATCCGGGGCAAATACAGTTTACCTGGGTACCTTAACATTAGGTATCCGGACAGAGATAGGTTCATTATGTATCACTCGGCACTTACCTGAATTCCGTGACACGCCCATTCATTACTAAAAGCTTTGGTCATTTGTAAAACCCCTCCTTTAGTCGCTGCATATGCCGAGACATTTGTCATTGCCACGAAAGATGTAAAAGAACCGAAGTTTATAATCTTTCCCGGTCGATCAAGTTCAATCAAACGTTTTCCAAATTCTTGAGCAGCAACATAGGCCCCTTTCAAGTTGACTGAGAAGATCTAGGATATATAAGTGTTAGCCCGATGCTTTCATGAGACGCGCAGCTAGCCACTAACCAGGTCAATTTTCTCATCGGTCATGTCCTCAATGGGACCCCTCCGGTTTAAGCCCGCACAGTTCAAAAGAATGTCGGGCACGATGTCCGACTTCCATATACGATCGAATGTTTCCCGAAGTTGCTTCGAGTCTCCGACGTCGCACTCGAAACCAGTAATTTCCCTCCCAACTTTTCTCACTCCTTCTTCCAGCGTAGCCTGGCCAGGGTCCTGGGGAAGATGGATAGACACGATATTGGCCCCAGATTCTGCTAGGGCAATACAAATTTCCAAACCAAGTCCGCCGGTCCCTGTTGAATCGTCAACACAGATGGACTAACTGGCCAATTTAGGATCCGAGCCTCCCCCACCTCCAGTCGCAATAACTGTTTTGCCTTCTAGAGAGAAGAGCTGTGATGTTGGAACACGACGAACTTGAGTGCCCATGGTTTTAAGTTAGACGGAAAATACATTCAAACTATGCAAGGGAACAACTTCTTGATCTGTTTTGAAAATATGGATGAAATTTGGTCCTGCTCGTTGCAGGTGTTGCCTTTTGAATACCCCATTACCCCGCACAACGTAGCTTTGCCGAAATGGCCAAGGTACGGGAATTAGGCTCAGATGAAAATGCACCTAGACTACACATGTAGATAATGCATATCGGTATCATATTTCTCAACTCTCAGGTTTTTATAGTTTAGTTGTGAAACTTCTCCTTTCTCTTTCTCTCAATAACCTTGGGAGGATCTTCCTAGAAGGACTTTTAGGAATCACACTGATGAAATCGATACCGCCGGTGAGCCATTTATGTCGTGCCTTTTCCTTAACATATTCTATAATGTCTTGCTTGATCTCGACCACGTTTGCTTGGGCAAAATTAGATCTGACTACAAAGGCCTTTGGAATGACAGCACAATCCGCCACTATTGGGCGGCTTAGAAGACAGGCTTCGAGCTCGGCGGGCGCAACTTGTAGACTCTGGGGGAGTTACATAGATAGCTCATGAGTCCTCTCCCGTGAAGAGAGATAAGTGCCACTTTCGCACCTCTGGAACTCCTAGGCTCCTGCAGCGACTTTCCCTTCCAGAGTGAATTCCTCATTTGCTAGCCATGCTCCACCTTCCCGTCTCCTATACGCGCTCTTTGCCTATGCTTATGAGGTCTTATCATGTCAAGTCTGATTGCTTAGTGCCTCGTCGCACTTCCATGCTATCTGGTAACAGATATTGAGCATCAGACCTAGTAAAGTGTCTTGATAAACTTGCAAACTGCGCCTTCTCGCTGTTACTCGCGGGCGAAATTAAAAATGGTCTCAAGTTGGAGAGTTCGTCCGTCCTCAAGCAGTCAGACAGTCTGTTAATTCATCCTCTATTGACCATTGCTACTCTTCCGCCAATCACAGCCCCTCAAATGCGGCGAGATAATGTCTTGGTTGGACAATCCTCTTCGATCGTTATCTCGATCATGCCATCCTTCCCACAGAGCACGCCATTCTCACTCGAAAAATTGGTTTTTTGGCCGTGGCAGACCAAGATGCTCCCGAAGCGTTGTTCCCTCGTAATCTTTCCGGAAGATCCCACGCCGCTGCAACTCTGGGACCAACCGTTGAGTCACATCATCCAGCCCTTCCGGCAAGAAAGGCAGTGCGATCGTAAACCCATCGCACGCCTCTTCATTCAACCACTGCTGCATACTATCTGCAATACTCTCGGATGTCCCAACAAATGCAAGTCCAGAGTACCCTCCTTGTCGCTGGGCAAGTTGTCGCACCGACAAGCCCTCCTCTGCAGCAACTTTTAGAACACCCGCACGACTGGTCTTACTCGCGTTTGTCTCGGGAATGTCAGTGGGTAGTGGCCCGTCTGGATCGAATTTGGATGCATCTGTGCCGAGTGCGATTGACAATGAAGCAATGCCGCTGTCGTAGTGGACTAAACTGTCGAGTTTGAGTCGCTTCTCTTGTGCATCTTGGACACTATTGCCGACAACAATGAAAGCAGCGGGCAAGATCTTGATGTGATTGCGATTGCGGCCAGCAGCAACAGCACGCCCTTTGATATCAGCGTATAACGCTTTCGCAGATTCGATGTCTTTTGGTGAACAGAACACGGCTTCAGCTGTTTCTCCGGCAAGCTGCTTTCCGGGCTCGGACTGACCTGCTTGGACAATGACGGGCCAACCTTGAACGGGTCGTGCGATGTTGAGTGGTCCTCTAACTTTCAGCTCGTCTCCTATGTGGTTCAGGACGTGAATCTTTTCTGGATCGACATACGTGCCGGACTCGATGTTGCGGACGAATGCATCATCCGCAAAGCTATCCCACAAACCGGTGACAACATCATAGAATTCGCGTGCACGCTTGTAACGATCTGAGTGATCCATATGCTCATCACGACCAAAATTCTTTGCCGATTCTGGATTGCCAGTAGTGACAATATTCCATGCTGCGCGGCCATTACTGATGTGGTCGAGAGAGGCGAAGCGGCGTGCGATGTGATACGGTTCGTCGTATGTTGTTGATGCTGTGGCTGCCAGACCGATCTTATCCGTGACTTGTGAGAGCGCGGAGAGAAGAGTAAATGGCTCGAAAGACGTAACAGTGTGGCTTCGCTTAAGTGCTTCGATTGGCATATTTAGCACCGCAAGATGATCGGCCATGAAGAATGCGTCGAATTTGGCATCTTCCAGTTTCTTAATAAACGACTTGAGGTGTGTAAGGTTGAAGTTGGCGTCTGGGTATGCTCCGGGGTAGCGCCATGAGCCAGTGTGAAGGGAGACGGGGCGCATGAATGCTGTGAGATGGAGTTGGCGTGGTATATCTTTGCTTCGGATAGCAAAGTTTTCGCGGTCACCCATGTTTTCGATGGTTTTCACAGTCGGTATAAAAAGCCAACGATTCCAGTCTTCTTGTTGCGAACATGGCTGAATACCAACAGTGTATATTAATATATGCATCTAATACGGGAAACGCTGACAAATGCGGACATGTCGCAATCACGACATTGCGCTTTGGAGAACTTGTACATGACAGGGATTTTAGACATTCAGTTTGGATTTTGATTACTGTCTATGCACCAAATGCTAATCTTCGCTGTCTCCCTCCAAGACACTGACCGGGACGGATCAAAGAGCTATTCACTCTCGCAGACACAGTTAGCAGTGCTATTCTAGTTTCTGGATAACATCTGTCTCTCTTCAGTGGGTAGATAGTTTATAGTCATTTAGAATTCATATTTCTCTGATTATGTTTGTGTAAAAGTCGCTCGAAAATTTTAAACACACCTATTTTCATATTCCAATTTACATATCTTCCAATAGTATAGAATAAATAGAAAGGTGAAATAGTGTATTCATGGAATTCTACTCGTCGTGAGAGTAGATCTCAAACAGGGTCGACACTTTTGAGCAGGGGGGTTTTCCCGGTCTCACTGGGGCTTAGTTCTGGGGTAATTCCCTGATAGACATATCATCTATCCATTTATACCTCGGTTTATGTCCTCCGTATCTCGTATTTCCCCCGCAATCACTTATTGTGTTCCCTATACGAAAATAAAAATCCCCGAGTAGCTGACCTGTGTGTACCAGTTGAAACCACGTCTCTATTCGGTTTCGGAGGACATGTGCCCTTACTCGCTCCGTCTGTAATTCACCACTACCTATCTTTGGGGCCGCCCACAATCCCTTTGATACTACCTGTTCTATTGGTGGACCACTTTCTACAGTCGATGCTCGAACACTCTGCATAGGTTCAGGATGGCTCCCGTTCACTCTCCACCGCCGACGAAATTTGCGAAGCTCTCCTTTCCCGCCCCAAGGGTGGTTCTAGTCACGATGTCGCGACCTGAGAAATTGAATTGCATTTCTGCGGCGGATGTTGTCGAGATGACTAGCGTCTTTCGCTGGTTTGACGACGAACCCTCTCTCTCGGTCGCCGTTCTTACTGGTGCTGGGCAAAAGGCATTTTCGACCGGCGCCGATTTGAAGGAATGGCAAGAAAAAGCATCTGCTGCAGGTGGAAAGCCTGGTGCGGGTCCCGGCGACGTCCCTGGAGCCGTTCCATTGTCCAACCGTGTGGGGAAGAAGCCAGTGATCGCCGCTGTCAATGGAATGGCTCTAGGAGGAGGTTGTGAAACTATCATGAATTGCGATCTGGTAGTCGCAGCCGATACTGCTGTATTTGGATTGGTAGAGGTGAAGCGAGGCGTTGCACCATACGCTGGTGTTCTTCCACGGCTGATACGGACTCTTGGCTTGCAGAGAGCAAGCGAAATGGCTTTGACAGGGAATTACTTCTCTGCCCAGAAAGCAATGGAATGGGGTTTCGTTAACAAGGTTGTTCCACAAGAGGATGTCGTTAATGAGGCAGTGCGGTATGCCAAAGTTATCGCTGAAAATAGTCCGGATTCCATTATCTGTACAAGAGCTGGGTTAAGGCAGGGGTGGGAAACTGCAAGTGTCGTGGAAGCAACTGCCATAACTAGGAGAAACGAATGGGCTGAACTGCAGAAGGGAGAGAATATTCTCGAAGGCCTGAAGGCGTTCAAAGAGAGAAGGCCACCTGTATGGTCACCCTCAAAGTTGTAGTGTCTCACAGTCATGATTGTCGTATATTGGTTGACGGGCAGATTATGAGGTAGCTACAGAGAAAAGGGAGCGCTTGTAGCCTGTTTAAAAATGGTCTTTCGACAATGCTTACGCAAATGAATGCATTTTGGTGATATAGTTACGCCATGTAAGTGGCATCGATCCCTACTCTCTGATCTTCCTAGTTTTTGATAATCCACCAAGTTGTGCAGAGTAGCTTTATGAAGGACATTCACCCTCGTATTCACCAGCCTGGCTAGACCACTTGGATTGATTCTCTTTCAACTGTACGTCTGCCCAAGCCTGCATAGCGACGGCTTGCAGTGCACGACCAAAGGAGAAGGTGAAAGCCCATCGTGCTGCCTTTGAGTTCGATTGTTTCTTTTTATTGATGGCATTGAGGAACGAGATTGAGTCAGAGTCGCAGAGGCCCCCAGAGTGAAAGACGATAGATGTACAAGCGGTGGGACAGTTTTGCTCAGGACATGTACGGTAGCCTCAGCGACCTGTTCGGGAGTTACCTTTTGTACAGATTTATCTCCTGGGACCGCTATGGAAGCCTTGAAGAGCAACCCAGCGAGATCAAGTTTATGCAAAGGCGACCGCTCGAGAATTGTGGGGTGAGCAGCTATATGAGCCTCCATCGAGCACTCCAGCGACTGATCGTGTGCTATCAACACTTCAGGCTCAACGATTGGGACGAGGCCAGCCTGCTGCGAGGTGGCGGCATATCTTGCTAGCACCTCAGCGTTGTCCATAATGGCAAGGAGTCACGACGTGGAAGGCGAGACAGTATAGGTACAGCGCCATTTACTGAAGCGAGCGCCTCTCTCGTAATATTGCTTGCATCTGTCGAGTAAACCATCGAATCCCTGGGTAGTTGTTTCCTCTGGTGAAGTCCGCGGCAATGCCACAGTGCCCTTGTCAACTTTTATACCCGGGATGATGCCGCGTTCTTTGATAATACTGGCAAATGATTTTCCCTTGTACTTAAACTCGAGCTCGGCATTGCGTTTCATGAGAGTCTCTTCAAATGTGATTATACTAGAAATGTAGTTCTCAAACGGGCCATCGGCTGTGAACATGACATCTCTCCACTCACGGTGATTGGCTTTTGTGTTTTGCTTTTCCACCTTCCCCAGTCGCTTCTTGATACTGTCTGTGGACTCATCTGCGACCAACAAACCTTTGCCTTCAGCGCCTGTAGCCAGAGCAGTCTTGTGGAGTTCTTCTCCATATTCGAGTGGTATGGACGGCTGAAAATGTTGAGGCAAGAGCGACGCAGACCCGTGACCGGACATCTCTTTTTTATCCTACCAGGTAGGTGTAAATACTATGAGGATGAGAAATGAGGGTGGGTTGGGAGAGAAGTGAGTCTGAATACCTTCCACCAGTCCGGCTCTCCATAATGTGCAACGAGAATCTTTGTGGTCACAGCGACGTCCATACCCCATGTCATTACTAGAAACCTCCACATCTCCCCCGCAAATTATCCTGAAGGCATATTAGGCTCTTCTAATGACCGTAACCCTACCTTTGTGTCAGTTGTGCGGAGTCATTCCTACTGTCCGAATTGCCGTTTGGCGCGAACTGAAGTGGACCTCAAGTGTTTTATTGTACGACAGCTTCGTATTGGCCCGCTGGACTGCTATTCCAGATGTAGCGTATGTAGGGTGCATCAATAAGTCTTCTGATATTGTGCTCACATCTTTCGGAGCCAAATTGTTGGAATTACTGGTCTGTACCCGTCAGGTAGTCTGCAAACCAGTGCAAACCCAGAGTAATCGTATGCATCAATACCAACAAAACAACATCTAGCAGATTTTCCAGCTTTGGAGGCATACAAGTTCCGTAAAATAACAGCAATCTCTATGCTCCCGGATAAATACGCACAAAATGCTTGTACTGAGTACCGGCGAATGTTTTCGGACAGAAAATACGCAGGGTGTTTACTATGCCAGCATTTACCAAGGGAATAGCTTGTCTTTCATGTTCCTGAAATTGCTTGGATAAGGTGGTAACAAGTAGGATCCGTAAATGTTCCTGAAACACTGTCCTTCGCCGACATCCATATTCAAAGTCCGGCAGCTTTCTTCAAATGCTCATCGGATGCGTATTTGGCGATCAGGTCCTGCTTCACTATCTCAACCTCGGAACCTTTAGCTGCGATTAATGCATCCAGCCTCGCCTTTGCTTCTCCAACGTACATGGTATTGGTAAGATCCCCAAGTACCGAATAGAATGTTGCGCCACTCTCAGTCTCCGGTGAGCTGAACTGAGTGTAAACGCCATCTGCCTGTGTGCCGCGCATAATGAGAATCATTCTCTCGAAACCAATAGTGCCGGGGCTCATCACGACATGGACGCGAGAATGCTCATTGACTAGGAATTTGTGTAGCGTATTTGGTGGAACTGGTACAGCCTTCCCCACCTCGAGCTCGATTGGTTTGAAGTTCACCTCGTCCATATCTTCTGAAGTCCAAACAGTCATTGAGCCACTGACAAGAGTGAATGTCTCAGTGAAGTCGGTGTGATAATGCGATGGAGCTTTGGCACCAGGGGCTAAGTCGGAATCAATGACAGTACGTTTGCCGCCATTCGTCAAGGACGATTCGACAATAATGGGTAATTTGTCGGCGTTCATTGTTTGTACGCGGCTTGCTTTCTTGGACTGAAGTCAGCGAGAGCTCCTTCACGACGTGGTATGAAACCTAGAGATCGAGGTAGCTCTAGTTTAACGGGGCACAGAGCTCAAAGAAATTTTTTGCATGAAGAATATCCAGTCATTTATAGACGCAACTGGGCGACCCCCAGTTCATTCTCTACCATGTTGTATAGCACACTAAAATCTGACCGATCACGCTGAAGTAAAGGCGCAGCAAGGACGAAGGAGGTTGATTGGCCGCCTACTCCGGTTGAGGGTAGGCCTTGTGATTGTGGACTGAGTAATCACGGGAATCCACCGTTCACTCAACCGGTACCCTTCATGCCTTGAGGAGGATGGCTTGTCGTGTTGCCGAACCGATCTCTTAGGGCACCCGGTCCAAGCATCAGCTAAGGCGGAAAGTGAGGCAATTGTGGCTGGGTCGCTTAGTCCTTCGGCACCCGAAGGCGAAAGGGATGGGTCGCTACAAGGTACGGGCTAGATATAGAGTACCCTATGAGAGACTGAGAGTACGCTCCATCAGTCTCGCTAGCCACGTGGGTATTGTAACGAACTTGAAAGGTGGGCGAACTGACGGCTGAGCAGAATACGGCCTACCGGCTGAGTTTCCGTTATGCTTCTGTATCATTACATACTTATCTAGCCCCATGCCTTACTGTGAAAGAGATGATCCTAACAATCTGATTGGGAGGCGAATCCAGTTGCAAAGTTGGATTATGGACATATTAGGATCTAGACTATTCTGGGATACTACACATACTCATGGCTTATTCTGCTTCGCTCCTACTCGTAAACTCAGCTCAGGACCCCTCGATTGTCAAGATCCTTTCCTTCACCGAGTTCTCCAATCGTACTCAGTAGAACGGCTCACATATATTAGACGCTATTATAAATTACGGGCCTAGCAAATCGTACTACTGCTCATGATACTGCTACTTCAGCTCCTACTGCTACTCTTTCTTATTTTCTCTTCTCTTAGGCCAAAGCTAAGCGTTGACTCCATCCAACATCATGCCCATCTAGGTATAAAAAGCCAAATGATGAACCACGGCCGCCGTACTGAGTCTTCCCAGCACATCCAACACTTTTGCCTAGAGTCAACTATGTAGCGAGCCAGGTCGCTTAATCTGCGCTTCATAATTCGTCCCGAAGGATATTTTTGAGCTCGGCAATGTCGATCCTACGGTTTCAGGCCACCCAAAATCAAGAGATACTAGTTGATGGCCGACTACGGAGTTTGATAAAGTACCGGACTTCACTGACCGTCCACAACTACCTCCTCGCCGCCACCATTATCAGTGCAGACATTTGTTCGAATGCCGCTCCCAGCAAATCCACAGGCCAACCGGGCTTGCAAGGCATGCCAACTCGGTGAGATATGTTCAAAGCCCTGGGTGTGAGTGGGCACATATTCTCTCAGGTGTGTGATCAAAGCCTCGAAGCCCACAAGGCTTCCAATGTGCTGGAAATGCTTCTGAGGAGGCTTGAGGTGGGAGCGCTTCCTGCTCATGCTTCTAGGGATCAATTGCCACTACCACAAACAGCGTCATCCGGAGCGAGAAGTAATAGTTACATTATCAATCCGGCTTCAGTGCATCGCCAGCCCTCGCTCAGGATATTCGCCGATATTCCCGCAACTTCTTCCAGACCCATCAGCGTGACAGCAAATCCTTATACCACGTTACATCAACGCTGCCAACATTCTGTGCAAGCTTTTCAACCTCTAGAGAGATCAGGACAAGCGAGATCTTTAAGCCTAGATGGCTTCTCCACCTGGCCAGAATCTGATCTGTCACCGTCTTATTTAAGATCCCAGATCTTTCGATATCATCATTTTTTGTACGTCGGGATCATTCGAGTATCCATATGGTCAGTCATTTTTCCCGATTGCCACATATCTAAGATTATATTAGTACTCTGCAGTCTGAGCCAAAAGATGGTAACTACATCAGCAGCTCGTTCGACTTTTCTAATCAGACACCCTTTCCAACACCAATGGCTCTAAGTGATCCAGTCTCTACACTTTGGAGCCTTAACTCTGGAAGTCAAGGGGGATTCCACACATACTAATAGCGAGGCAAATTCTTGTTACGAGTCGTTTAAATATATAAGGTGGCACAAGTGAAATCCGAAATGGTATACTTGGGCTATGTGAGAGCTGGATCGCCTTGGATTCTAGTGATGTAGCTACCATGAGCAGGCTGTTTGATGCTTATCGTGCATCCTTATGCAATGAAATGGCCTGGATGCGGATTTACCTTTGTTTGCGTATTTCTCTATTCATTATCAATATGGATATCTTCGTAGAAGGATGGGGTTCTACCCTGAATCTGCACTTGCTGGGGAGTAATTTGAGACTGTGACCTTGCTGCTTTGCTCAAGCACTAGGTCACCTGGCTCAACTTCGGCCCAGCCTCATCGTGATCTGCTCAGCCTCCTGAGACAGTTGCTTATTATTCTCATCGACTGTAATATTACACTTTTCCTAGTATTCGGTCTACCTCGAGCCGCTTCCGTGTTACCTGACGAAATCAAGCTCCTTAATCAACGTCCCTATGTATAGGTATGGAGAGTAGCAAAGCGTGCAAGATATGTGCAGTGACTTTGAACGGTCTGTTCATGTTGGAAATAATGAATTGGCTAATAAGAGAGTGTAAGCCATCCAAAGGGATGGGACATGGCTTCCTGCGAGTGCACACTCAAGCTAGTGATATAGAATGGTACACTGGCAGCTCTTCAAATCGGCATAGCTATTGAAGCAAATCACTTAGACCATGGTAGATCCTCCGCCGACGGGCAGATACGCGCCGTTGATCCAGCCTGCTTCTTCTTCGCAAAGCATGGCAACTGCCCACGCAACTTCTTCGGGTCTTGCTACACGAGGAGCAACAGGCGTATCGTCGATATGAGGCTGCAAGAATTCTCTGAATTGAGGCGACGCTTCATAGAAACTCTGAGTGCCGGTAACGCCGGGGGCAACGGCATTGACGGTGCATCCGTATTTACGTGGAAGCTCTTTGGCCCATGACCGTGTCAAGGCGTCAATCATACCTTTCGTGCCAGCATACATACTCAAACCCGTGCCAGGTGAACGAGACGAGCCACTGCTGATATTGACAATGCGGGAGTTCTCACGCGAGAGCACTTTAAGCACCGCTCGCGTAAGGAGGTAGGTTCCCCGGCTATTTATATCTAGCATTTTCTGCATTATGCTTAGGACTTTTGCGTCGTCGGGATCGTCGATGTTATGTGCTAGTGCCACACCCGTGTTGTTGACAAGGATGTCGATTCTGCCAAACGCAGCCGCAGCTTCTTTTGCCAGAATCTCAGGTCCTTCAACCGTCGACAAATCTGCCTTGATCGTAATTGAGTGAGAGTGCTTGTCGAGACTTTGGACTACTTTGATTGCATTGTCGCGTTCGCCATCGTATGGGTAGTTGACAATGACTGAGGCTCCACGTCTCGCCAGTTCTCGAGCAATAGCGGCGCCTATGCCGGGAGTACAAGAGCCGCTCACGAGTGCAACTTTTCCAAAAAGGGTTAAAGGTGCCGACATGGTGATGTGTGAAGCCCAGAGAAACGCCTTGTAGAGAAACGAGAAGGACCAATAATAGGTAAAATCGCAGCTTCAGTCCGGAGGAAAGCAAGTAACGTCTTGTGTATGACTATCGCGAAATAAGAACGAACCTGGGTCTCCCTTTCGCCAGGGCGATCAAATTTGAGTTTTAAGCAGACGAAGCACTGGTGTGTAGCGACTCCGCTCGCTATTACTATTACTTGTAAATAAATAGAGTCAGCCGGAATGAATGCGGAAGTACTGTTTCCGAGTGTGATGCAGGCTCGAGGTAAAGTTGAAAACAAGTCGGAAATTCCGCCAAAAAAAGTCCGCGGAATGCCACCGTTTTTGGAACCTTCTGTTTACGACCTCTCCAATCTACTGTGCATCTCCTCAATTATTCCTCGAACGTCTGAGTGCGCCGATAAGATTTCCCATTTCGACTTCGATAGAAGTCATTTTTCGAGCTTGTATTCAATTCCTTTCGCCTTCCAACCAACTCACTGAATTAACTCCGTCGAACGTATCTATCAATGTATCAGTCTTGGAGAGGCAGATAAGTAGTTTCTGTAGCAAGGCCGAACTTGGAGTCAAAGGTCAGGCATTCCGAACCAGACCTTGAATGCAAGTAGCTTTCCCTACTCTAATAGAGTGGCTGTCCAGGTTGTTCCGCTGGTATATTGTGGGCTGAAAGGGACCATTTCAATTCGCAGAAGTCAGAAACGGATAGTATACTTTCTCCATACTAGCCCCGTGGGGTTATATTCTACCAAGTCCAGATTCTGGAGGCTTTCTAGCCCGGGGCAGACCTTGTGGGATATGATTCCGTGAGTGGCGGCTTTCCTATCCCTTTCTGTGGTCTTATTCGAACTATAAGAAGGTGTCGCCCTACATCTACCAGCCCACTCCTCCCTACCTCACGGACCTCACCGTTAGCATCTCTTGTACTCGCTGTCCCCAACCTCTCTGACTTTATATTCATTTCTACCGAAGTGATGAAAATAGCTGCCACCATGGACAAGATATCAATAGATCACCAGATCCGTGGTACAAATCTTCTTCGCCATATGGAGACCAACGAAATTGTTCTCATTCCAGCGCCGTCAGACGACCCAAGAGACCCTCTTCACTGGTTCGCGGTATCCCTTTGTGCAAGCCTTCTCGCAGAGCTTTGTTCTGACGCTACCATCATAGGCCTCAATGGTTCAAGGCCTACATCGCCATCCTAGTTTGCTTCGCCCAGTTCTTCGGCAATTTTGTGCTTGGTGGACCATCTATCGCCATCGTGCTCCAGGCTGAGCAGTTCGGCGATCATATCCCCAAGCATCTTGCGCACTGGATCGGCCAGGCGTCATACTTCATTACAGTGTCATCACTTCTAGCAGGCTTGGCGAACATTTTCTGGGTTCCCATCATGACCAAGTACGGCCGCCGCCCAGTTTATGTGTTCAGCCTAGTTCTAGTCTGTGCGTCCAGCGTGTGGTGCGGCTGTGCAAAGGCCTATGGAGTAGAGCTTGCTGGAAGAGCTATATTAGGATTCGCTCTTGGTGCAGTAGAATGTGTTGCTCCTTGCACCTTGGCCGACATCTTCTTCCTGCACGAACGAGGATTCTGGATAAGGTAGGTCCACACTCTCCGATCTAGCTGCAGCTTGCAAGCCTGACTGCTTCACAGTATATACTTCGCAGCGGTTAGTATGGGCATCTCTGCCGGTGTTGCCCTCAGTGGCCTGATCACCATTGGCCTTCCCTGGCCATACATCTACTGGATATTCTTGGCATTCAACGGGTTTATCACGATCCTTGTCGCCTGTACATTCCCCGAAACCTTTTTCCATCGCTCCGCACCATCGTCTTCGGCGACACAAATCGTCGCAATAGAGGCCGTGTCAGATGGCGCAAAGCAGATCACACCGGCCATCGACAATCCAGAAATCACGGAAACAGCTGCACCGTCACAGAAGGTGTCCCCACTAAGTGATCTAAGAATTTTCCATGGTCCCAGAACCAGTGAGAGTCTTTTCAAAATCTTTTGTCGTCCTCTGCTACTCGTTGTCATCCCAAGCGTGTTATGGTACATAGCAGTGATGGCCGTCAATATTGGAGGGCTTATCATACTCACCACTACCGCGCCCGCAGCGTTCCCGGAGTACTACAGTTTCGTCACTTGGCAAGCTGGACTAACTTTCTTAGCCGCCGTGATTGGTGGATTTTTGGGTGTGGCGGGCGGTGGATACTTCCAGGACAAATTCGCCGATTATCTCACTAGGCGCAACCGTGGCATTCGAGAAGCCGAATTCATACTGCCAGCTATGGTCATTCCCACAGTCACTGGTGTGCTCGCTCTCGTTCTCTACGGAGCTGGCATTCAACAGCGGTGGCATTGGATTATCCCCACCATTGGTATCGGACTGCGTGAGTCTCCAATTTCCAAACTTTCGCTATTTTGTGCATAGAAATTAACCATAAACTGCGACAGAGTCATTCGCCCTTGTATGCTGCTCTGGTATCTCGATGGTGTATTGCATCGAGTCATATCGACCCATCGCGGGAGAGATTGTTGTCTGTGGCCTCAGCTACAAAGCCTGTTTGGCATTCTTACTTTCTTTTTATGTGAATCCCTGGCTCGCGAAGGACGGATATCAAACAACCATGGGAATCATCGCGGCTCTGCTAGGATTTGTTCAGTCACTTGCTCTCGTCTTTTATTTCTGCGGCAAAACACTTCGCAAAGCAACGGAAAATTGGAGAGTACTTAGGTTTATCGCCTGGCCTGCTGATCGCGAAGTAGGTGAATGATTCCGTGACTAAGTAATGGAATCCCAACAGATAGTTTCAAGTGATCGAGTTGTAAAATTGATAAGTCTAAGGGATTTTCTTGAAGAATTGGAGTGGGGATGACCGCCCCCGGAGACTCTGACCTTGTCTCAACTCACACTCGGAATGCACTTAATCCATTTTGTGAGTTTATGCAGAATGAGATCAATTTAAATGTGCAGAAGGATTAACTATATAAACGTGAATTTCTTGTCTATTCTGATTCTGGGCTCAATTTATCATCGGGATTTTGACTCTCCTCCTCAATCTAAAGCTTGAACTACAATAGCTATCAGCATCTTGATTATTTACGCTATAAAGATGACCCAGAGCACCCTCGATGGTGACCTTGCTCTTGTGGCTGGGTAAAAACCGAGATCAAAAGTTCTCTGAAGGCATATCGTCAAATGAAAGGGACGAACACCTTCGAAAATGTGTATGCATTGCAGTGGCGCCTCTCGGTCTTGGGTTCCAGCCGACACATGTATAATAGTAGGTGTATTGTTAACTCTTCTGAACAGAAATTACAAGTGTGTGACTTGGTAGGACGAAAAGGCGTGTGTATGTGACATACATATACCTAACGTGGTTGAAGAATGCCAAAGAAGTGGACTTCAGTTGGGAAGGGAAAGCTCAAAAAAGATCTACTTCAAAAGGGGAGTGAAGAGGCCTACTGCTTTATATCCAAGGAAAAGGCCAATGTTGGAGTCAATGAGAACATAGGTATTAAGATGGCTGCTAGGATAAGCTTAAGTAATTTCCATTCTTGTTCTGAGAATGTGATATACCAGATTGAAACTTTCGAAGCTTGTCAATCCGGCCTTGCACCAAACCCCGGTGTGCGATATCGGAGGATTTTGGTTTCCGTAGGGCGTTTTTGAATTCAGAGTGGCAAAAAGATTTGTTTAACCAAAACCATATTCAATTTCTCAGTTTTGAGTAGAGCCCTCTCCTGGCGAATGACGCTGATTTGCATCGACCATAAGTGCACAACCAAGCAACCCCAAGTCGTGAGTTGGGTCTGGAGGTGCCGTAGTTTCGATGAGGGAGGAACCCTCATCCCACCACCTATCCCCAAAATCCATCAAAGAAAATGAATCCATATCCAGTTCACTGAACTGTGGGTCAAAGTTGAGATTGATGGTCTCAGAACGTTGTTGTTTGAGGACATGGCAGTATTCTTTCAAAGTTTTCAAATCAAACCAGCTGTATTGTGAATTTGGTGACGAACGAGACGAATTATCAATAAACCTGATGGCATCTTGCAAGGATACGTGATAGAGGTCTTGGTCCGAAGGGGACAGAGCGGGGAAGATTGAGGTTATCACTGCCACGGCGGACATGACAAAATAAACGAAGAAGGAATGGAAACCTCGAGGGAAACAGCCACGGTTCCGAATCCCACAACAGGCAGAAATTGTGTCTTTGGCGAGTTTCAGAGCAATATCCGCCGTGTCTCGGTGGTCCCTTGCGTTCTGAGCAGAACTTATTTGCTCCTTGCGCAGGGCCATTCGTAAGTGGTTGACTCTGGCATGAAGCATGGTTTGCAGAATGGCGAGAGGACGCTCAGTTGTTCGCCGCTCCAGAGGAGCTGTCTTGGTCCTTTGCTGGAGTAGTAACGTGAAATCGTCGCGTACCTCCCGAACCCTGGAGTCCAAATGCTGGGATTCATTCCGCCTTGAACCCTCGTTTGATGGTTTGCCGCCCATGATCCGAGAGGCGGCGAAGCATATCCGATAATACTCTACCATCGCCGATAGAAAGGGTTGAGCAGCTCCCTATTACAACGTGAGAAACACATCGTCGTACAACAATATGGGTGTCCTAACCAGCTCAAGACAGTCAGGATCCGGCTGATCTTCAGGTATTGAAACAGGCAGTCCCGTTGCTACACTGACTTGCCGGTCTAACACATTGACACAGCAGAAGAGAATCTGCCGGAAATCAGGGTTGTCGCGTCCTCCACCACGCCGCCCAATATGGCGTGTCTCATGAAGGCCTAGCTCCAGGCACATCCTAGTGACACGACTGATCAGGCGCCACGCCCTAACAATCTGCTCCCGATGTATTAAATAAATGGTCTGTCCAACGAGCACATATTAGTCTAGTTCACGGAAGGGGGGCTTCAGAGGTATCGGGTATAATACTACCGTAAGAGTAAGGAAAACCACGTCGTCGATTTCGGGGTCTTCGGCCACATTTCCTTCCATCATATCAACTTTTGGACCCTCTAAGCCTTTAGGTATTGATCCTTCTCGAACTCCCTTGAATAGCAATGCAACTTCAAGTAGAATTTTCAGAAGTTTGATACGTTTTTCACTTAGAATGTAGGGAAGAGGCTGCGCTGAAGAGACACAACCTAGCTCTGCGAGGTGAAATATTGTTTCGACAATATTTTTGACCGTACTCATCTCCACGCAAGGATAGATCGGCAAGATATAATCTTCGAAGAACCCGATCAGTTCATTTGTCTCAAAATGACCCAGTTCAATGACAGGCTCTGCGGCGGCCAGCCAGTCAGCTTCCGTGAAGCGCGCCGCGTCAACTTTGGAGCAGCTGTTGCATCCAGGCTCTGGGATGGTCGAAGGAGAGGTCAAGATACCTTCCCGGTGAAGCATACTCCCGGCAAGGTTAAAAACAGAGTGGTGGCCGCCCGCAGGGTCCTGAACGATCCTCCATCAGAAGTTAGCAAAGTAATGATTGTCAAAGGTACGTGATGCACCCACTTTTCACAGCACACCCGTGAGCGGCGGAGAGCAATCGGCCGCTGTACGTGGCAAGGTGACGGCGTTGACCGGTAAGGTTGACACTCTGGTTGGCAATCCACCTGGACGTCGAGCACGGAGGAGACGCGAAGAAGACCTTCCGTGACAGTGCCTGTGATCCCTCGGACCTCCCGAGGTCCTCTATCGCTCTCGTGGCCGAACGACGGCTGCGTTTGCGGCGAGGCTTGTTGTGCTGACCCCTCGCATCTCTGTCGCTGCACCAGAACGCTGTCATGTGGGTCGGCGTCGCCGTAGGTGCAAGCATTCCCCATGTTGTTACAACGTCCACAGGGGGTTTTACCATCACACTTTACCTTTCGTCTCCGACAAGCCCAGCTGCGAGGCAGTAGGATTAGTTTCATTCGAAACAAGTCGAGTCAGGTGGCCATACCAAGCGACCAGTGTGTACCTTGCTCGTTTGCGTTGTGGAATATCTGCAGCACTGTCTGCAATGTCTGACAAACGTTTCTTTTGACCATCTCCTGTGGCCGGCATATCTTCTTATGATTGCTGGCTTCGATCTGTGAATAATCCCTTTTGGAGGTGCTCATTGACTGAAACGATTGTGAGAAGAAGTGAAGTGAGGCATGGCGGTGTTCCGGGGACTCCGTGCTTAAGTTCGGCCTTAATTCCGCGTGCAATAGAGCCAGATCCTTGGCTAGCCGGACCAGAATTGTTTACAGTTTTCCTGGGGACCCCGCTGTCCCACATCTTGTCAGGTTGGCGGAGAAGCGAGAAGCCAGACCTGACCAACTCGATGCAATTATCTTTCACACTACGGTGACGCCGTCAGTGTAATCAGTGCCACTTAAGATCTAGGTGAGACGAGGTGGACCCTTTCGTGGCATAATGGCTTGGATAGTTGCAAGAGCATTTCAAATCAGTCATTCATCGCCAACCCAAAGACGCGTTGAGGTCTCACAAATTCTCATTCTATAGACTGGAACTTTAGAGGTTGAAGAGACGGCGAGCATTTTCGTAGCCGATGGCATTTCTCGTATTTTCATTGAATTGCAACCCATCAAACCAGTCAGCGGCATCTTCATTGCTTTCATACGGATAATCCACACTGAACAAAGTTCTCGCCTCACCCATCTCTTCAAGAGTGTTGCGCAAGGTGCTCTCACGTCGGACACCGGCCAAAGTAGCGTAGAATTTGTTCTGGAGGTAATACATCATGGACTCCTTGTAGGGTCCATTGGTTCCTCTGATGCCGATGGCCATGCGGTGGTCGATCCGATGCACGAGAAATGGTAGCGATTCGGCACAGTGACCTAGAATGATTTGTACTTTGGAGTAGCGATCGAGGATGCCCGAGCACATGATGCGGAGAGCATGACCAGCAGTCTCGACACCAAACCCATATGCCGCCTGAGCCAAGTTGGGATATGACACGTAAATTCGCTGTTGATCCAAGGGAGGAATTCGAGGGTGTAGATACAGCGGCACTCCCAGCTCGCTCAACTTGCTCCAAAACGGTTCACACTTAGGGTCATCCAGGTATTGCACATTGCTAACGTTCGTTTTGTCGATATTGGTAAATCCGTTGATGAGGACACCTTTTGCACCTAGTTGCTTGACCGAGCGCTCGAGTTCTTTGGCGGCTTCTTCTGGCTTCTGCATAGGCACCGAACAAAAGAAACCAAAACGGTCTGGGTGGGCCTTGACATAGAGATCATGGAGCGCGTCGTTTGTCTTTTGTGCGAGCTCCACCGCTCCATCAGCGTCTAGAATGCCTTCAATTCCCGGGCATGTGAGAGAAACGATAGCATAACTGATCCCACTTGCATCCATGGACTTGAGCCGCTTTTCGACATTGTTCAATCGGTCGTCAATATCTGCAAGGAATGGCGTATTGTACGGTGGAATGCCTCCCTTCGCGCCCACTATCATCGGTGTGGGAGGATGAGTGCCATGAGCAAGGAAGTATGGACTACCAACTGCTTCTTCCAATGCTATTTTGCCCTGGAGACGCTTGACTGCAATGGTCTCGGTAGTTATGCGATTGAGTGCCATGTCGAATCGACGAGTCAAGAGAGGGAACTGTAATCGTAGGCAGAATGCTGACGCAGGACAGACATTGATTTACATCTAGCCAAGTCAGGGTACATGACTTTGCTAGGGGGCTCTCAGAATGACTGAATACATCATTTTTAGTCTTCACGCTTTCCGTGACTGAGAGTCAAGGGCGGAACTTCCGAACGCCGGTGGAAGTGCGGTCGCTAGCGTTTTGGAGGGTAGGCTTGTTCGCCTATCCAAGTACAATCGCGCTCGCGCTACGACCTCAATCCCAGAACGCACGGGCTCATCGCCCAGCTGCTCTGCAGTAGTCTCGTTAGTCTCACGCTCTGCATACCTACAGAGGGCGTGAAGTTGAAACCAGTATATATCATTTCATTCCGTTGAGACCCGAAGGTCGTGTACGCCGGATTGGCTGCATACGAAAATTGATCGAATGGAGGGTGCCGGGATGTATATTTCAGGTTTCTACAATCCAGTTGCTTTCTTAAACAACGAAGTTTGAACGCAGTTGAAAAGGGAATTGTATCGGCTGGGATACCCACCTCAATCTGACGGTATACATATTTGGCTTTAAAAAATCACCCCCTTGGCTACTATTCTACATTTTCTAACTCCCATCACAAAGTCCCCCTTTCCTATCTTTCACTTTAATAATACATATCATCACCAACTGATCTGCTGAACAGACTCTGAGTTACGGAGTATTCAGTCCATACATTCCTCAAACATGACATCAAATCCCCCAGGAAAGTGCTGCTGCCATGGTGTTAAGCACGAGGGCACTGCCACAGGCAAGCTCTCCAAGCTGGGTGACTTTGAGATCTACACCATTGGGGAGCCCAGCGAATATGGAATTCTATTGTGCGTCCATTCTCAATACAACAGATCTGGCTTTGACTAACTTGTGCCAGCATCACTGACGTTATCGGCCATAAATTCATTAACGCTCAGCTCATTGCTGACCAATTCGCTGCCCACGGCTACTTCGTCTTGATGCCTGATCTCTTTGATGGCAACCCAGTTGAGCTCAACGCCCCCGAAGGTTTCGATCTCATGAAGTGGCTCAGCGGCGAGTACCACCCGAAGAAACGTGCGCACATCCCGCCCAACGTCGACCCTATCATTGAATCCTGTATTACCGAGATGAAGCAGAGTTATGGCGTCAAGGTCTGTGCTGATGTGTTCTCGTCAGTTTCATTGGAGATACTTCTAACTCCATCCAGAAACTTGGTGCGGTAGGCTACTGTTTCGGGGGCAGATATGTCATCCGACATCTCCAACCCGAACAGGGCAAAGTGGACGCTGGCTATGTCGCCCATCCATCTCTCGTGCAGGATGACGAGATCAAGGCTCTAAGAGGCCCGCTCTCTATAGCGGCCGCCGAGACTGACAACATCTTCCCTAACGGATTGCGGCACCACACCGAGGACGTACTCAAGGAGCTAGGATACCCCTACCAGATCAATTTGTACGCAGCCGTTGAGCACGGTTTCGCGGTGCGGGTCGATCCGAGTAAGCGCAAGCTGCAATATGCAAAGGAGGCGGCGTTCTTGCAAGCTATTCAGTGGTTCGATGAGCACTTGAGGGGGAAGGCGTCAACATCTAACTAAGTGCATCTCAACGTGACGAGGGGCTGTTGGAGCAATGGAGGTAGGTCGCTACCTTTTGATCAGGAGTAGATCTTATGTGTACCGGAAGTACCCTAGTGATCACGTACGGGTACAACGAAGTAGAAATCGAGGCTTCGGCCTAAAGATCCTTAGATTGAGAATCACCTCTACAAGACTATGCCCGGGGAGTGTTGTCGGGAATCTCTACCTCCCAAGTAGACCTTGATCAATTCCAATAGAGAGCTGCTCTACCGCGCTTAAAACAAGCAAAATCGAATAAAACTGCGTCCATCTCACTCTTGCTCAGCATACCTCGCCTGCAGAAACTCACATAGAGTTTTTCGTGTGATAGAATTGGAATATATTGGTCGAATGGTAGAATTCTTCACATCCCTTGACCCAAGCCGTCATCCCGGTCCTGGTAATGTTATCTCTTTCATGAACATAGACATAAATGAAGAAGAACGGAAATGCCGCGCATTCGGAACTCGATGGGAACCGGGACAAAGCTCTCACCCCCTTTCTTCAGGTGGCGTTCCGCACGGAAACAGTGTCCCACCCCTTTCCAACTTTCGACCATGCAGGGAACTATTCTACCAATCCAGTGGAGATTCAGGAGATTCCGCAAAGAGGATCGGAATTCTCAGGTGGGCAGGAACCGCTGTGCGGGTTGTTGTTGGCCAAGGATAGCATTCCCAAGGTAGGCTGAATGAGAATGTGGGGCGGAACTGCCGGCCTTGCTTGTTGCACGATTTGGTGTCAAAGAACAATATAAAAGATCGAGTCTAAATTGAATGTCACCTTCAATATAGAAAATCTGTGTTCATTTCATTGTCATCTTCTCAACATAAACTACAATTCTTCGAATCAAGCGGTTCTACATACCATGGGTGACGCCGGTGACGCTAGTACGCAGCCAGAAGGGGTGGATTTTGTCGCGATGGCGGAGAGTGTCAAGAACAATAAGTACTATCAGAACTTCCAGCCTAAATGCGAAGTGGAAAACATCTCTATGGGCGACCCTGCCAACAGGAGGATTCGTATCATCAACGTCGGGACCGGTATGGCAAGCATTAACCTGGCGTACTATCTCCACAAGCATTGTCAAAATTTTGAGCTCACAATGTTGGAGAAAAGCGGCGAACTTGGCGGAGTTTGGAACCTCAATCGATACCCTGGTCTAACCTGTGACCTTCCATCGCACGCCTACCAGCTGTATTTCGCACCAAACCCCGACTGGCCACAGTTCTTGAGCCCGTACGTTGTCCCCAACCGACATGCTGATACCTACGGCTAACAGTGCTATCCTACAATAGTGGCGCCACGATCCTTTCATATTTCAAAAAAGTATGCGAGGTCTTCAATCTGCAGCGATACATGAAGTTCAACAGCGAAGTACTAGGGGCACGATGGGATCCGAAAGGGGTATGGGTAGTCCAGATTCGCCATAGCAAGCCCGATGGGACATCCGAAACATATGAGCAAGAAGCAGAACTTCTAGTCAACAACTCTGGAAATCAACACAAGTGGGGTTGGCCGGATTTTGAAGGGTTGGACAAGTACAAAGGCAAGGTATGTGCACTCGAACTCTGGTAACTATGTTTGCACGCGCTGACAACGAAAGCTCATTCACACGGGTGGATGGGACAAGGATTTCTGGGAAGAAGCCTGGAAAGGCAAAAAAGTCGCCGTCATTGGAAACGGCTCGTCCGCTGTCCAAGTAGTCCCAGCAATGCAGGTACGTCGTGTGTTCTTCTCTACGCCTCGGAATGATATCTAACTGTGCGGAATAGCCACATTGTAAAGAGATGAAGGTTTATTGCAGGACACCTGCATGGTTTACGCCCCATCTGTATGGCCATGGAAACTTCTATTGTAAGGTCACTGACCATCTGATCCCAGTGCGGAAATATTGACGAGAAAGCATAGACACCGATAAGCAACGTCAAGAATTTCGCCAGACCCCAGAGAAAATGATTGAACATATGAAAAGCATTGAGAATGACTTCAATAACATCTTTGCTGTTTACTACAATGGTAGCGAGGCTCAGAGACGTGCTATTGAAGGGTGTGGGAAACACATGAGCTCTATTATCAAGGACAAGGCACTTCTGAAAGGTGAGGAGAAGTCCAGATTTACGTGTGTTCCCTTCTGAATAGAAATGCAGCTCTTCTACCTAGATTTGCTCCTGGATGTCGCAGAATAAACGTCGGAGAGGGTTTCCTTCGCGCTGTACAAGAAGAAAACACCGAGGTCATCTTCAAGGGCGTCAAAGGACTGACAGAAACGGGTGTAATAGACGCAGATGGCGTCGAAAGAGAAGCTGATTGTGTAGTGTGTGCTACAGGTATGTCAACCGCAGAATTCAAACATTCTCTAGACCAACAGTCTTGTGACTATAGGCTATATAGTTGATCTCGCACCCACCTTCGATATCGTTGGAGCCGATAGTGTTTCGCTGAAAGAGAAATTCCGCGAAACGCCGGAGTCATACCTTGGTGTTGCCATACCTGGGTTTCCCAACTACTTCTTCGGTATCGGTCCCTACTGGCCAACCGCTAACGGTCCTATTACTGTTGGTCTCATTGGAGGGGCAAATTACGTCGTCGCTGCCGTCAAGAAGCTCCAGCTCGAAACCACCATAAAGTGTTTGACTCCCACAAAGGAAGCAACAGAGGAATTTGTGGACCATGCTCAGTCGTGGGTCAAAGGAGCAGCTTGGTCTGGCGACTGCTCTAGCTGGTATCAACTTAAGTCTGGTCCACTGAAGGGTCGGATTGCTTCAATCTGGCCGGGAATGACGCTCCATTATGCAAAAGCTCTGGCCGTGCCCAGGTGGGAGGATTATAAGATCGAATACTTTGAGGGCAAAAACGGCCATCCAAAGAACCGCTTTGCCTACCTAGGTAATGGGACGTTGAAAGAAGCCTCGGACGGAAGCGGCGGTGGCACTGCTCACATCAGTCTTGATGGGATAGATCCAGTATGGGCGAATGCTGTTGGAATCGAGATGCCTGTCTAGAGGGTCACTTGTCATCCCACAATTGTCGAAAGGCATACTATGCAGAAAGAGTAGAGGGAGAGGGAGAAAATGAGAAAGAGATAAAGAGTATTGAAAGTAGTTAAAAAGGTTTCCGGCTTCGGTCTTCTTTAGCGTTCCTGAAGCCGGACCCTAATGTCTTGAAGATGTGGACAGCCGACGAAGAAGACGTAGCTTGCAAGCACACGAACTGGTCGTTTTCCGATTTTTAACGACAAGGGGATCCAAAATAAATTCTTTGTCAAACGTTAGTCAATCCGTACTATCAATACATGGCATCCTTAATCCGTACTCCAAGACCAAGAAGGACTTGCATCGTGATTAGGTAGCTACTTTGAGTGGTCGAGACGTCGAATCTTTCAATAACCTTGGTCAATCCGGGCGTCAAGGCGGTGAGGCTGTAGTTGGATAAGAACACGGAGAAGGAAATACCGGCAAAGGCCATGTGCTTTCTCCATACACTCCAAGTCTAGGGCGATCAGTTACACCAGCCTATCAATCTAGTATTCTAGGTGGGGTAAATCGAACTTACCAGCGGGTCCTTTGGATCGTTTGTTGGGCGTGGAATCAACAGCCGACCGATCACATTTCCATCTTTGTCCTCTTGGAACAAGTGAGACGCTTGGACTTGGCTATTATGGATGTGATGGACAGTCAGGTGGTCAGCCATACCCACTTTCTTTGATACCTCCAAATGGACTTTCAGCAGCGGAGCTGTTGTCTGTGTTCTGATCATTCTGGTCAGTAATGCTTAACAAAAAGTGTGTATGATCGACGCTGGAGAGAAATGACGAGCTGGATATGTTGTACTTACCAGTCCAATCATGCCTGCCTCCAAATTCTCCAGCATCCTGAACAATCTGTCGACATTTTTGGTAAATGCATAGCTGGCAAGGCCCATACTGGTGCTATTGGCCCATTCCGCAACTTGCTGTTCAGTCTCAAACTTGAATAAGCCAAGGACAGGGCCAAAGGTTTCTTCCTGGCTAATGAGTGAACCTTGTTTCGCGTTGATTAAGACGGTAGGGTCGAAGAAATATCCCGAAGTAGGCTCACTGAGTCCAGCAACTTCGTCTGTTAGAGCCAAATTATGTGCTTTTCCCGTGCCAAATGCTAGAGTGCTAGAGTTGCTCCGTTCTTCACTGCGTCCGCAACCTGTACCTCAGCCTTGATCAAGCCTCTCGGAGTCGTAACTGGACCCAGAGTTGTCCCTTGCTGTGCACCATGTCCGACCTTCAGTTCTTTAGTTTTAGCAATGAGCAATGCTGCAAACTCATCGTATACGCCAGCTTGAACGTAAACCCTGTTAGCCGTAATACAAGCCTGTCCTGCATTGCGCCATTTCAAAGCCATCAAGTGTGTCACAGTTGCTCCAGATCAGCATCATCGAAGACGATAAAAGGACAATTTCCTCCCGATTCGAGGGTGCACTTTTTGAGTCCTTTCGCGCAGAGACTTGCCACAAGCTTTCCCACACGCGTACTGCCGGTGAAAGTGACCTTCTTAACCAGTGGGTGTAACATCAAGGCCTCCGATAGGCTAGGTGTGCTCTGTAGACTGGTAGTCAAGACGTTGAAGACTCCTGGCAGGAACCCTGCTTTCGATGCAAGGTAAGATAGTGCGAGACATGTAAGGGGTGTTTCAGGGCTTGTTTTGAAAACTATAAGACATCTAGCGGCAAAGACAGCGCCAGCCTTCCGTAGAACCATAGCTACAGGAAATTTCCACGGCACCAAGCCCACTGCCACACCAATGGGTTGCTTGACTGTCAAGACACGGCGACTTGTGTTTGCAGGGATATACAGGTCCCCCTGGATACGCTCCGCTTCTCCAGCGTACCACCATACAAAGCTGAGTGATAAGTCTAACTCGCCATGCGACTCTGCCAACGGTTTGCCGGTTTCATATGTTAGAATGATCGTGAGGTCATCCTTTGAGACAGCAATCAATTTATGCCATTTGAGAAGAAGCTGTGCGCGTTTTCGTGGAGAGATCTTGCTGTATTTATAGAATGCTCTGTAGGCTGACTACACGGCCACGTTGACATCTTTGGCCGCACTATCAGGGCATGATGCAAATGCCTTACCGGAGCCAGGATCAATGACCGCAAAACGCTTCCCGCTTTTGGCTTCCACCCGTTTGGCGTCAATGTATGAGTGTTCCCTGAGAAGTTCTGAGTTGTTCAAAGTGAAGGGCAGACTGTACTCGGACTTAGTATTGATGGTCACTATGTTGGATGTTTTACGCCTTTTGTGTACTGGTGCCAGATTGGTGATAGGTGGGTTGGGAAGTCGATATCTCCTAGTAGTCAAGTATTGAAGGACTGTCGTGCTTCGTCCCATCCGTTCAACGTATACTTATCTTCAAGAAGCTGTAACAGCAATGGATCTCTCGCCCCTCAAAGCTCGCTTCTTAGCCTTTAAGTATCGATACCGCCCTCTTCTGCTATATATGTTGGCGTCGATAAAACCTAACGACCGTGGAGCGAGTAGTCATTATGAGGATCAGGTGGATCAACGGAGTTAATTAAAAGCATTTCGATTATAAAGTTCAGCTGGGGTAGGGCCGAAGGAAGTATAGACAGGACATTTCCAAGCCTTTCGGTTGACCAAGGAGTGATTATCGGACAATGGTAATGCATTGTACAGACACTAGTAATGTTTGGTGCGGAGTCGCCATGAGGTCGCTCTCAGAATTTCTCCTACATTGACAAATGTAACCGCGTTAGGCTTTATGATACTGAGCACAGCGTACTCTCAATCTATCAGTACAAATCAGAATCCTTTGGGGGTCAGAAGTGTAGTAGCTACTGCAGGCTCAATATCCCGAATAGAATCCGAATTATAGTCGAATTCCCCGAATTCGTTGGGGCAGTCTACGCTACTCTCTTAGCGATCTCTCAACCGGTGAGGTATTCAAGCTAAGTATTATCTAACGATTTGTCTTAACGCCTCTAGTCTCTCTATCCCTTGAGATCCGGTCACTAGCTTTTCAAATACTACGGGAGAGAGTAATATTTGTCATTCTTATCTCGCCTAACTCCTATCGTCAGTTTAGTATGATAATATGACAGTACGTTCTTCAACAGAAACGAAGCAAAAGCCGAATCCAGCCCACCCCAAGCCTGAGATGGCTAATCTGCTGGTCAAGGAAGACGGGGCCATGAGCAGAAGATCTCTCTTGAGAAAAAGGGTTTAGACTTCCAACTTTTTAAGAGTTAAGTATCATTTATTGGATTCAGTGGCTGTGCCAGTAACTTTAATATATCTCTAGAATAACCATGGGATTTTGCGGAAGCATTGTCGACTCCGGAAGAGAGTTGAGCCTTTCATTATGATCAAGTTTAGCTTGTTACCGCTCTTAATCTCGGTCATCCTTTTCAAGTTAGAGGCTCATATTGCTCTATTGCCGTAGGGACAGCTTTTCAGTGCGAGGAGTTTAGTAAAGGAGAGCAAATGCAGCATAACCCATGAAAATAGCCAAGCCAGCGGCGCCTGCCTTCAGTGGCACAGCAGCACCGGTATAGGTAGCAGTGGTAGCGCTCTCAGTAGCTGTTGCAGTGTTCGAATCACCGGCTCCCGTGCTGGTGGCATTTGTGACTGGCCATGCAGGAACACCATCTCCATCGGTGCCATTGAGCGGTGGTGCAAACCCTGTATAGGGGTTCATCACACTGTCAATAAGTACGATAACTCCACCGGAAGTGAAGAGGTTGACGGAACTGACACCGGCATTGTTGATGAACCACTCCTCGTCAGGTGTTTGAGTGAAGGTGACGGTCTGACCCGTCAACGTGGTTACTTGGGAGCCATTGACCCAGTCATCGAAAAGGAAAATTTGGTCGCAAGCATGATATTTGAGCACCTCTGTCAGGTTGTCCTTACTCAATTGCGAAAGGGCATCCTCCACAAGTGCCCACCCCGAATCGTAAGGAACAAAGTAAGTGGCGTCATGAAGTGAGTTGAACTGTTCCGTCAGTCCAGCACTATCGAGAGCCGCAATAAACGAAGTGCCGTTAAAGTCGTTTGCAACCGCAACCTCGCTAAAGCTTTCCGGGACTGACAATACACTGTCGATAACATAGATCCATCCCTGGGCAAAGGAGAGGGGTGTCACACCAGTGTTGGAGTCATTGTAGTCTCCACTAAGGAAGGTTATCAAGTTGTCGTCATCGTCGTAGTAACCCGCAACGAATTGGCCACCCGATACATTTGTGAGAGTGTTGGAAGTCAACATAGTATGGGCGACGAAGTAGTCCGATATGTTATCGTATCCTCCGTTTATCGTGTGGTAGAGTAGAAGGTTAGTGAGATAATCATCACCGGCTGCCGAGGCTGCTTGTCCCTGGGTAGAGTTCAGCCATAGGGCAATGGCTGTGTCATTTGGGGCAAGGAAGGTGAGGTTCGTCTTCCCAGAGATGGCTTCTAGGAATCCTAGAGCTTGAGAGACAACCTGACCAATAGCGGAAGCTCCATCTGTAGTATTGAGAACTGTGGCCAGATCTGGCGAGGTCTGGGCTAGGGTGACACTAGCAAGAGCTGTGAGGGCGAACAATCCTTTGGACACCATGGTAGCAAAGAGTGGATTGGTCGACAATAAATCGGTCGCTGATATGGATACTTGCTGTGAAACGGGACTAAGTAAAGGCGAGATTTCTGGAGAGGAAGTAACTTTGCCACATGTTGGAATATCAAAGGGCCATAGTCAAGGTTCATATACGGCCAGAGTCTGGCAACGCCGGCCGCATTCGGCTCTGGTGGATGGTTTTGTCCCACTGCTTAAGGACCTTGGCAGCTTCAAACTCAATGCTTAGATTGATTATGGTGGATGCTGTGGTGCGAGAAATTTTCCAGGAACTGCTTGAAGGTCCCATCATCTGCGCTAGAAAGGTAGCATTTGGGCGAAAGTTAGCACCGTTGTAACGTCTTCTAGCAGAGGATGGTGAGAATTGAATGTTTTCTCAGGAGCAAGACTCATTTTTTCTCTCGAGTTTGGCCTGTCATGTGCAAGCTACAAGCCGCATAGGGAGAAGATTTGCAGAAGTTCTATTTAGAACGGTGAAACTCAGTATCGGCGTGTGTACATAGCTACCCTCAGGCCAGAGCTACTCAGAGCCGATAGCGGAGTGTCGTCAACTGCACAGTTTGGTAGTAGAAAAGTCTTTGTCAAGCTGGTCTAGTGGCTATTAAGAGTAGGATGAGTAGAAAGAATGGAGAAGGAAAACAAAATTTCAGGCCTGAGCAGAGGTAGAAAAGAATTGTCAGATGATCTTATCAGATTCTAGTTGTTAGATTATCAAAAGCGGATCAGCCATAGCACTACAATTTCATACTATAATGTAACTGGCTTAGTGGCAAGTGTCTAGCTGGGCGGCCTCGGAATGCCTCGGGTCTCCTTACACTTTTATTTCACTTTACGTCAGCTAGAGTAACAAGCTTGGCTGAAAGCCTGAATCACCCTCATTCTGAGCGATTGTAGGGTCACCACGCCGGACAGTTACGCTAAGAACTCAGACCTCCTTGGCCTTGCGAGCGCCGATACCGGGATTTAATGAGGTAAAGATCCCATGGGTAGGTTTGCACTTAGCACAGTGAAGATTATGATGAAATAATTATTATCAGATAAGATTAGATAAGATTAATACCAGTTTTATCTCGCTATTACTACCTAAGTTCTAGGCCATAGCTCACTAATTATACTCCCCTTGAGTCTACTAATATTTATATACTATTGCTGATCTATCATCTGAAGTAGTCGAATCCTCGTTTAGACACTCCATATCAGGGACAATTATAGTGAATATGGACTCAGCCATCTTCCATTCTCTCTTTACAATATTTTTCTATCTCAGACGATATAAGTTAACGAATGCAAGCATCCTCGTCATGGGAAAAGGACGGATCTCTACGCCATTATCGCCAATGTAAGTTGTGAGTGGTTTGGCAGAATTGTATGGTGGCCAGTGCAGCAGGACTCGGCCCGGAGTGCCGCGAAACGGGAAGCAAGTCGGGAACCCATTACGTGCGAACGACAACCACGCCTCCTGCATTACCTCGGATATTTTTGCGTCCGTTTCGTCGTAATATCCTTCAAATTTATCGGCAGACAGAGTCCCAAATACGTATCGAATGTCCGTGGTATGCTTCGCGAGTTCCCGAGCTGCAACGGAGCCGGGCGAACGCCGGTTAAAGTGGTAGTGGTAGAGCTGTCGCCGTTGTTGTTGGCCATCGCCCGTACTGAACTTTCGTAGGCTTTCAAGAGCCGGCTCGGTAAATATCATGGTAGTCATCAACCGATCCATTAGGTCGTAGGTCGTGGGGTCAGCCCTGCCACCACCGTCCGTTTCGGAGCGGAGGACAGCGAGGATTCGGTCGCTGTGCAGGCCGCCGAGGGCATGAGCCAACCGCTCCAGAGCCTCAGGAGGGTAGGTCAGGCTTGGATGCAAGAAATATCGAGCTTCATTTTCAACACAGCCCAGCAAAACGGGGACAGTGGAATTCTGCCAGCCCGGCGTGTCGTCTTCACCTAGCACCACTTGACCATCAACGACGGGCATCCAGATAAGATCTGCCGGGGTCCGGATCTGGCCCACAGGCGGTGGGATGCCACACAAAGCGTGCGAGGCCATTTTGACGGCATTTCCATCCACATGGAGGCGGAGCTGGACCGGGTCTCGAGTGCCCAGCATGTCAAATAGGGCCTCTGTGGCCTTTTGTGCGCGCCGGTACGACCAGGCCGGTGTGAAGGCGGGCCTCTCAAAACCGGCACTCTGGAGGATCGCCCGGTGGAAAAGACCGTCAGCTTGAGGACAAGAGAGCAGGTTGCGCACGGTGACCGCACCGGCCGATTCCCCAAAGACGGTCACGTTTTCAATGTTGCCTCCAAATGCGGGAACGTTCTGGCTCACCCATCGCAACGCGGCCACCTGATCGAGAAGGCCAAAGTTGGCGCCCCAGTCAGGATGCGCGAGAAACCCAAAGGCTCCCAGGCGGTAGTTGAACGTCACCACGGTCGCCCCTCTTGAAGCCAGATGCGAGCCGTCGCAGTTCTCCTCGGAGCCGGCGCCGCCTAGGTTCCCGCCGCCGTGAATCCACATCATCACCGGCCTTTTGGCCGAAGCATCCAAGCTCTGCGTCCAGATATTGAGGTAGAGGCAGTCTTCACTCTGCAGTTCCTGCCGTGTGGGCGATGTCGTGCCGACCACCTGAGGGCAAATGGGGGAGAATGTCTTACACTCTCGAACACCCTCCCATTCACTCGGGGTGATCGGAGGACGCCACCGCAATTCGCCCACTGGGGGAGCGGCATATGGAATGCCGAAGAATTTGAAGATATCATCTTCGAAGAAACCATGCACGAGTCCTTGCTGCACCTGTACCTGCACCTGCATCTTTTGTTACTGGGGAAGGGTGGAGAAGGGCTACCTTTTTGAGCCCTATCCCTGGAAGATTGACACCCTTTGTTGAGTGCTGGGATAGAAAGAGGACATTATTATATCCATGATCGTAGATCCTCGGTGGCCATTCCCCCATGGCACACGTGGATACGGTGGGAGTGTCCCGAGATTCCTCGCCCTCGTAGACCCGTTGATTCCCGTGGCGCTTTATGCCGGCTCGGAATCCTGGCTCATTGGAGGAACACTCTCCTCACGAGGGCGCTAAATACCGACAGAATTTCCACTTTCCATGGGTTATCTGCGAGCATTCGTAGGGAATTAATTTGAGACTAGTCTCGCTGGAACCGGTCATCATAGTACTTGGCAGTCTATAATACGACCCCCGTTGACCTTGCCAAAGCACGTATGTAATCTTCCTGAACCTCCTCACTTCCGATCTGCATCATTCTTTCCCTGTCGCTCTGCATTTGCTTACGCCTTAATTTAGGGTTGGTCTTCGATTTGCTGGACCTGTTCGATTTCGATATTCTTCGCCGCTAACGCCGCCCGCTGCAAGCGGTTGGTGAGTTCATAGTTGTGACGATGGGCGGCATCTGTCGTTTGACTCAGACCTGCGGCTCGGCCCGTCAGTCTCTACCGAGACGTGCCAAACAAAGGACTCGTGGAAACGTAACTCCTTGTACATACCGGCATCATCGATTGCGCGGAGCGGCATGGCATGGCCATATTTCCGCTTGCGAGTGCGGGCTTCCAGACTCAACCAGTAGGGGATGGTCAAAGCACTAACAATTGCAACTGCGACAATCGCACAGGTGCCGACGAAGGCCTCGTGGTAGAGTGGTGCATCAGCATTAGGAAACATCTGCAAATTCAATGTTAGTCTGGGCACTTACTGACCCCAGAACCGATTGTGCCATTAGCGGTGTCAAATACCTGAGGAGCGATGATACTCCCGATGGATAAAGCTGCAAAGGTCGCGGCGGTGCCAATGGCCTGCTCGCTCGCCCCGTAGAGTGTAGACGTACGATAAGCAATCAGTGAGGGCTGGGCAAAGGTAGGCATTTGCGCTAAGAATGCCACCCCGTATAGGGCTATCGGTTTGACGGAATGTTGATGCGGATGTCCGCTAGACCATGTCCAGATACTATAGGCCGGAATACATCCCAGGAGGGGAATAATATAGTGCCACAGTCGTTCACGGGTCCAGTCGGAGTGGAAAGGCCAGGCCCAATAGAAAGGTAGGGTGGCGAAAGCAGTGGCAGCTGCGTAGAGATTTGCCTTTGATGGCGAGTAGTGAAGGAACTGCCAGAGTTGGTTTCCGACTCGAAAGACAAACACAGGTGCTTCAAAAGGACGCCGGCTTACCGCCAGGAGGATACTGGGCAGGAAGTTCGCTTGAGCAGACACCAGCATCAACAATGCCATGTACGAAACAAAGAAAACGTAGGTAGAGGGCCGCCTCATTACACTGGTCAACTTTGTCAGTAGATCTCCGAACTATGCTGTATTCGCCCTGTGCATACCTGAAGAAAGCCGGCCAGCTCCAAGATACGTCTGTTTTTCGAGTACTGCCTCTTCCAAAACGGTTGATCGCAATGTAGCGCTCTGGGATGGTGTCAGAGAATCCGGGAAGAAGGATTTGACGGGCTGAATCAAATTGACCTCTTTCACTCAGTGCTGTAGTATTCTCTGGAAATGAGAGAAGTATGAAATGGAAGGGGAATGCCAGCCCAACGCATATCGCTCCCTCGATGAGGAAGACCCACTGCCAGGATTTGAGGCCATTTCGACCGTTCAACTGAAGACAAAAACAACTAATATTAGTAAAATGGTCCCCAGGAGAGAGCATGTGAACAGACATTGTCAATGGCATCAGCCAACAATCCCGAAAGTCCTACTGCCGTAGCGTTGGCGCTGAATAGAACCCCTATGCGAAACGCTCGTTCTTTCGGCAGATACCTAACAAGACCCTCGTCAGAGTGGCATACATGCCAGAAGTATAGGTTTCTATCTGCCATACCAGAAGGAAAAGTAAAATGCAATTGCGGGTGCTAATTTCAATCAGTTTGCGTACAGGAGACATCATGTAGTGGGGCTCGAGAGCAGAGGATTTGCCTACCAACACCGGATTCTGGAACACCCAAGAAGATCCGTGCGAGGATTAGGCCAGGACCACTCTTCACAGCCGCTGTGCACATGACAATGCCGCCAACTGTAGTTCGATGAGTGCTAGTCCTCGAGGTAAATTTCCCCTGGCTGGTACTCACAGCCTATCATGACGACAGGAAAATAAAACTTGGCTGACGTCCTCTTCAACAGTAGGATTGATGGTAATAGGAAAACAGTCATGAGAAAGTAGGTTCCCGAGACCGCCTGGAAAGAATACTATGCGTTAGCAGCTATGCAAAGAGAGGTGTGAACCGTCCCATCTAGTCTTGAGACTATTGACTAACCCAGTTGAACTCGGTGCCTTTCATGTGCAGACTGCGCTCGATGGAGTCAGGCTTGCCTATTTGCAGGACCTTGACAGAGCCAATGTTTCCTCGATCCAAATAAGCGAGCACATATATAACGAAGCAAGGTATAAGGATCCGTATGTCCAGTTTTCTCACGAGCGCGCGTTCTTCCGCAGGCGACCAGTCCGGCCCGATGCCGTTGACGGCCTGGACGCGATCCTCGCTTGATTCTGTCGAAGGAAACGGTAAGTTTTGGGTCGACGTTTGGCGCTCCTTGTGGTCACCCAGTAATTTAAGGTCAATGCGAACCTTTGTAGCCATCCTTCTTAGATGGCATCAGAAGATTTCGGACGGACCAACCTATAAAGATAGATAGTTATTAGCGAAGAAAACGCGTAGAGACAATATTTAACATCATAGGTGTTGGGAAGGAGGACAATGGCTCTCTACTATACCTCCAATATGCACGCCGTCCTGCTCCAATGTCATGCGTTCCTCGCTAGAAAACATTTCGTTGGCTTCAATGGTGTATATGTTGATAAGCAGTTACGAGCGTTTCTGCCTTTTACCTTTGTTCTTCCTGAGAGCCATAAAGTGCCCCTCGACACGGTGGCATGAAGAATACAACCCTCCTTTAAGAACAATCCTAGGCAGCACTATCTTGATACAATCCGGGGTAAGTCTGGGGCGGTTTGTGGAGCCAGTCTCTCCGTCGCTAGCCGTCTCCACCCATGTCCCTAACCCTTGCTGAGCGGCCATATCAATCTCCGCGTTGTGGCCTGGCCCACGTAGTAGTATCTATTTTTGTACATGGTCTCATACTCGAAAAAGGCTGGTTGAGCTCTGCAGTACCGTCAAAGTGGTTGACATTCCAAATCAGGGCCCATGCTGTTAATAAGGCTTACTTGGTGCTATTCATTTACACAGAGAGTAGATTATGAACCAAGACAATAGTCAGTCTCTCCTTGAAATCCCGTCGCTGCTGAGTACCCTGCCCTATGTGATAAGATAGATCCGGATATAGACAAACATTTCTCTCCCTTTTGACTCGTCCTCTAGCTTCGTAATACACTAATGATGTCTTCTGGATTGTACCCATACAGCCATTCCATGCCCATGGTCGGACCTTTCACCTTCAGGACAGCCCACATGATCCACTCTTTCAGGTACCACATGAATGGAGAACTGGTAGGTGCACGCTGCCGGCCACTCCAGTCTGTCAATTCTTTGACCAACCGAAGGCGCCCCTGTCGATGCTTTTCCCATTTTCCCAGCAGCCTCATCCGCTCTGTTGCAAAATCGGCGTGTGCAATGGTGTGAGCCAGAGTTTCTCCATCCTCCATCGCCATGGCAGCGCCTTGTCCACCCTGGGGCGAAAATGCGTGTGCAGCATCGCCGATGATGATGACCCGCCCCTCAGGGCTGGTCCAGCGTTCGAATGGCGGGGCATCGTAAAAACTAGGTCGAGGTCAGCGACTAGGTGAACAAAATAATAAGCATCAACCGACTTACGGCGTGAGCCACATGTTGTCTGCCGGCTCCTTCTCCCAGACTCGGGAGATGTAAGGGGGCCAGTCTCTGCCGAATCGATCCATCATAATCTTTCGTTTAGCTTCGCCATCCGCATCGAGGGCTTCCCACTCCTCCCTGGACCTAGCTGGGAAGGGCATTGTCGAGAACATGTCTATTGCACCACCCCAGGGATTCGAAGGGAAAACGGCGATCATCCCATTCTGACCGAAGCAGAAAGTGGGAAGCTCTACCTTCTTGACCGACTCATCTAGTTTTTCCCGGTCAATGTTCATGATAATGACGCCCATGGCACCGCTGTAGGGCAATTCTCGTTTGACGATATGATCTCTGACCTTCGACCAGAGGCCATCAGCAGCAATAACGGTGTCGGTTGTCACCACCTCGCCGTCTTCGAATTTGACCCTGACATACGTATCTGTTTCTTCAACGATACCCTCGACTCGCTTGTTGAAGTGGACGGGTATACCCAGAGCCTTGCACTCTTTGAGGAGAACCAGCTGCACCGTGCGGCGGTGGATGCGCATACTTTCATAGTTGTAGTGTTTTTGACTGCCGTTCAAAATACTCCCGATTTGTTTCCCGGTTCTGGCAGAAGTAAGAGCCATCTTTTCGTAGGAATGGCCCAAAGTTCGAAGTTCATCAAGTACGCCCATGTGCTGTAGGACTCGAAGAGCATTCGGGGCTAAAGCAATATTAACGCCAGCACTATAGTCTTCTGATCGCAACTCGTAAATTGTTGAATTAATACCATGTAGTTTCTTGAGGAATATGGCTAAACATGGGCCCTAAGGGAGAGAATCTCAAATTCAGTAAAAGGAATCAAGAGCTTGGTGGTTGGAAAGCTTCTTTAATTACCGACAGACCTCCTCCAATAATTGTCACATTCTCGGCTCTCTTTGGATGTCGGGCCTGCAAATCGTCCAGGCTCTTGATTTCGGCAAGCATGATTCCAAACGAGATTGAGACAGTGTATAGTAGGATAGCTGCTCGCGGAGAGTTCTCTTCATAATAGAGGAGCATAAACACAGTGATAGGGTCGTCGTTTACGCTGGGGTATTGCAACCACTGATTTATCCATTTGCAACAAAGTCCATTTCTCTACAACATCGATCGGCGATCAAATTCCGTGCCGAATGTTCCATCTTACTTGAGAAGCAATATGTCGCTCCGTTGTGAACCTTAGTAAATGAGTAGTCACGGCTCTGCCCACACTACCGGGATCAGCGAAGGAGAGTATGTCCAGCGGGAACGGGGACAGTGGGAGCTCTAATTAACAGCCGGCATGTTATCTGGACAGACCCCTTGAGGAGTAGGAAGCCAAATTGCCAACTTTCACAAGCTCTAGTGTGGATGTCGTCGGAAAAGGCGCCACGCGGAAAAGAGTACGGAACATAACACGGAGGGTTCAATATTCTGCTAAATAAAGGTATTACCTGAAAACCGTGTCGATTTCAAGGCGAGGACGGCTAAACGCTAACAACATGTTGCAAAGTGTGAGTAAATTGATAGGGTGTTTTTCAGGTCGCCCGAAGTGTGGGCGTGGCATGACTAATGACCCTACCCGTGCTTAACCGGAGGGGGGCCTCCTTCACCGGCTCTAGGAGGATACACTTCGCACCTATAGCGCCCATTCACCTCAAAGCGCTTAAGTCTTTAGAGTATCTGTGCTGACGACCTATACTATTGTGGCATCTTTCGATTCAGCTGTTTTGCGGGACGTTTCGAATAGTTTTCAAGTCGACCTCCTTTGTGAAAATCCAATACTACTGTTTGGTCGTAATGTTACGTTTAGGACTCAGCAGAGCGCTACTATACGAAGTGACTTGACACTCTCAGGTCTACATACGAAGTAGAGCTCTATTTCGATAACCGAGTCGACAGGGTATGCCAAAACCACTCATTTAGATAACGCAAAACATCGATATCTTAAGCGGTACCTTCTTGTTTCGTTAACGGTTACCTTAGTGATATATATTATCTTCTATGTATTCCTCCCTAAGAACATTAATCTAACTTACGCACTGAACTATCGAAGCCTTTGTCTTTTGTCGAGGTTTTGGGCATGATTATGTTGCCATACTATGGTCAAGCCGTAGTCTCAACCTCCAGTCCGTTAGACAGGCGCTGCACGCCCTTAACTACATATGCTAAGTTTCACTAGTCTGAGAAATTGTCTCTATTCCTTGCTTGGTGGGTAGATCTAGAATTGATTGCCAGATTTAGATTCAGAAGAATGTTTCTCCACAGTGAGGGATGTACATAAGTTGACGGCAAGTCAATATCTCGGGAAGGACACCAACACGCCGAGCAGTCAGAGGAATCTTCGAAACGTTGCCAGCCCAACAACTTTCGTCTCACATCACATTTCCAAAATTGTCCGCCTGGAAATTGAAGAGGTTATGTCCAGCAACTCCGTCAAAGAACGCCTGGAACGGAGCATCGCACTGAGGGGCTAGCCAGTCATCGCTGAAGATAAACTGATCATAATAGGCAGTGTCATTCTCAAGAGGCTCCCCTACTTGCATCAGGGCAGACGGGAGCACTTGTGTATTGCTACCGACTGGGTCAGAAGGTCGATTAAAGCGTCGACGGAGGACCTGAACGTGGATGTCGAGAAGTGAAGCAAAGCGAATAGAGAGATATATATCGTCGACCGTGTCAGATCGTAGTTTGTGTGCTGTCTGTTGCAGTAGGTCAAGGAATTTATCATTGAGTTCTTGTGCTTGTATACCCAAGGCTAGAGCCTGATCCAACAATACCGTCGGTTAGCCATTTGAGAAGCGATTTGTGACGACCGGCCATCCGCAACAAGGACAAGGAGTTGTCACTGACCTTGATCAAGTAGACTGCAGCGGAGGCGATCTGGATGTGGACACGGACGGGCAAGAATTTCAAATACCCCAACCTACTGTGCTTCATCACCATCTCCAAGACCGTCGTGCATGCATCCAAAACTTGATGAACAAAGTGGTGGTCCTGAGGATAGATATCATAATGTTCCAATGACAAAGAGTTGACCTTGGTTCTCCGACGCATTGCGATGGCTTGCATGGCCAGAGAGTTGATGTAGATACGGACATATTGATACTCAATGAATAAAATATCGTACCGCACGCTGGGGCCTGCAACCACATTAGCATCTACCCCTATCAAATCATAGTCCCAAAGGAGCTTGCCTGGGATCCGGGGATACTTTTCCAGCCACTGGTCGAGAACATGATTAAAATGACCTAATAGGTCACAATATCTACCGTTTTGCAACAGGTCCTTCGTGAGAACCTCGTTTGGGAATAGTATCTCTGAAGAGGATCGCACAATCCTAGTCAGATCAATCCATGACCCCATCCAATCGCTCCATACTGCGTTATCCGTCCATTTAGTATAATCAAGAACTGACAAGATCAGTGTGTGAAACAATGGCGTTTTGGGCGTCTGGCATCCTAGCCGAGAGGTCACGTTATTTATGAAGACAAAGAAGAGTCGTTTCAAACGTTCGTATCTTTCCACGAATTCTGGCTGTCTGCTAGGAGCCGACTCGGACGACCTTTCGTTAAACAAGCCAATTTCATGAGCAAGAGCAAGAGCAGATGAAACCAGCATCCTAAGGCGGGTTAGAAGAAGGAAAGGAGGAAGAAGACGGGCGTGCCTCGTACCATGACATCCGGTTCGACTTCCGGACAGGTTCTGACAACCCTTCATGCCAGCTGCTCGGAACTGCGGGATATTTTCATCAGTCCCAATACTGTACAACGCCTTGTGAAGCTCACTTTGTCCAACTCCCGTAGGATGCTCGGGGGTTAAGGCCCATAGACACGTGTCAAATGTCATATGGAATGGTCTCGGGTGCCATTCAGCCAACAGAAACAGGCTCTGGATGGCGCCTACGGTCCTGATATGGGGCCGCGTCCTTCTCTCTCCCCCCCACCAAATCTGATTGAATAAGGTCTGACAATACTTCCATAGTCTTTCGTGTAAGAGGAATCCTCGGGACAGACTCCCGTCTCCCGCCAAGTGGTGATACCGGCAAGAAACCATGAGGATGGTAGAACAGAGGACAGGCTCCTCATTTATGAGCTTATGGTGGTTTTCGTGGGGCTGGTAAAAGTCATCCATGACAGGGGAGAGGATGGCCATATTTTGGAAAAACAAGTCGACCCATGTAACGGCTTCCATAGGGGTCACCCATCTGTGCATGACAAATGGGCATTTACTCCACGCCTGCAAGACCTGTGGTTGGGGTTTCGATAATTGATATCGGACGGTACACCATTCTTCCGTTAATCTTACTATAGCGTTAGGAATCCTGTCACCATGTTGAAGGTTCTCGTCGGTCCCTGAAGGTTGCAAGAGAGGTCTCGTACCCGAATCCATTGTAGCAGGATCAGAATCCGAATGCTCGATCGCTGTATAGAGGAGATTAAGGGCATCTCTTTGATTCGTAATAGACGATTGTATGACTCCCTCGATTAAGCACTCCTGCCATTCATCGTGATTCGTAGTATGTCCTAGTTCTCAGTCAGGTGCGAGTTTGCATCTTCGAGAGCATAGCAACATACTTTGTTCCTGCCTTTCATTACCAGGCAGTGTGGCCTTGTCGACTTCATTCTGGGATTCTCTTCGCGGTGCTCGACTGCGGACTGCGTCATCTGAGGGATCTGTAATAATCGATCAGTCACTGCGATTCTAAAATCCAGGCCTCGGGTCTCAAGGTCTGCCTAAATCTCCAAATCAAGTAATGCCAGGACTGATCGTACCATACACGGTCCGGACAGTTCTGCTCGTCTCTGGATTTTCCGCGTACGACTGTGGGCTGTGATGAGTCCTCCGTTGCCGGGTGAAAACACACACACGTCGCTCGCGCTGACATTTTACACATGTGGGCGTCAACTCGCTGCCATCGTCCATAAGCACACACTTCACTTTCCGCTTTCGACAATTCAGGCAAGCTTGATAGGTCCGTTGGTACCGATTCCGTACAGAGGTGCCGACTACGGCGACTCCCGAGCCTTCCGATGGCGCAGCTGAAGTTTCTGGACCAGGAAATAAAACCAACATGTTCCGAGCTTTGCCGTGCTGAAGACTAGAGGAAGAGTTAGAAAGGCGTGAGTAGCCGTCAGGGAAAGACGGGTAGCGATAGATTCTTGTATATAGGTTCCACCGCCAAGCGGTATCCAGAACTGCCGCTAGCGGAAGCCGGTGTTATTCGGGATGATTGGATTACTTGGCAGAACGATGGAAGTGTCCACGGTCCACGCTCAAGTGACTTTACCGCAATTAACTAATGCCACAGGAACCTAGCACTGGCCCCGTCCCATGACTGCTGCGTTAGTATGTATCCCCCAAGCAGAAAATAGAGCTAAACTTAACTCTGACAGCGACCGCGGGTCCGTCAACAGCCGTGTTTTCCCGCCCTTGCATTAACTCCACTTTCCGTTGTATCTGCCGCATACCCGTCGCTAATGGTGACCTGTTTGTCTCCTAATAATTAGGAAAGCAAGGTATGGCGAGATCAAATGAGGGCCGAAGAGATAATTTTGAACGTGGGTGCACAGCCAGTTAAGTAGCTGTCCGATTCCGTGGCACAAGTTGTTTATTGAATCATCATCATTCCCTAGACATACTCCCAGTGACAATAACTCTAACCAGTTCTCGGAGCGCCTTGACGATAAAATGCCTGTTATCCGCACGGGTATACTTTGATCCGATGATAATCGATGACCGGGTCGTTTTCTGACTGAAATCATCTCATAGTGCTGTTCAAAACCAAGCCTGGGGTTACTGAGAACCAAAAACAGGCATTCGTTGATGAAGCAAGAAGAGTAACGCACCTGATGCCTGGTATGGACCCTGAAGACGGTATTGGGATTAAGGATTCGGCGTTAATCTCGTGATTCAGGGGTCATTTCTCTGCAAATTGGGCCTGCTCTTGACACGGAAAGGACCAAGGGCTACAATATGGGCATCTTTCTCACCGTGAAGAAAAGGGAAACTCTGAAAGCATGGGCGATCAATCCAGAACATCTCAAGTGAGCCATATCAAGACAACCCCGGCCAAGGGAACGGAATCGATAATATTCGCAGGCTTCACAACATGCGGGAGGAGATAACGGATGACAGCCTCGCTTTCAACCTTGAATACTGATATGTCAAGTTCCCATCCGAGTTAATGGCAGAAGACTCGAGTCAAACAAGCGATCACAGAGCTTATCTTGAAGACAATGACATTGTCGAATTCTCGGCGAGGGTGGCAGGCGGTTGAAGAGGAAATGTTGGGTTCGGTCTTTGCTCAGACAAAGTATTACCAGCTTCTTGAATTCCTGAAGTAACGAAACGCCAAGTCCTGATCAGAGGTCATGATTCAGCAGCTAAGTATAGAAATATTTGGGTGGAAGATTCTGGTTGGTGAGGAGCCTTATGATCTTCTAGTCGTGGCACGGATGAATGTAGTCTTCTTGAAGTAATCATAACAAGAACGTGAAAAGCATGAGTGAATCTCTCTGCCGCTCAATTTCCGGGGATAGACACAATCACGAAGGCCACTGAAAGCGAATATTATCCTTCTCCATTCCTTCCTTGACGATTCCCATTCCACCAGTCTTGATCATCCACTCCAGTCGATGGTCACGGTACTGCCTCTTAAGCAGTCCCTTCTGCACAGCTTCATACGCTACTGACATCCCCTTTGTATTAGCCAGAAACTCGTCGAACACCGACTTCACGCTTGGCCGCTGCTTGGCACGCTCGTACCAATCGCCCAGCAGTGTTCCAGGCTTAGGTTCAAGTCCGTACGAGCTGGAGCGGTTCACAAACGGCCACACGCAGACGTCAGCGTATCCAAACGTCTCACCACCGAACCACGGCGCGTCACCTAGTTGCTGCGTTAGCCATGCTTGGATCAGACCAACATGCTCGGCGGCCTTGGTTTTGAGTTTCTCCGCTAGATCGCCGTGATTTTCGGCGCGGCGAAAAGTCGTGATTTCGCCCATGCCCCAGTTGGCGGCTTCATACTGGGAGTCGCATACGTCTTCGATCATTCGGGCTCTCGCGCGGTCGACGGCGGAAGTGGCGCGTAGTGGCACGCTGTGCGGATACGCGTCCTCGATGTACTCGAGGATGATGGTGGAGTCAAATATTTTGACGGCACCACCGTCGACGACCAGCGTGGGGACTTCGAGACGTGGGTTGCGATCTGCAAAGTTGGAATCCATATTGGAGGCGATTCCACTTCCTGTGCCCCTGGGCGTTGAGAATTGGAAGGGGATGTTCTTCTCGCGCAGAGCGATGCGGACTTTTTGGCAGAATGGCGAGACGGGGTGGTCCCAAAGGAAGAGATCTGTTTCTGCCATTGCTACAGATGAGGCACTTCTGGTCCGAGATTGTCAAGGATCTCTACCGTTTCTTGATTGTCAACGGGAGACCGAGTTTTGTTTAGTAGGGATGATCGGCTATGATGGCTGTCCCTGCTGACTACCGAGGTACAGGCGCTCTCCTTGGCAATCCACAATTTATGCAGCGTGTATGTAGAATGACTGACTTGTGGCGGAAAAGTCGCCGCCGTTCGCATTTGGAGAAAACTGAAAATAGAACTGCACCTATCGTTTCCCGTGTTTCCCTCCCTCTATCTAACCTACGCTTTCGTTAAGCTGAAGGCTTTCGTTGACATCTAGAATATTGAGAGAAGTGCTTGCACCCGACATGGGTCAGGCATCAATAATCAAAGAGGCTGTCCAAGAGGGATTTAAATCTCGATTTGGAACTCTCTATTCGGTGGAAACCTGCGACAAATAGAAGACCCTTATGCAACCTGGCTGACTTCGTATTGTTCTCCTTTGTGGTAGTTTCATCTCTTTCTGAGTACAATCATCAAAAGCTCAACAGAACCGCAACATGGGCAGTGTGCAGAATGAGGAGACCCAAAACCTCCATTTCCGGATCCAACGGTCCTAATCACAGGGGCACAACGCAGCCGGTAAAGCCATCATTCAAAGCTCGAGGGTTGAAGAGACCAAACCATACGACAGAAAACGAGTCAGCTATAGTTTGCTCTATACCACATCGGAATTCCCGCCTGACCTCAACAACGACAGGGAATCAAGCTCCACGAGGAATACAAAGCCTCAGGCAAGCTGAACATTGTCAACGCAGGTGGAACAGTCATCCGGATAGTCAACTTTGCACCTCGGAACTTTTCCATGATGCATTGCACGCAAATTCTGGATTATAGCATGGTAGTTGAAGGAGAAATCATTATGGAGCTGGATGACGGAAGTCAGACGGTCATGCGGAAAGGCGATCTCGCTGTACAACGGGCGACTATGCATATGTGGAAGAACAACAGCGAAACTGAATGGGCGAGAATGATGTTCGTGCTGCAAGACTGTAAGCCTCTGGTAGTGGGAGGTCAGAGATTCAAGGAAGATTTAGGTGAGGTTGGATATGGCGTGTTCCCCAAGAGCGGCAACGATCTTTAGACAGATTGATAGAGCTAGTTCATCAGTGTCGGTGCATGCTGAAAGAATCGAAACGAGAGAGGGCCATTCAATAATGCCGACTGACAAGCACTGATCAACGAAGTTCGGAAGAAGTGCATTTGTGGTGCCTCAACAGGGTCTTGAGTTCGAGATCCGGATTCTTTATGCCAGATATGAGCTTAAAACCTTTAAAGGCTAAGAGTACAATCTAAGCTTGCAGCAGAGATTAGAAATCAAATGCTCGATAAATCCATCAAGGCCAAGAGTCTGGGGTCCTCCGTTCAGATCGACCATTCTGACAGCTGCTTTAACATGATGCCTGTACATGTGGATGTTCGATGCGGCCAACTGTGAATTTTAGCTTCCCTTCCTTTGAGTCTATGCGATGCCTATTGCTTACCTCATCGTATGCTAGCATTAGGGTCTTTGCAACTGTCGCATCACTAAAGAACGACTCGACAGAAATAGAATCACTCAGAGACTTGATACATGCAATTTTGTAGTGACAAGCTAACTGCATGAATTGCTGTTGTTGCTGTGGGCGCTGGCAGCTTCGGCAGATCTGTCGGCATGCGGCAAGGAAGATTGCATCAAGCAGTCCCCGCTCAGTCAAAGCAAGTGGCACCCATGCCCGGGTCATGCAATCCAGGTAGTATGAAGCAGCGTCATTGCAGCGCATGAGGGGAATCACAGTCGTGACATCTGTGCACGGAAATTTAGTATCATTGCCATATTGTGGACCCGGATTGAAGAGTCTCAAACGTACAGTGGTCTAGCAGGAAGTGCTCAATGGGCTTGAAGGGGCGGACAAAGCTGATGAATGGGTCTTTTCTGTCCGGTGATAACAGCCCACTCAGACACAGAGATATCGCCAAGTTTGACTTGAGATTTTGCGCTCCAAGCTCTTTGATTCTTGCATGCGATTTTCTAGATTGGTGCTGGATCATCCGAAGCTGCCTATTCTTTCTGTGGGTAGCCCGCGCTGAGTGCGACTGGGCCGCTCGCCGCTCCTGCTTACCCACGGAACCGTCGCTTGGGTGGCGCAGATTAACGAAGTGCAGCATACGTGACCGTATAGGGAATAATAGTGCTGCTTCGATAGAGTATCTTTCTTCGAATGCTGGGAATTGGAAAAGATGCTCGTCTTAGGCATGATTGGAGATGGCTAGATGCCAACGCGTTCCATCCAGACAGCCGCTGACAAATTCGTTGATTGCTGCCAAGCCTTAGTCCTTCCGGATTGGGAGGCCACTAGCACGCTTTGAGGGCTCATGATATAGTCCGTCTAGTAGAAAGAGGTGCATTGCATTGTATATAAAGGTAGTCCATTCTCGAATCCACACAATGAGAGTCATGTTCGCTGGTTGTTGATATTTGCACACCACTCGCAAAAATGGCTGGAACTGTCCTTATTACTGGTGCCAATGGCACACTAGGTCTTGAATTTGTTCGAGTTCTTCTTAGTTCTCATCCTCAATATACCCTTGTGGGGACTGTACGAAATCCGTCGCCAGAGGCAGATCCGAATACTGCCAGCCTTATGCACTTCGCCAAAGAACATCCAGCTGTTAAGGTCCATATCCACCCACTGGACCTTGGCAGCTTGGCAGATGTACGCAGCTTTGCGAAGAAGCTATCTAGCCAGATTGCGCAAGGGGAGCTTCCACGCATTTCAGCGATAGTATGCAATGCTGCCACATGGTCCCTTGAGTCTGGGCTAAGATTCACAAACGACGACCTCGAGGCGACTTTTCAGGTCGGCCATTTGTCACATTACCTCTTGGTCCTGATGCTGCTGGGGAGTATGGACATGAACTTCGGGCGCATCGTCATGCTTGGCTCCATCACTCATTATCCAGAGAAACCGAATCCATTGTCCGCCTTCAGACCATATATTCCTTCAGACATCGAGAATCTCGCTAGGCCGAAGCCTGATGAACCGGGTAAGGCTCACGACAAAGGATATCAACGATATGGAACGGCCAAGCTATCCAATGTCGCTTTCATGCATGATCTCAACAAGAGACTTCAAGCAGTATGTCAATATTATCCATGTTTTCCAGAGCATAGCTTGTTCTGAATGGACGACTGACCTTTTCCAGGATACCACGTTATCGGGGTTGTCGGTAGTTGCAATGGACCCAGGCGGTCTTGCTGCATCCAGAGCTCAAGTGGAACAACGAAAGTCTGTCAGAAGAATCATAACGGTGGTCAATTTCTGCATGCCAGTTTTGAAACACTTCACTTCGACCTTCAGACCCACGTCCGATGCGGCGCGCGACCTTGTGGAAGTCAGTGTTGGACCGGCTTTCAGAGGGAAGAGAGGTTACTATGTCGGACAGAACCCGAGTCCCTCGGCTACCATGAGCAAAGATCCTGAAGTCCAAGCAAGGCTCTGGGAAGCATGCTGGAGATGGTCAAGTCTCAAGTCCGAAGACACTGTTCTTTCTAATCGTTAACCATTAGAGGAACGTAAGCGGGGTAAATTCAGATTAGATAGCAATTGCAGAGTTGCAAATTCTGTCTGAGTCTATAAGCTCACAAGTTACAACATCCACCTAGTCAAACATCAACAGCTGAAAAGTGACATAGCGCTACTACTTCGAAAGGACGGCAGAGTGTTGTTAATTTTGGCGCCAACGGGGTTTCGAACAATCTAAGCCATCCACCCAAAACTGAAGGGCACCTACGAGCATACTCAACTGATCGTCTAGTGGAAGACTAAGGTTGGGTACATTTGTAAAATTTAGGAGCAGAAACAATTGGATATGTCTGGACGAGTTATTTCAGGTATTTTACAGATACTTAGGGGGAGAAATATAATATAGTAGATAATCTTAGGGTTAGATACTCCCTATAACAACTATTTAGTAGTTACCTCACTACCTATATTACTATATCTATTGATAGTCCTAGAGAGTTCCTTATATGAATAACCTCTTCTTATAACATAAATTACTAACTCATACTAAAGTGCTTATATAGAGGTTGGTACTATTATTTATACTTTCTTATTCTTCGTACCCTCTATTATCGCGGCTATAAGCTACTTAGTGGCTAAGTCACAACTTCTAACGGTAGTGTTGTCAGAGCTACTCCCTATATCACCTAAACTAGTTAGGCTCCTCAGTCATACAGTGTTGAGGAGACTGAGGTGGTCCGCATTAGCACGGCCACCATCATCGTGGATGAAGGGTCAAATGAAATAAGACAGGATCTTTAATTATTCAGGGCGTTCAAGTCCAAGACTGGAATCTAACTTTGATGGTTTCGACTAGAGGGGGCGTCGCTGATGTCGTGGTCACGCAGGGCAAGATCCCGCGGTCCCTTATGTTGGCCTGCCTAGGATATTCAATTCCTAGAACCGCCGGAGCTGCGTCGTCTTCAATGCGGTGCTCATATTACCCGAGGGCATCCCGACCGACGTCCTCCGCAACCTCGTATCCCTGGTCGTCAACGAGACCGAGGCCCTCCAACTATTTGGATGCGTGCAAAAACTCCGGTCGATCAACGTTCACAACTGCTCACTCGACTCCACTAGTGACTATACGTCCTCGCATCGAACGCTGTATTGTGTGCAACTGCGCGTCGCTGGGGTAGAAAGTGATAAGACGAAGAAACAATGCTCGACCAGAGGCCGTTCGTGTTGATGCCAGGCGGTGGCCTCGTCACCGGGTATGATAAGCCGAGGTCCAAAAAATCCCCACCCTCCCCAGCCATCATTAGGCAGCGCAGCCATAAGACTATGGCCAGATCCATCAGAAGAGAAAATCTGCCCTTCCACACGTCTCCAAGTACAGGCTAGAGCATACACCGATCACCTTCAACATGTCCAGCGCCATCAATCCGGTCCCGTTCGCGGAGCCGAGCTATCTCAGAGGACTGCCGTCGCCCTATTTCCATGCGACACACCTGAACTTCCAGAAACGATGCCGGGCGTGGATGAATGAGCACTTCCTTCCGTACGCGCTCGAGTGGGAGACACAGGGGACGGTGCCGGAGCACGTGTGGCACACCTTCAACAAGCACCATATGCTCATCCCGAACCTGAACTCGCCGCTGCCGGTGCGGTGGCTCAAGCGGCTCGATATCAACGAGATCCTGGGTGTGCCGGTGGAGGAATGGGACTACCTGCACACGGCTATCTGGGTGGACGAACGGGCGCGGGCGGGCGTCTCGGGCCCCGGGTCGAGTCTCACGCCGGGGTTTGCGTACGGGATTCCGCCGATCCTGAACTTTGGTTCGCCGGCACTGCAGGAGAAGTTCCTCCCGCAGATGCTGCGGGGTCAAGTCCGGGCATGCATCGCCATCACGGAGCCGCAGGCAGGGTCGGACGTAGCCAACATCCATACCCGGGCGCTTAAGTCGGCAGACGGGCGCCACTACATCGTCAGCGGCGAGAAGAAATGGATTACCAACGGGATCTGGTCCGACTACGCGACTATGGCGGTACGTACGGGCGGGCCAGGACCAGCGGGGATTAGCCTGCTAGTAGTGCCGCTGAAGGGCCAACACGGCGTCAAGATGAGGCGTCTACAGGTGGCTGGCCAGCAGGCCGGCGGCACGACGTACATCGAGCTCGACGACGTGCCCGTGCCCGTGGAGAACCTGATCGGCCGCGAGGGGGAGGGTATGAAGTACATTATGACTAATTTCAACCACGAACGGCTATTAATAGCATTGGGCGTGACGCGCCAGGCCCGTGTTGCCCTATCCAGCGCCGTCGACTACGCTATGAAGCGCGAGGCCTTTGGCAAGACGCTCATGGACCAGCCTGTCGTTCGCCACCGCCTAGCCAAGTGCGGCGCCGACCTTGAGGCCCTACAGTCGTGGCTCTACGAGTTCGTCTACGAGCTCAACCACCTCTCCAAGGCCGAGGCCGACCAGAAGCTCGGCGGGCCCACCGCCGCTCTCAAGGCCAAGGCCGGCATGGTCTTCAAGGATTGTGCCGAGACTGCTGTCCTCATCTTCGGCGGAAATGGCTTCACTCGCACCGGCCAGGGCGAGCTGGTCGAGAAAATATATCGCGATGTCATGGGCGCCCGCATCCCTGGAGGTAGTGAGGACGTCATGTTGGATCTCTTTATTCGTCAGCTGGTCAAGAATTACAAGAAGGCGACGAGCAAGTTATGAAGGATCCGCACACAGAGGCGAGGTGGTCTTTCGACTGGCGGGCGATCGGTGCGCTCAATGACAATACTGTTCGAGCGTCTTCTGACCCTCAGAGACTTCGAGGGTGAATCGTCAACGGTATACTAGCATAGTAAGAAGTCCTCAAAGCTTCCGTAATAATAGTTAAGGTACAGAAATATACACCCGTGATGCGAATGTCGATAACTTTGTCCACTAGTGCACAGCTGTGGAAACCGTTCCGACAACGGTAACTATCGCGCCAGCTTTGGCGGACCAGTAGGCGGGGGTAGGGCCTACGATAGATACGCCCACCACGAGGACTCTACCCCTTCTTCTAGGCCTAAGGTTAGACTTAATATAAAGTATTAAGTTAATATAAGTAGTACCACTAGATAGAGCTCGTTTAGAGGATTTAGAAAATATATAGGTTAATATCTAGGACCCCCTCTAGCGCAAGATATTAAGCGTTAAATATACCCTACTTTTTGATTCTAAAGGGAAGGTTATCCGAGCGTAATAATTCCTCGACTAAAAGGGTTAGCGCACTAAGTACGTGATAATTCCTCGCCTAATAAGGTAAGGTACGCTAAGCCCGCTAGAAACCCTAACTAAAAGTAATAAGGCCTACCAGCTCCTTCCCGCACTAACTATATATAATAACGCGTCTTAATTACATAAACCTTCCACTAAAAAATAGCTACGCTATAATAATAGACGCTATTCCTACTATCTATACCTCTAAGTATAGATAAATAATTATTCATAGACTAGATTTAGTATAGTAGATAATAAATAATCTATATTATTATCCAATATACGAGGTCTTAGTGAATCGCCTCCTATATTAATATTACTCCTCCCTCCCTCCCTCTATCTATCCTTTTTATCTCTATTTATCCCTCCTCTTTAACGAATAATTTCTTTCCTTATCTATATCTAGCTAATAATTCCTAACCCTAAATAAATAGTTATATATTATAAGAACTAAAAAAGATTAACCTTAAAAGTATATACTTA